GCGCTTTGAGGTCAATGTGTTCTTGGGTCACCCAAACAACAACAACAACCCAGCACTTGGCTAGCACGCACACTAAACCGCACCAGGTACTTGAAGTAAATGAGTTTGACTTTCATTTTCTATATATAGCGCGCCGCTGACGAAGGGCAGCCCTGAACAAACCAATTATCATGATTGATAAGATTCGAAATCTTACTGTAAATACGCATCTCCCATTCACTTACCGATCGAATACCGAAACTAGGCAAATTATGGCCAAGCAATAGAACGTATTTAGATAGATATCAGCAAAGCCAGCATAATCGCTAATCAGTGCAATGGCCTCGCTGCTTGTTGTCGGCGTCGTCGCTGCCGTGGCTGAGCCCGCTCCAGAGTCCGTTCCCTTAGCAGAATTGGTCAGTTCTATGCCCAACTTTGACATTTGGGCTGTTGGTGTTGCTGTTGTTGTTGTGATTGTTGATGAAGTTGCTGTTGCTGCTGCGGCTCCCGCTGCGGTCTCGCCCGCAAGACCAATGCTGTTGATGACCTTTGCCCAGTCCGTGGGATGGCTACTCATCACAAAGAGCAGATGGGCCAAGGCTAGACCAGCTAGCAGCCCATGGCATATGTTCGAGATGAGCAGCCAAATTCGTTGAATAACACAGGCAAGTTGTATGTTGCTCGAGATGCCATTGCTAGAAATTATAAATTTATTTGTCAATAAAAAATATTTATATATTTTAAATAATTTAAATGCATAAATAAAAGCTACTTAAAGAAAAATACAACAGAGTTTTCATAATGTATAAATATAAATAAAGCTCTGTCCATTAAAGCTTGGTTTGAAGTCTAAAAAGTTATTAAAACTCTAAGCTGAGGACTCTCAGTGACTCCTGAACTTGGCAAGGCTTATGTCTTAGTCTACCTAAACAAACCTTTACTCAGCCAAAGACTAGAATTCAGTGATTCAACTCTACACTCGCTCTCAGCAAAGAGCACTAGGTGCAGCATGAATTAAGTTAAGCCCAGCATTTGCTTATATAATTTACTAGATTTATCTTCAATATAATTTAAATATCTTTCAATAGCTAAAGCATCTATCTGGCCGCGAACTTGGCTCAGGGATTCTTGCACAATTTGTGCACACAAAGCAGCTTAACGACTAAGCTTTTCTTGGATTTCAGTCTTGGGACGAAAATAAACACGCAAAGGACAAGATAAACATGAATAGAAACGAAATGTTCACTGGAAATCCATTGATTCGAATTGAATGTGTGGGCTAAATCAGGCTGAAGGCAGATAAAAATAGCATGGAACCGCCGGATTAGATACACGCAACAGACAGAAGTATAGACGCCCACGCGGGTGTCGGCTAAACCCACCGATTTAGGTCGGCATCAAGCAGACAGCGGGTATCGCCGTAGCTGCCACGTCCGCTGGCCGAGCCGCCATTCGAGCGAAAGAGTCGTCCTGCGCCACCCAGCTCCGCCGCCGAGATGCCGTCGATGCCAATGCAGCTGCTGCTGGTGCCAGCTGCGCCGCGTGCGGCACCGACAAAGGAACGCTTGTAGTAGCTCTGCTCCACTGGTCGATAGCCTGATGACGTCTGCAGAAACATTTTGTCGATGTGCGCGGGCGTATCGTCCGTGGGCGAGACGACCGGAGTGAATGGATTGTAGATCTCCTCGCCCTCGGCGGGCGCAATGTCATCCGCCAGCTCCTTCAATATGGACGACAGCCCACCAGCTGAGTAGAGCTTGCCTGCAGATAACAGAGAGAGAGAGAGCGAGACAGAGAGAGACTGGGTGAGAGGGATGAGCATTGCAAGTGCGCAGAATCGTATTTGTTGTGGGTTGTGTGAAGAGCTTTTTCTCAATGGAATACAATTTGGCAATCTGGACTGGGAGCAAGCAGGCTCTGATACTTACTTATGAGCTGGCCCCGCTTGTCGCGCTGCGATTTCGTCTTCCGATGCACTCGTCGCTCCTCCAGGCTCTGATCAATTTCCAGTTCGCCCGACAGCGAGGCATCATGCATATCGGAGCACTGCTTGAGGTAACGCATCAGCGTCTCATTGGCCTGGCGCACCTCCATCTCCCCAGCGGCTATAAGCTTCCGTTCACGCCTCCTGCGCGACTCCGACTTGCTGCGCTTCCGCCGTGGACTCTTGTCAAAGCTGTTCCGGGAACGCAGCGAGCGCTGAGCGGGACTTGCCTGAGGATCTGACAGCGATTGCTGCTTGCGTGAGGCACCGCCAGCCACGCCGCCACCTCCCCCACTGCTGCCCGCGCCCATACTTAACGCCGACGGCGTGGGCGAGCTCTGCTTGAGCTCACGATCAATGTAGCCCAATATGCCGCGATGGAAGGACGAGTCAACTTCCAGAGAGCGCAGAGCCGGCGACTGTGGCGAGTGTGTGCGCCGCGAGCGATGTCCATGCGTAGCCGGCAGCTGACGCAGTGTTTCCCGTAGACTCATTGCATCACCGGACGAGTTGCGACTGCCATCGCTCTGCTTGGTTGGCTGTGTGGGCGATTCCAGGCGCGTGGTGGCCTCGCCGTCTGCGGCAGCAGCTGCTGCACCCAGCGGCTCATCGGCGCCCAGGGAAGCGCTCTCCTCCAGCGTGTCCTGCGATGGCGGCGCATGTCCGTTCACCAGTACCACTGTCTGCTGGGAGGTTTGACTGGGAGATCCCACCATTTCGATGCTGTCCGCTGAGCTCTGCGCGCTGATGCGACCCGCTATTGTGGTTGCTGTTGTTGTGGTTGTTGTTGTCGATGCTGTATCATTGAGAGCCGCCGCACAACTCTCGAGCGTCTCCAGCACGGCCTCCGTTACCTCCAGCTCCAGATCGGGCGGCGTATTGGCCGCTGCGGCTGCCTCCCGCTCCAAGCGCCGCTGACGAGCCTCAGTGCGTCGCTGTCGCTGATGCTGACGATGCACCTTGGGCTGAGTCGTCTCCATTGTGAGCAGGCTCAAGTCTCTTGCTGTCGATTCAATTATCTTATGCTGTGTCCACTATGTTCCTAGTTGTGGTTGTTGTTGTTGCTGCAACGACTGCTGTGTTCCGTGAGCTACGGCGTGCCCTCATAACAGGTGGATTAGTCCAGCAGGATGCGTGTTGAACTTTCGAGCAGTCGAAGTTGCGAAGCTGCAGCTTTTCGCTTTGACCCAAATAATTATGCAGCAAAAACGTCGCATGCACTTGCTGCAGCTACACCCGCGCACCGCACACAGACACACGCACACACACGGACACACACACAGCTGTGCTTAGCCTTCAGGAATATATTCTGTTGGAAAATGTGTTAGCCACTGCTTCAATTAAGGCTTAAATATTTCTATTGCTTCAGCCTTTTGCTGGGACTAACTTTCTTAATTCACTTCTATCAATTCTATTTTGTGGTTTCTCTATGAAGGTCGCCCGGTGGAGACTTGAGAACCTTATGTTTTGCTCGCGTTCGCGGCTGCTAAGCGACTGACTTGGCCTGGCCGAGACAGCAATGCAAAATGGCCCAAAACGAAATGCCCTGGCGCTGGCCTGACTCCCCTCGGTGGTGGCTTGTCGTTTGTGTCCTGCTTCCTGAAACGTAGTAACGAGCACAGCAGGGCGAAAGCTTTGCACAATGACGTCAGTAGCTGTGCGTGGTGAGCATTAACGCCCACACACACACACACACACACAGAGAGTCTGTGTGTGTGCAGGCATTATTGACAAATTCTATTTATAGGCAGCCGCCACTGTTGGCAAAGGTGGGGGATTTTTGTTTTTAGCAGCACCTTGCCCCAAAACTTAGTCAGCTTGCTTGCTGGCTACACTGAGAGAAACTGAGTAAGCATTAATATTTTTATTATATTACACTATATAGCCTAGACATAGTTATATATCATATAATAATTTGAATAATCTTAAATGAACTCTGAACTTAGTCTGCTACTTGAGCCTCAGTCTGCTATAGCCCCAACCACAAGAACTGATTTCAAGTAAGCAGCTGTCGTAGTTTTTGCGACATTTTGCTTACCCACACCCACTCTGTCTATCTCTCTCTCTGTCACTCTCTTGCTCTCTGTCTCACACTCTGGTATATTCACTCTGTGCGCTGTGCTGAATCGATAAATGCGTGGAAGCGTCTCAGCTTGGCTCAGGCTACTGCGCAGCTTTCAGCCTGTACATCATGTTGATGACGTCAATCGAGAAAGCTCTCGAACCAAAACAACAACGAAACCAGACACGAAGCGAGCACAAAAGCCGGCAAAAGCTCGCCTCTGCCACGCGCAGCGCTGCCATTCCGAAGGCGTCAGGCAAATTTTATTATCGTAAAGCGTGCAGAGGCGTCGTCTGGCTGCATCAGACACGCAAAGCAAAAACAAAAGCGCGAAACGCGATTCGCCAGCGCTGGGCCCCAGCTAATGGTCCCTGAAATGCCAAAAGGCGCTTGGCACTTGAACTGTCGCACTGAGCTCACTCAGCCGCCTCCCCTCTACCTCTCTCACACTCTCGCGCTCTCTCTCTCTCCCTCGCTCTTGTGCTTGCTGCATAACAGTCTCTGTCTCAGTCAAATGCAAGCCATCGACAGTGAGAGCACGTCATGACCGTGACGTCACAGCTTGACGTCAGTTAACGCATTAGCCAAAATGTTGAGCGGGCCAAGTAGAGGCTCTGAAATATTAAGGCGTTGGTTGTCGCATAGCGTAAGTCGTTCATTTAGCAGCATTTCTAAACTCATCCTAAATTAGAAAGTTCTTAAAATAATAATGGCTTTGTTTATGACGTGAAGCTTATGTAAATAAATAAAAATGCTTTTCTCTCAGCTTGCAGCTTATAGAAATTGATATATATGTATACATAGTTGGCTCTTACATCATGTGTCTGACAACGCAAGGAAAAGGTTATCTTCTTTCCAGATGTCTCAATTAACTAGCTGAATAAAAAAGTCCTTTTTCTTTTACTATTTATAAGTCTCTGCAGAGTGTTCAATTGTCCTTCTGATTAACCACAACAGAATACGCGAGTCAAAAGAAATGTCCCTCCGGCAAGCTGGCAACCCTGGCCGTGATGCGTTGCCCCAGGCAACTGGACACTTGTTTTGTCAATAACAAAACCAGCTAAAGACACAGCCGGTTTAGGTTCGAACACATTGTACAAGGAGCACAGCAAATGCCTCTGCTTGAAGCGCCAGCCGAGCACTCGGAATCCTCGCCGGAGCACTCACTGCAGCCGGAGATACCTCTGTTGCTGGCTCCACTGCTGCCAGGCCCTGCAGCACTCGCCCAGTTACGTGCGCCCACAGCCGAGGCGCGACTGCAGCAGCAGCAGCAGCAGCAGCAGCTGCAGCTGCAAGTGGAACGACAAAATCGTCGCCAGTTGGAACGGCGCAACTCCTTCGACCGGGATGAGCCCATTGTGGAGGAGAGCGAGCACTTTCCAGCGTTCGTGCATCTGCTGCCTGTGGTGCTGCCGCCACAGCTGCCGGAGCCAACGCTTGATGAGCTCTTGGTAAGTGTTTTGACTGGAGATTCCCCAGAATCAAAGATTCCACGATGCCACTGTGTCCATGCTTGCAGCGTCGCGTTACACAGCGCACGGATCTGGAGCAAGTAGAGTCGGTGCGTCTGCGTGTCATTTCCTACTCGGTGAGCCTGTCCCGGCTTTCGCTATTCCTGCCACGACTGCAGCAATTGGATCTCAGCGGCAGCGTGCTGAGCTCCCTGCGCGACCTGGGCTACGGCCTGATGCAGCTCACGCACCTGAACATCAGTAATTGCGGCCTCAACAGCTTCGATGGCACCAGCGGGCTGCCTAATATACGAGTTCTAATAGCCGATGGCAACATGATACAGCGCGTGGGTCCCTTGACGGAGCTGAGCCAGCTGCAGAGGTTGCAGGCGCGCAACAATCGCATCAGTGAACTGGGTCTGCTCTCGTTTCTGGGTCTGTGCCCCCAGCTCATGGAGCTGGAGCTCAGCGGTAATCCCGTCTGTCGTCTGCCTCTATATCGCGACATGCTGAGACGCAGCGTGGCCACTCTACAGATTCTGGATGGACAGTCCATTAATGACGATCAGCTGGAGACAAACGCTGAGCAAGACGACAACCACAGCTCCTTGTCCAGTGACTCGGAGTCGGCCGCAAGGCCGGCAACTGCACCACAGAACAACAACAACAACAATGTCAACAACAATGCTGCAACTCGACGAGCTGCATCAGCCTTCGTCACACTGGATTCGACACGCTATCAACGCCAATCCTCCACGTCCAGCACACCTGTTGCCGGCTCAGTGTTGGGTTTGGTGCGCCAGCGACGACGACGCAGCGGTCATGCCTGGGTCAGCTCCTCCAGCGGCTCATCGTCGGGCAGCTCCTCAGCCGCCTCGACACGTGCGCCCTCCATCAGCTCAGCCTCCTCGCACAGCAGCTTGGACATGCACTCCGCCTCCTACAGCTTCAATGCGCATGGCACTTTCGATTAGAAATTGCTCACAAAACAACTAGAATTTTATTGTGATTGATTTTTGAATATTGTACGATAATTCATTCATTATTTGTTGTTAATTAATAAAGCTATAGAAACTTTGATGCGCTGTTCTACTAGTCGGGCATGAGCAGAGATTTAAAAAAAAAAACAATTATAATTTGATTCAATTTTTCATATGATTTTCAAATCAAACTAAACTTGCTTTTACTCTCTAGACTTGTTGTATAACTATGCAGAGGGTCTGCCCTCTTCTATAATTCTTCTCATAATCCTGATGACAACCATCGCTCTCCTACTACTTCTGGCAAGCAGATTATCTCTCATTCTTCCTGTCTATTCATTTTATTAATATCCTCAATATTTTTTTAATTCTTCACATTGAACATCTTTATCTAAGCTGCGTATAGATAATGCCCTTTCTATATTTGCTACAGCAGACCTATGACTGCTTCTATATTACTCTACTCTACTCTACTCTCAAAAGTTTCTGTAGCTCTTTTAATCTGCGAGCTGTGCTTAAGAAGTCTTTACTTTCCGAGCACACCTCGCGCATATATGGTATATAACTTAAGTTTTTCTAGAGGACTTTTACAACTTTAGCAAAACATTGTCTACGTCTCTGCACTAGAGCTAACTGTGTGTGATGAAGTGCATCAAATTGCGTTTGTTTTTAAGAAAAGGTCAAAGTTGGCCTCAGCCAGGCTGGGCTACTCCGTATACGTGTACTGGAACAAGGCGGCCGATGGCGATCTGACTGGCACCAGTTGGCTCTGGCCATTCGCATTGCGAAAGACAATGTAGTCCCGGCCGTTGATCAGGCGTCGCACCCCGCCGTTCTGATTCCCGCCCAGAACCAGGCCGTGTGCCTTGCCAGCCTGATGCCAACGTTGCTGCTGTAGCTCGCCGCCATGATTGAAGATGCTTTGATATGGCGGCGGTGGCGTTATGTTCTGGGCATGTGTGGACGAGCCCAGCAGCTGCTTATCGCCGCTATGCAGGCGTCGCAGACCACGCAGCCACCTCGAAGGCTTGACGGACTGGCCATTGGGTGAGCGCCCCACGCCGTGTCGTGCCCACTTGTTGGCCTCGTGGCGGGCATTGAGGTAGCGGAACAGCAGCTCGGTGCTAAAGACGGCCAAAGAGGTGGCAAAGCCGGCCAGCATTATATAATAGGTCATCATCAGATCTCCGTTCCTCAACTGACGCTCCGTGCTGCCCAGATCCTGCGGGCAAATCTCTGCGCTCGGCAGCTCCCTGGCCGACAGATGCTTGATTATGCCAGACTCCACCAGATTGAGAAGTCTAATAAAAGTTATTCATTAGCCACGTGCATCAACTAATCACTGCATAACCTACTCGGGGTCGAAAAGCTCGCTCAGATTCGAGCCAATTGGATAGGCGAAAGTGCGCTTCTTGGTCAGGAATGGCTCCCTGGCCATGGCGAAGGGACAGTGCACCTTCTCGTCGCTGAAGCTGACCGACTTGCGATACAAGTAGTCCCTGTAGAGCATGATATTGATGGCAGGTCGATCCCTCACGAACACATAGCCATTCCGCTCCACATAGTTCTGCAGATTGTACGTGTCGTTCGAGTTGTCCGTGAAGACGGCGTAATTGTTTTGAATCATTCGATTGAGCAGGAACAGCGATTCATTCGTCTTCATGCAGCAGTTATTACAGAGTTATTATTCATAAGAAAGATTCTGTTGGCAAACTGATAAAGATGAAGCTCTGACCGAACCTTCGGCTTATGTAGTTAGAGAATATCTATTTCTGTCTCTCTTTGTCTTTCTCTCACTGTCTCATTTTCCTTGTCTCTCGTTGCACCTTTCTTTTTCTCACTTGGACTTTCGTTCTCTTTCTCTTAAGCTTTCCCTTTCCCTTGCTTGCTCTTTATCTCTCATCTTTTTCTATGTCTCTCTCTCTATCTACCTCTCTCTCTATATCTCTCTTTATCTCTCTCTCTCTCTCTATCTCTCGCTCGCTTTTTCTGTCTCTCATTTCCCTTCTCTCTCTATATCTCTCTCCCTCTATCTCTCGCTCGCTTCTTCTCTCGCTCATTCCCCTTCTCTCTCTATCTCTCTCTTTATATCTCTCTCTCTATCTATCTCTCTCTCTCTCTATCCATCATTCGCTTTTTCTCTTTTCATGTCTTTCTCTCTATCCCTCTCTCATTCTCTCTCTCTCTCTGTGTCTCTCTCTCTCTATCACTTTCTCGCTTCCTCTATTTCTCTCTCTCTCTTTTCTCTGCCACACTTTTTTTTTCTTTCTCACTCGCAACACTCTGTAATTTTCTTCATTATTTACAGATAAAACTTTTTTTATCGATTTAATTAGTCTGTTGATTTTATCCTGATGTTTGGTTTGGGAAACACCCTCCATAATTTTCGACTTTACGTCAGCTTTCGCAGGAAAACTTACCGTGCGTATGGCGTACTCAACGGCTCCGCCGCGCATGGAGACGAAGTGTTTGTTCTTCGATAGAATATCGTTGACCGTGTTGTAGGGCAGCGTGAATTTTGAGAGGGTCAGAAACGCGGTCAGATTGGCCGTGTAGAACGAGGTTAAAATTGTAATAAATATCCACCAGGTCGCAAAGAGGAGGCGTGTCGAGTCTGCGATTAAATATATATATGTATATATATATATATATATATGTGTGTATTATATGTATCTGTTTATATTTTTAATTGAATCGACAAACTCGTCGATTGCATGTCCAGCGAACCGAGTGCAGTTCAGGTTCAAATGGACGATGCTTATCGCTGCATTAGGCTTAATTGCTCGCTCACCTGCGATGGGGGAGAGGGTGCTGCCCTGCTTCATGAGTGCGCCGTAGACGAACCAGGCGCAGTGGCCCAGGGAATACGGCTGCTGCACTGCGTCGCCTGTCAGGCGATTTCGGATTATGATCAGCAGATAGATGATGGGTCCAACGGCCAGCAGCGATACGAAAATGAGTATCCAGACCCAAAATTCGAAGGGCGCCAGCAAACCAGATCCCCCCGCCGACTCTCGCGGACGTCGCATCACCATAATCCATTCGCCCTCATCCAGCGTCGTTGTGGAATAGAACACAAAGCTGCGCTGCTCCGACAGAGAGGGTATAAAGGCGGCAGCTAAGTCCACTTGCTGTCACCGAATAGATGGAGGTCTTTGCATGTCTGCTCTTATACAGTGTAGGGATTAGAAACTCACGCTGTTGTTGACCATTTCAATGAGACTGCGATCCAAGTCGGCCTTCGAGCCAATGATGTTGTCCTGCGGCACAACGACTTCGTAGGTAAAATTGAATTTCTCTTGCAGGAACTCGATGATCTGAAAGGAAACGCCTCGACCAACGCGAGTGCCGTTCTCCAGCGTTTGTGTGTAGCTCAATGGGTAATCCTCGAGCGTGGCTATGCGCAGATGCCTGCCATTGATCCAGGTCTTCATGTTGCGCAGCTTCTCCCTCTTGTTGCGCAACACCTCAAGCGTTTCCACGGGCGTTTCCTCATCCAGGCCCACATTCGCTGCGTCCACATCGATGGGCACGTCCGTGACCATGCTGCCATCCTCGCCAAGTAGTATGAGGCCCTCCGGGAGGGTGTTATTAACCGGTGGACAGGCCAGGCACAGTGCAGCAGCCACCATCAGCTCGATTCCAGTGGCCATTTGCACCCCGGATTAGACTTGACTAGACTAGTCTAAATAACTGTTAGCTGCTCTAGTGTCTAGCACACTTTTTTCGCTTTCGCATACTGCCTCCAAGGTACAGTTGCCACAGCTAATTTTTGTTTGATTTCACAACGAACCGTTAGAGACAGGCACCCGAGCGCTACTGGCTCTAGAATTTCCATGCGGGCCAAGCGAATATGTGTAAATATGGCCCGCATGTGAGTGCCTGACCCACAACAAACACAATTAACAATAATGACAAGTGTAAATATGACAGGACACAAACAACGAAACCAGTTGCGACTGCCCGCCCGGTGCAGATTGTAAGCTTTGATTAGGACTTCCATTCTCTGCAGGTCGCGCTGGCCTGGCTAATGAAACGTCGCTGGCGTCTATTGACTACTTAAGAAAATACAAATATAGTTCAAGTCCACTCAGCATGGATGGTTGCCTAATGGCCAATAGAAGAGCGTTCTTATGACTTGCGTACGTTCAAGGACATTGCGAGTCCTGTGGGTCAAGTTTACAATATCCGACTGTCTAATAACCGGAGCTATATGCGTAATATGCCACAATTACAGTTCATTAGACAGTAAAATGATATATATATATATATATCAATATATATCAGATATATCAACCATATTTAAATGAAATCAAAATCAATTTTTAATGTCACAGAGTAAGCTCTTTCGCCCTACTTACTAATTGACCTAATAATCAGCTAAGCAGATAACTATGAACTGAGCGTTCGACTGAGTATCTGACTGTCTGTTTGAACGACCTACTAATTAACTGACGCATCAATTGACTAGCCGATCGCCAGAGTGTGTGATTGTATAACTGGAATACTACTACGAAAATCTCTCTTTGGTTCTCCCTCTCTCTTGCTTCTCTTCTGACACATATAAAAACTCTTTGTCCGTCTCTCTTATCTTTCCCCTTCTTTCTCTATTTCTATCTCTCCCTCACTCTCCTGTACACACTAGCTCTCGCTCTCATACCCACTGGCCCTCTCTCTATTTGCCTCTACTGATCACTTCTCTCACTCTCTCTCTCTCACTCTCTCTCTCTCACTCTCTCTCTCTCTCTCTCTCTCATACTCTCATTCCTTTCTCCATATATATCTCTTAGACACACACACTTTGTCTCGCTTTCACACCCACTGACCCCATCTGCCTTTACTGATCACACTCTTTCACTCTCTTGCTCTCTTCCTCTATTTCTAATTCTCTCTTGCTTTTGCTTCTTTTGCTCTAAATTTAAATACTACTCTATCTCTCTCTCTATCACATTAGCTCTCTGCTCCTCTCTCTATTGCCTCTCTTGGTATATTATATATATATTTAAAGATATTTCCAAATTTATTTCAATTTCATTTTATTTCTCATGTAAGATGAAAGTTTATAAATTTTAAATATCTGTTAGGTTAAGTTAAATATTACAATAATTTATGTTACTTGGCACTAGGTATTCATATTGGTATTTACATAAGCTATATACACAGTCGCAGATCCCAGCTGGATCCTAACCAAATCGGCTGCTGTTGTCCAAGACCTCAGCACTGGAACCGATGGACAAACTGTTCTGATTGCACTTGCAGTCCTCGCCGTCGACACGGCCCTTGCCGGAGGTCAAGATGCGCATGCCTTCGGCAAATTTGGGAAAACCGGACATGGTTTCCTTCAGGGTGGTCATCATGACTGGCAGATACATGAAGAAGTCCTTGAAGTGGCCCACAACTGTGTGGTAGTCGACGGCCCGCCCGCTGGCCGAGCTTCCACCCGCGCCCTGATAGCTGCCATCGCCGTCAATCTCATTGCCCACCGAGCCATAGGGAACGGCTACACATTGTCGCATACCTGAAATCAGTAAATCATGTTAATTACATCGTTAAGATCGAGTGACACAAATGGGGACTTACCCAACAGCAATATAATTGCGGCAGCTACAAATTGTCTGTGGTCTGTCATGCTGTGAACTCTTCTCGAAATGCTCAGCTCTTGGCAGGGCTGTTGAGCATTTATAACATTGCAAACGTTTGCTTGGTAAGCAGAAATCTTGATACCACCCGAGTTTAAGCCGTTTTGTTGTGGTTTTCACTTTTGCGCTGAATGCAGCAGAAAAACTCGAAACTCTCGGCGAAAATTTGATTTTCAATGTTATTGCTGAAGACCTTTCAAGTGGAAATGCAGAGCAAATGCAGTTTTTTTATTACTATTACAAGTGTCAAGATTGGTAAGCGGAATCAAAAAAATAATGACAGAAGCGTTAAGCGATATATAAATGAATAAATATTAAAATAAAATAATATAAACGCGGCTTTGAATTGAAATTCATTTGCTTCATATTATAAGATTGTCAGACTATTGTTATTAAAGTCAGTATAAAAATAAAACACAATAAAAAATATTTCATTTATTTTCTCAAAATATATTTATATTACGATATAAAAATAGGTTTTATAAGTAAAATTCTTATACTCCATATATAAACAAAAATATTTCACTCATAGCTCCATCTATTGTAAGTTTCATGAACTATAATTGTTGTGGATTATAAATAAATGTATAGGTACACACTGACGAGTTACTATAGTTTCTGTTGCAATGCACAGATGGCGCTTGGCAAGCAATATTTTGAAAATGTTATATTAGTTATACTGTTTAATTTAATTTAATATTTTTTATAACTATTACTTAATGAATTTTTGAATTTTTGCTTGAACTTCATGGCGACCCTTTTGATTGATTTCAGCATGAGAAAATTGATTGTGAGTTTTCCATTAATTTATAAACAATTTAGCCATCAAGGTAAGTTCAAGTAAATCTATATTTAACAGGCCAATTGCTTAATTGACACGAGTCAAGTAAATATGTTGAGTAATTGTGTCACAGGTGTAGATATCGAAGCCTTATTAGAAGTTTATTGAAAAGAAACAGCCAAGCTCGACGTGACTTTGCAATGACTTAATAAGCTCATCACTTGAGATACTCGATTTCATTGCACGAAAAGAGCTTAAACCTGATAGAATGTGTTGAGCTAATCAACTAAAGTCGCTGTCGAGCAACAGACTCTGCTTCACTTGCTCTCGTCGCTTTCTCAGCCAAGTTCAAAGTCAAGCGCGAGTCGTGAAGCCGCAATGCAATGCCTGGCATTAACCTTAACACTGACCAAATTTCACGCACAGCCAGCAGTGATATCGCAGCTTTATAAAGTGAAGACTGAAAGCCGACATTAATAACGTAATTGACGCTTTTATTCCACTCATCGCTTAGCACCTGCTTGCAAAGTCGTTGATCATCGCTCGAGCGGGCAGCTAAAAGCCACGAAAACACGTTTCATGTCCACATTAAAATTGGCCACTATTAAGAGCTGGCTTAATGGCTTAAAAGTAAACAAATTATTTGTAACAAGTTTTATTACCGCACAAGCCGAATACAAATTGCCCCACGACAATTGTAACAGTCCCATGTGGGCGTATCGCCCAATCAATAAAGATGTTAAGCTGATGACTCGCTGAAATATTCATTTCGTATTCGTATCAGTTGGGAGATAGGGCAGGAGGGAGGAGAACGAGGATGACGGGCAGAAGGAGGAGGAGGAGGGCACGAGGGGAAGAAGGAGGAGAAGCGGCAGAAGGAGCAGCAGCAAGAACGGGAGCAGGAGCAGGAGCAGGAGCAGGAGCAGGAGCAGGAGCAGGAGCAGGAGCAGGAGCAGGAGCAGGAGCAGGAGCAGGAGCAGGAGCAGGAGCAGGAGCAGGAGCAGGAGCAGGAGCAGGAGCAGGAGCAGGAGCAGGAGCAGGAGCAGGAGCAGGAGCAGGAGCAGGAGCAGGAGCAGGAGCAGGAGCAGGAGCAGGAGCAGGAGCAGGAGCAGGAGCAGGAGCAGGAGCAGGAGCAGGAGCAGGAGCAGGAGCAGGAGCAGGAGCAGGAGCAGGAGCAGGAGCAGGAGCAGGAGCAGGAGCAGGAGCAGGAGCAGGAGCAGGAGCAGGAGCAGGAGCAGGAGCAGGAGCAGGAGCAGGAGCAGGAGCAGGAGCAGGAGCAGGAGCAGGAGCAGGAGCAGGAGCAGGAGCAGGAGCAGGAGCAGGAGCACGAGCAGGAGCAGGAGCAGGAGCAGGAGCAGGAGCAGGAGCAGAAGCAGAAGCAGAAGCAGGACAGGAGCAGGAGCAGGAGCAGAAGCAGGAGCAGGAGCAGAAGCAGAAGCAGAAGCAGAAGCAGAAGCAGAAGCAGGAGCAGGAGCAGGAGCAGGAGCAGGAGCAGGAGCAGGAGCAGGAGCAGGAGCAGGAGCATGAGCAGGAGCAGGAGCAGGAGCAGAGCAGGAGCATGAGCAGGAGCAGGAGCAGGAGCAGGAGCAGGAGCAGGAGCAGGAGCAGGAGCAGGAGCAGGAGCAGGAGCAGGAGCAGGAGCAGGAGCAGGAGCAGGAGCAGGAGCAGAGCAGGAGCAGGAGCAGGAGCAGGAGCAGGAGCAGGAGCAGGAGCAGGAGCAGGAGCAGGAGCAGGAGCAGGAGCAGGAGCAGGAGCAGGAGCAGGAGCAGGAGCAGGAGCAGGAGCAGGAGCAGGGAGCAGGAGCAGGAGCAGGAGCAGGAGCAGGAGCAGGAGCAGGAGCAGGAGCAGGAGCAGGAGCAGGAGCAGGAGCAGGAGCAGGAGCAGGAGCAGGAGCAGGAGCGCAGGAGCAGGAGCAGGAGCAGGAGCAGGATAGCAGTAGCAGGAGCCGGAGCAGGAGCAGGAGCAGGAGCTAGGAGCAGGGAGCAGTAGCAGGAGCAGGAGCAGGAGCAGGAGCAGGAGCAGTAGCAGGAGAGGAGCAGGAGCAGGAGCAGGAGCAGGAGCAGGAGCCGGAGCAGGAGCAGGAGCAGGAGCAGGAGCAGGGCAGCAGGAGCAGGAGCAGGAGCAGGAGCAGGAGCGGAGCAGGAGCAGGAGCAGGAGCAGGAGGCAGGAGCAGGAGCAGGAGCAGGAGCCAGGAGCAGGAGCAGTAGCAGGAGCAGGAGCAGGAGCAGGAGCAGTAGGCAGGAGCAGGAGCAGGAGCATGAGAGGAGCAGGAGCAGGAGCAGTAGCGTCGCAGGAGCAGGAGCAGTTGAGCAGAGCAGGTAGCAGGAGCAGGAGCAGGGAGCAGGAGCAGGAGCAGGAGCAGGAGCAGGAGCAGGAGCATGAGCAGGAGCAGGAGCAGGAGCAGGAGCAGGAGCAGGAGCATGAGTCAGGAGCAGGATCAGGAGCAGGCGAGAGCATGATCAGAGCATTATCATTATCTCATTACGCAATGATCATTATCATTATGTCATTATCATTATCAATCATTATCATGATCATTCGCATGAGCATAGCATATCATTATCATTATCAGTAGCAGATATTATCATGATTAGTATCATATCATATCATATCTTATCATTATCATTATATTAGCATTATATTATCATGATCATTATCATTATCATTATCATTATTTTATTGATATAATATTATTAGTATTATTATAATTATGAAGAATAACATCATTATCATCTTCTCATTAGGATTATCCTTATTATATGATTATAATTAGCTCCATTATCATTAGCATCAGCTTCCGCATCATCACTGTTATCATATAACAACTTCAGTTCAAATTTTCCTGCATAGATTTCATTGCAAATAAATAACTTTGCTAAGGCTACGGTTTCTCCCACCTAATACACCCGTAAACTACAATTATGTATATCGGCCAAGTAATTGCCTAATTGTTATGGGAAATATGTAAGTAGCGGACGACTCCGTTCCAGTGCCAGCCACACGCGCATTCGGATCCAGACGTGGATATGGAAATGAGCCAGCGAAGTGCTGCCTTTGGCCAGCTGATTCGCGCGACCCCTAATAACATATGCGCACTTCGTTTGACTTAGTCATTAGACGAGTCGTGAATTTTTCTAATTTCTAAGCGTTTGTTTATTTATAAAAGCGTAAATGAAGACTACAAACAAATATGGTCGAGACTAAGGCGACGTATCACAGTCGATGTTCGTTATAATAAGGCAGGCAACTGTCGGACTAGACGATAAAATCGGCGCGGCTATTTTCTCTGGTGATCAAATATGGACGCTTCTCGGTGGGGCAGTTGAACTTCTCAAACAAATGAACGCTAAAGCCGCTCTTCTCGCCAGGCATCTCCAGCATATTGTTCCAAATCGCATTGGCCGCTGAGGCCTGGCCGCGCTGACTCAAATGGAAGCAATCCTCGGAGAAGAACCGCGTGTCCGTCAGCCCCGAGCGCGTGCGCGGAAAGTCCTCGAACTGCGAAAACGGCTGCACATTGATGGTGAATGTCTGCAAAGAGTTGTAGAGTTACAATGTGTGCCTACCTCTGCCGTATGGACTCACATCTGTATTGAACTCGGTCCTGTTGGCTATCTCGTAGTCCTTGGCAATCCAACGTTTCATGATGGCCTCGTAGTAATCCAGGTGCTGCTTGCTCTTGCCCATCAAGCACGGGCACTCAAAGGTCAACGTGGTCTGGCAGATGGGCGGCAAGCCGGAAAGCTTGGTCAGAAAGCGTAAGTTGGGCGCCGGCACCACATTCAGCATGAGCCGCGGCACATTGTCCCTTAGGTAGCGATACGTTTTCAGCATATTCCGTTCATGCCAGCTGACTGTAAGCTCCGGCTGTGAGTAGAAGCAGATGTCGGCACAGAAGTCGTTGTTGCCTATGAACATGGTAACCAGCTTCCAGTCCTGGGTCATGTTCACGTTGGGATCGTGCTTCATGCGCTTCACCAACACCTTGGCCATGTAGGGCATGTCTCGGGACATGGCGCCCAGCTCGGCTACATTGAAGCGCGATGAGCGATCCGTGGAGAGGCCATCCTTGAGCGAATAGCCATAGAGCTTGGGATTGAACTCCTTGAGTATGTTGGGCAAGGTGAGATATTTGTGCCAATTGTATTGTCCGCCAATGGACCAAACCACGCCTCGATTCTCCACGGTCACGTGCCCCAGATTGGAGGCGAAGATACCATTGCCCGCGGTCAGAGAGTCACCCATGCCGCCAATAATGTCTATGTCGCCGGGCCGCAGTCGATGCACGCTGCTCGGGCGCTCAGCACTGCGTCTGCCAGGCCCCTCTTCGGTGTCGCAGAATTGGAGAAGGGCGCGCGTACGCGGATTCGATTTTTGGGTTTTCTGAAAAGCAAACACAAATGGAGGCTAGTAGGAAAGCAAAAGGTGCAGCGGGACAAGACCTACGCCCGCGCTACGCACGCGCTGCACGTTCGCCGGCTGATCGCCGGATCGTCCAGTGAAGGCCAGGCTGAGCAAACGAAGTGGTCGATACGCATTCCTGAAGGTCACATCCAGTGACGTGCGCTGTGACGTCACGCAGCCGATCAATCCAAGCAGCAGCAGCAGCGAAAGAACGAGTGACAGCTCCTTTAATGACGTCTTGCCCATCTCGTTTTACAGCTGAAATGAAGTGAAGATTAATGTATGTGTGGAGGGCTCGCAAACTCTTGCTATCGTTGGTGACGTCCTCGACACTGAACCAGTTCTGCGTAGACATAACGTTACACAGACGCCGCCGCCTTGCTAGTTTGTTCACCTTTCGGCGCTTGTTTTGGTTTGCTTTTCCGTCGAAACATACGTTTATGCTTAGTCAGCGTTGTCTGGGCCAATTCTTAGCTTGGCTTCTAGCATTAAGGCATCCAACAATATTATGCAAATGTGCGTTCAAACTCAGAAAAAGTATTATAGAAAAAGCGTTCCGCATAAATGAGCAGTCGTCTTAACAGCTTCTTCAGAATGTGTTCTCCACATGCTCCGCAGTTGGGATAATTATCCACAGCAGCACAAAGTTCATTAGGTGTTGACCGTGAGACGCGAGAATGTATTTGAGTTCTTCTTGAGAGCATCTTCTGTTAAACGACTAACCAGTTGTGACAAGAAGCTCATATATTCAATATGCGCAGACTAAACTTAATTAACAATTGTCACTCAACTAATTCGATCCGTTCATTCTTTTGGCACGCTTTCAGTAAAGCAAAAGATTGTTAAATGCTCAAAATTATATATTTTTATAGCTTGGTAGGCGGAAGTATCGAGCGATCGGAGTGAATACGCGTGCTAAATCCAGTTGTGATCAAGATTCATGTAGACTTTGTTTCCTTTTCGCATTATGCACAGATCTCAAACAAAAGACTTAGAAAACAAACGCGGTCAATTAGATGAATCGGAAATGCAGCCGAGGCACACTCAGGAAACAGAATTCGAATTAGAATTAGATAATATTTGATTAGAACAAACACAGAAATCCATTACTTATACCTTTCGCTTGCTTAAATCTTTCGTATTTCAATTCAGTTTAAATTGGAAATTCACTTTTTTCAATCTTTGTTTCTCTTTATTCGTAAATCTTGCAACAAAAGAATTGCACAATTACATAAAATGTCGCGAGCGAAAACCTTTTAATTCTCTTATTTATATTGCAAATTTATGGCCCCAGAAGGCAGCGCGTCCGGCTCCGTTGACCGCATAGAATCAACTGCCCGGTAGAATTTCTGATTATGCTGATTTTATATGGATTGCCCCCAGAGCCGGACAGCGTAGTACGCATAGAACGAAATAAAATAAAATACAAAAATAAAGAAAAAAATATATAAAGTTCGCAGCAGTATACGAAACACGTAAAAAGAACAAAATACAATACAAATTAAGTGCGAATTGTCAATGGTGAGTATGCGCGACTTGCGAATACCCTGTCCATTTCAGAGGCATGAATATTCGGTAAATATATTTCAGTTGTATCAATATTCTTTGCCTTGAGTTTCAGCTTCCAAATTGACTTTTTTCTCTTTAAGCTCATCTTTCAGCTTGAAACAGCTAAAAGTTTTAACAATTTTTATTCATTCTTCATCTTTTTAAATGCTAACTAAACTATTGAAGCTCTGCAGTTGAGTCTACTTGATACACAGTTTTTCATTTATCTAAATGCTTTTTAAAGCAAAGTCTGATTAGTTATAAGGTTTTTTATGGTTGCCCTTAAAAAATTAGTGAGGTTCCCCAATAATTCCTAGAAATAAAAAAATTATACTTTTTAATAAAATATTTAAAAAATTTTAAAAAATAAATTACATAAATATTTTTCTAAAATTTTTTCAGATACTTAACCGTTTGAGTCTGTCGTTCTAGTATACCCCTCCCAATTTAGCTACGTAGTATATATTATATCAAAATTGGCTATCTGAGTTTCACACACTCACACTTGTGCGCAAAATGTGGCTGAGGCGCAGAGCCGGTTGACGCGCCGTCTAAAAAACAACGTTCTTCTGAAATTCACTTTCGACGAGTTGTTAAAAATAGTTCTACGCCACTATCAGCTGCGATCCACTTGCCAGACGTCCAAAGCGGTTTTAAAGCCATGATCAGACTGAAATGAAATGCTCAAAGGGTCTTGCTTAGGGATCGAGCTGCAGTTGAAAGGGAACGAGACTTACAACTCATCCAGCATCATCTGCAGCAGTTTTAATTGTAAGTCGATCTGGAAATAAATACTCAGACATTAGAGTTGTACGTGCTCCGCCGGCAACAGATACACAGACAGTCATTAATTTAACCGTTTCTTCAATTGGCTTTTGTTGATTTTATCACTGGCAATGCTATAAACAATGCTTAATCGCATAAACCTTTGGACCATGTCGCAGTCAAGTATTAACACATGGAACACCACTTGTCAAAAAGGTCTAGTTGGGGTTAAGCTGTAGACTGCAATCACTTTTTGCTTCTAAGTCAAGTTCTTTGAGAGATTGAACATCATTCCATCGTTGACCAGCGCCATCGACTTGACACCTACCACTTCCTCTACAAACAATCCAGTGAGTGTTGCCATTCAGTAACCTTGTGGCGCTATACAATATATAATAATACATGAAATAACGGCACGAAGCAATTAAAGCAAAGCAACAAAAAAACAACAACTTGTTTTAAATTAACATCACCAGAAAACAAGAAGGAACCGCCTTAAATAACACGACGACGCTCGTGGCATCATCTTAAAGCCTGCCTGTTCATGATGATCATGATAATGATTAAGATGACATCGTTAAGTACTGTACAAATCAATACGACCGTTTATCGAAGAGCAGCTATCAATTGTTTTAAATATAGACTTTCAATAACATCAGGCTCTTATGCTAATGATATGTATGTTTGACTCTACAGGGGAACCCATTCAATAAAAACCCGATGAAACTGTTTATCTCATGAATATAAAAATATAAATGAATACTAAATATATACATACCGTACAATAATACAAGCAACTATAAAAATATGAGTATGGCAAAGTCCGATGCCACTTAACTTAGCCGAACTCACAGTAAGAGTCCTTATTAGCAATTTTTAAACTGCAATAAATATAAAATGAAGGATATAAGTCTCTGACATACTCTCTATAACAAAGCAATTTTTAGTTAATTCTGATATTCACTGAATTTCTTTAAGTTTCGCTGGTTGAAACATTTGAGAGGTCAATAGAAATCTACAGCGTTATTGTATATTACTTTTACAGGGTATTGCGCAGTCACTGTCATCTTGTTATAATGTTTAGAAATTCTTTAAGTTACGCATTTAATATCCGATGTCGTAATCAAAGATGTCTGAAACGTGAAATCCATTGTTTACATTTTTCCGTTACAATAAATAGTTCACCTTTCAAAACTAAAACAGAAGCTTTTGGATTGCTTTCATTCGTTAACGATAGTAGAAATGGAACACCACTGCTTCTAATATCGATACATCGATATCCTTAGTCTCGATTTTGCCTGTCGGCAAATGGGAGTTGCGACGTTATCTTTTAGTAAAAACTAACATAAATTAAAAGCGTTTCATAGAAAACTTGATTTGATAAGGGACACAATAGAACAGGAAGCTGGCGCAGCAGCCACATCAGCAAATACGCAGCATCTCAAACTAGACGGGAAAGCCGAAGCAGAGGCCGGCAAAAAACAACAAAGACAACAATTCTGTTTTTTGACTGCCCACTTACAATGGGCGCTCTGCGATGCATGGGCTGGATAACCGGTTGCTCGGTATTCACGGCATTTATTTCAATAATTTGGCAGGCATTTCTGTCACTGCAGGCGCTCAACAAAACAACCGTACTCCTTACTGGTCTCCTGGCCATTGAGGGCGGCCTCAAGAGATCGTCCTTCGAGCCGGCACCCAAAGTAGCCGTGGGCTATGGCGCCTGCACGGATCTGCAAATAAATGCTACAGAGTTTCTGGAGACCTTCTACAAAATGCGTGTGCCCGAGGTGAGCACCGACTTTGCAGCGAACGATGTGAACAACGAAAATGAATTCCTGCAATCATTTGCCTATTACTTCAAGAACGGCGCCGCAGCTGAGTAAGTGCAGTCATTGGATATCAGAATCACATTAATATGCATATCAATTTTATAGGCGCGTCATAGCCAATGGAACGCTGTTCAAACAGCTGATAACAAATGCCAAAATAATGGACAAAGAGCGCATTCATTGGTATATGGGAGGCAATGCCCCATTGATGGCTGTGCGATTTGTAATGGAGGGTGCAGATGTACTGCTGGGCGCTCATATGTCGAAAAAGTATGTGCTCATACACACATGTACTTACATGTGTATTGAAGCTTTTCAGGGTAAAATAATATATTTTTTGTTGTTACCAGATTGCGACCTTTGCTGCCCAAGGAGATTCGTCTTGCTGGAGACGAGATACCAGATGATGATATACATCTTATTCTCGAGTATAAGGCCGGCGATAAATGGGGTCCATATGAGGCACCACGCGCCAATCGTTATATACTGCATAACGACAAGAATAATCCGCATTTGAGGTCAGTGGAGCAGCTGACAGACGCACTAAAGCAATATAACCCGCAGCTTCTTGTGGTCAGCGGTCTGCAAATGATGGACATGTTTAAGTTCAGTCCTGGTGTGCGTGAAGCCCGATTGCGCCAGGTGCAATCGCAACTGACCAGCCAGCCCCCAGACACACTGCATCATTTTGAATTTGCCAGCTATGTGGAATTGCAGCTCCTGCATCAGCTCCGGCAGTTTGTGCTGCCCTATGTGGACTCTTTGGGCATGAACGAACAAGAGTTGTCAAATCTGCGGCAAGTGCTCCGTCATGGACGCACCACATTGGCCACTGACTGGAATCCACGTATTGCCAATACACTGGACCAAATGCGTCAAGTGTTTATCAGTCTACTAGAAGACTACTATGTGCAGCGCATGATCGACTCGCACAGACGCATGGTATCCAGAATACACGTGCACACCCTTGCCTATCAGGCCATTCTGACCATTACAAATTCGAAGTGGAAAAATACGCGAGCTGCAGCAGCTAAGGCCGCATTGACGGCTCATCGTTACGTCTGCAAATCCCAATTTGTAAGTGATAAACCCTTTTATATACATTTTATATGCAGTAAAACTTTTCGTTTATAGATTAATCCAGAATCGGTGACTCTTGTTTTGGACGACAGCTTCGCCACGTCTGCTCAGGAGCAAGCACCTCGTATGCGCATAGGCGCAGCCAATCCTGTGCCTTGCTGGCAAGAATTTATACAATTTGGCGCGGATCTGCAAAAAATCGAAGTGGAGATATGCGTTGCTCCAGTGCTGATATGCCGAGTGGCTAAAAAGACAGCGGGAGCTGGAGATAATATATCTGCCTCGGGACTTGTGGTCCAATTGTGAGGCATAAGAAACTCAACAAAACAAAAAAGCAATAAGGATGACAACGATCATGTTTGGGACTGGCAAGACTGCTTAGTATTTACACGAAATGCAAAAGACTCAAAATAGCAACCCCTCAAATTGAATCCTCGACATAACAACTACCCAATCTCAAAAACATTCCCTGTTGAATAATGTTTATAGACAGCATGTTTAGCACCTTAGTGACCTTAGAAACGCGTTACCTTCAGTACATGGATTACGGACGCCGACAAATCCTTAAGAATTTTGGAATGGAAAGGAACAACGATAGAGTTGGCTCATGGCCTTAGTACTACATATCTAGAAGATGAGTTTGCAGATAACAGAACAAAACTTGAAATTCAGCTGTTGAAACATTCGAATCTTAGTTTACTTCTACATCGAATCTCTGGATACTTACTCACTCTTAATTATTTTAAATGTTCAAAATTATTCCTAAAATGCATAGAAATGCAACCTAGTCTAAGTTTATTAGTTTTTCGTATTGTTTTTCTATTCGGTATTATATCGATGTAAACCATTCCTACTTACAATTTGTTTTGCGCACTTGGTTTTAGGCTAAAATGACAATGTATTCATAAATGCATGTATAATAAAAATTTCTGTTGAAATCTAACTCAACTAGTTTGAAATTCCTATCAATATATTTTCAATCGGCAACAAAAAATTACTAAACTAAAATATATACTTTGCAAAACAAATTTAATTCCAATAGCTGGTTTCGTTGGGCGCGCATTAGCAATTAAGTCGAACTAGTGCGATAAATTTATATACAAATATCGATTCATCGATAGGTCGATACGGCTAATTCGAGAAGTTTCGTTACCATTCTCGGTCGACGTCGACGTCGCCGCTTCAATTTTCATTACGCTGAAAAAACGTGTCGGTCGCGGTAGAAAAATTGTAAGCGTTTATACATTATTAAAATAAGTATAAAGCGTCTACATACAAAAAATCTGCAAACATGTGCGTAAATATATCATCACAGATAATGTCAATAGAAAAATCTTTTTGTACGCATAAGAAAATTCCGTGGGCGTCTATATGGGTAGTTTTTCTCATACAAATCTACAGCCCACAGATAAATCCATAATTTATGGAAAATTGCTCAAATCAAAAGAAATTCTGGACTAATATGTCAATTGAAATAATATTGACGCATGTGTGTATAAATATTGAAGTTATTAAAACTAATATATTTTCTCTTACAGTTGCTGAAAAACAAAACAGCCGTTCTATTAAAAAACAAAAAGAAGGAATCTAGGCAACAAAGTCTAAACAAATAACTAGTTTAACTTAATCAATCAATCGAATCGGCAGTCGAAACTAAAGAGAAATGTCTGTGATTGGCATCGATTTCGGTAACGAGGGCTGCTATGTAGCGGCTGCCAGATCCGGCGGCATCGAGACTCTTGCCAATGACTACAGTCTGCGTGCAACACCGTAAGTACCCAAAAAGAAAAGAAAAGAGAAACAAGAACTAGCACATGATTATGATTACTGCCTTTATTGGGATATCAATTAACGAAAGCTTTCAATATTGGTTGTGCATAATCGTTTGCTCTTTTTCATTGAGGTTATGTATAAATGTAAGTCATGCCCAATACCTTTTGTATGTGTGCGTGCGTAAATACGCATGTATGTGTGTGTAAATGTGTTAATGTATGCGCGCCTAGAAATTTCCATTGTTGTCACTGGTAACGCTTTTAATACGGAATTTTTATATAAAATATGTACAGATAAAATGTAATATGTACATGCAGTACCATATGTATGCAATTGTGCGCTCGCTCGAGCCTAAATTTGGCTCTGGGTGCTCTCCATAAAAAGCATTGCAAATTAATGAGAGGCCACATTGAAATGTTGCACTGCGTGTTGCTCCATTTGAAATGTGGCTTCGGCACAATATTTGAATCAGATTCTTGATTTATAAATGTAGAATGCGTGGGAGCAATTTCCACTTTCGCCAATATATTTTTTAATTTGGCCAATCTACATACACACACACGTCGGCGCACGCAAATCATCGCATGCGTCATGCGGTCAGTCAATAGTAGCATCAAAGAGGAGAGCGAAAGGCGCTCGCAGCAGCAACAGCAGCTGTTGCCGTGAAGAAAATGGGCGAAAAAAGAGTGCGAGAGCAAATGCGTTCACACCAAAGTTGTCAAAAATAAAATCAAAGCCGGCAAAACACGATCGCACATACATGTGCATACTATGACAACACGTTTATACATATACGGCCATGTGTACGCATATATAGGGTTGTATATGTGTGTGTATAGCGATTTAATTAAGTTTGTTGTGGCAACGCGACCATATTTGACGCGTTGCTTGTACATCTGTATACCCTGTAGCAGTACATTTATATAGACTCCCTAGAATCTTCTAGTAGACCTCAATGAAATATAAAATTTTACCCCTTGGCTGCATAATCTCTAGCTGTGCTTAGACTAATAAAAAAAATAAAAAACCATACGATTATTACAAATTTGCTTGTATTAAGAAATGCATATATAATTTATTATGATTCCACTAATTTCATTGTTACTTTCTGCAGCTCATTTGTGGCCTTTGATGGCAAGAAACGCATCATTGGCGTTGCCGCCAAGAACCAGCAGGTGACAAACATGAAAAACACAGTTGGCGGCTTTAAGCGTTTACTTGGCCGCAAATTCAACGATCCACATGTACAGCATGAACTCAAGAGCATTCCAGCGCGCGTGGAGTCGCGCAATGATGGTAGCATTGGCATCAAAGTCAACTATTTGAATGAGGATCAGCATTTCTCTCCGGAACAACTGACGGCTATGCTGTTCACGAAGTTGAAGGAAACCTCGGCGGCGGCCATGCAAACGCAGGTGAATGACTGTGTCATTACCTGCCCCGTATTCTTTACCAACGCCGAACGTCAGGCATTACTTGATGCCGCACAAATTGCGGGCCTCAATGTACTGCGCTTAATGAACGAGACAACGGCTACGGCATTAGCTTATGGTTTCTACAAGAACGATCTGTTTGAGGAGAAACCACGCAATGTTATCTTCGTTGATTTCGGCCACTCGGCGCTGCAGGTCAGCGCCTGTGTGTTCACCAAGGGCAAGCTGAAGATGTTGGCGAGCAGCTGGGATCAGATTGGTGGGCGCGATATTGATTTGGCGCTGGCAGACTACTTTACCACGGAGTTTCTTGAACGCTATAAGATCAATGCCAAGACTAATGCACGCGCCAATCTGCGTTTGTTGACCGAAATCGAGAAGCTGAAGAAGCAAATGTCTGCCAACAGCACAAAACTGCCTCTGAATATTGAATGCTTTTTAGACGATGTTGATGTTAGCTCATCAATGCAGCGTTCGCAAATGGAAGAGCTATGCGCTCCAGTTCTACAGCGTGTCGAGCAAACTTTTAAGAAACTCTTAGTGGAATCAAAGCTTTCACTGGACGATATACACTCAGTAGAAATTGTAGGCGGTAGCACTCGCATACCATCTGTCAAGCAGCTCATTGAGCAGGTGAGTCACTTATCTGTAAGCTTTGATTGATTTGATGGATCTAATGTCTATATTTTGTAGGTGTTCAACAAGCCGGCCAGTACTACACTTAATCAGGATGAAGCAGTATCCCGTGGAGCAGCTCTGCAATGCGCCATTATGTCACCAGCTGTGCGCGTGCGCGAATTCGGGGTAACCGATATACAAAACTATGCCGTAAAAGTGCTATGGGAAGGCGATGGCACATCATCGAACGGTGAAGTTGAAATCTTTCCGCAATTCCATCCGTCACCATTCAGTCGTTTGGTGACCATAGCTCGCAAGAGTCCGTTCGTTGCGTCCATTGTGTACGGCCAACAGGTCCCGTATCCTGATCAAACTATAGGAACATGGAAAATCAAGGACGTCAAGCCAACGGAACGTGGTGAGAGTCAGGATGTTAAACTGAAAGTTCGCATCAATCAAAACGGAATTGTTTTGATTTCTTCGGCCGTGCTTGTCGATCGAAAGGAGCAAGAAGAGGCTGCCGCCGCAAGCGAACAGGCTGCTGCCGACGATAAGAATGCCGGTGAGCAAGCTGGACCCAATGCTAGCGAGCAAGCGGAAGCTCAACCGGAGGTTAGTCAATCCAGAAATATCCCTTAATTGATTATTTAGTAGCATCATAATCAGATTCATACAAAAGTATTCATCTGTTGTTGAATAGGCGCTGCTCTTCTTCTCGCAGTTTTCTAACCCTTCCGAAGTGTTTTTTCTTCTAACAACTTCACCGTACATCAAATCAATCGGTTCTTATCATTTGCTCACTTCTAAATAACACGATACATTTTTATTTGCTGCTCTGCTGTGGCTTATTCACTTAGATAGGAAATGAAACCTAAGACTTAATATGGCAGATAATCTTAATTGAACACGTTTTCCACTTTTGGCATCATCCCTTCTTTTAAGTACTTAAATTGAAATTTTGTAAACATATCTTGCAATTAATTAATTTAAACACAAACAGCATTGTTTATAGGGGCGTATGCTAATTTATTTTATTATCGCATGTTTGTGTTTGAATTAATCACACTTCTAAGCATTTGAGCGTAATGTTTGGTTCGTTTTTGTTTCTTTAGCAATTTTAAATCATACATATATCTAAATACTGAAAACTTCTTGAGTATTGCAACTTGTGATTATATTTTGGTTGTTTCATGTTTGCGTCTTGGTTTCATTCCCAATCCAGTGCTGTAGTTGATATTCCTCTTGCTGTTTAATAATGTTGTATTGTACATTGCATTTGTACGATTATATATATACTACATATACATACAATTATTACAACTATTACCCAAATATTGGATATTGTGCGCTCGCGTTTTGCTCTCTCTTAGGCATATTTTGAGAATGAGGATGATAATAATACATCAACAGCCTCATCACCTGGCGGACAAGGGTGGGCACAACGGGTCAAGGGCTGGTTTGGTTCGGTACGTTTTCAAATTTAAAGCAAATAAAAATCTTAATACAACTATAATTTTTAATATAAAAACAAAATGAGAAAATATCACGAAATTGGAAATGTCGTATGAGAAAATATCAAGCACAACATTTTGCGCTTTCTTTTCCCACCCAACAACCGATAGTAAAACGAATGATGAAGACCGCTCATAAGCCGCCTACCCTGTGTGCTCCTACATAATATTGCAAAAAAAAAAATAAAACAATCAAATAAACTATTAAATTGCTTAAACATTTGCCTAATATATGCTTGAATACTTTTTATTTATTATTCAAATATATACATGTAATTCATTATTATTTAAACAAACTAAGCAAAAAAAGAAAACAAAAACAAAAATACACGTTCTACAATGCGCCTCCAATCCAATGAATGCTACTCGAACTTCTATTTACATAATTAAGACACGACTCACAATCTTTTGCTCATATTGTAGGCTGTTATTTGAGCTGTTTTTCCTCTTCGCTTTGTTGTTGTTCCGCTTCGAACTATTTCCTCTTTCTATTGGCTATAAGAATCGGATAATTATATGGAGTCGTTACATTGTATTAATCTCTGGTTCTTGACTTTTATTTTCTATTTCGCGAAAACAGGGCAATGACAAAACAAAAAAGAAGACCAAAAAGGACATTGAGCTGCCAATGGAGCCTATCACTCATGGTTTCGAGCCAACTGTCTTGACCAGTTATGCACAGCAGGAGGCTAAGATGATTGGCAACGATCAGAAGGAGACGGAGCGCATTGATGCCAAAAACGCATTGGAGGAGTTCGTTTACGATATGCGCAACAAGCTACAAGTAACAATTTAATTAATTTCAGCTAAGCATACATAAATATCAATAACATCATCATATTTACAGGGTGGACCTCTAGAACGTTATGTGGTTGAATCCGAACGCGAGTCAATTGTAGCGCAGTTAAATGATCTCGAGAACTGGTTGTATGAGGATGGCGAGGATTGCGATCGAGAGACTTACACCAATCGGCTGACGGCGTTGTTGCAAAAAACCGATCCGATCAAGCTACGCGCCCACGACTACGAACAGTGCCCGGCAGTTTTCGAGGAGCTTAAGAACAGCATTGCTGTGGCCCGTCAGGCTGTGGCAGAGTTCCGCAAGGGTGTACCCAAGTACGATCATTTGACAGAAACCGAGTTTATCAACATTGCCGAAACTGCGGACAAGGCGCAAAAATGGCTTGACAGCAATTTGTCAAAATTCACGCAATCGTCGCGCACAGCAGACAGTCCTGTCACCCTTCAAGCACTGCGTCATGAGGTGCATTCCTTGAATACTTGTGTCAACTCTGTCATTACGCGTGCGAAACCGAAACCAGCTGCCAAGACAACGACACCTCCCAAGGATGCTGCGGAACAGAATGGCAGCGACCCAACTGCCACCGGGGACAAAATGGATGTGGACAACAACGGGCAAAACGTGGGTGGCAATACGCCCAGTGATGCTGCTATGGACGTAGAGTGAACTCTCCGCCGTGCGTCGTCGGCGATTATTGATATATTTAATAAAAGAAACGAGTATAGAAACAAAACAAATATATATGGTATTGGCTAACGATAAAAACAACAAACAAATTTAACTTTACGTATACAAACATGAAACAACAAATTGTATATGCACTTTTGCTTTCCCGACGCATCAGAATCAGTAAACTGGCAAACTGTAAACAAAACTAAATGTGTAAGCGTATAAAACAAACGATTTGATTAAGTGCAGCAGACGACGATGGCAGTGGAAGTGACAGACAGAGCTGCTGTATGGATGGATGCAACAACTTAATAAAAACTTTTTCTAATCGACCATTTTTGCATATAGTTGAATAACAACAAAAACCGACACTAAAAGAATGGAATTCAAATAATCAAATAAAACCATAATGATTATTCCAAAAACCCTTAATTGGTTTATGTTTGAAATCGAAATATGTTAATATGTTTATTTTTGTTCTATTTATTTGCCAATCAGTTGATTAAATACGTTGTATACCCTTTACATAGTCTACTAAGAAACGCCTCGTTAAATTGCTTAATATATGACAGCGAATACGTAGAATTGAAATAGGTTGAAAGGCCATACAATAAACGATAGCAATATATATATATATATATATATATATATATATATATATATATACGTACGCATGTAGCATCATTGCAAAAATACGTATTTGTTACTGTAGGCACTCGAAAATATTCAGTTCAGTTTTGACCGCTGGACACATTGCAGTCGTATCAGGGTGAATTGTTATATAAAAATATTTAAAACCTATAAAAACATGAAAGTTTTGGTAATTTTTCTGGTCGCATGCTTAGCATGTGCATTAGCCAAAAATGATTCGGTGAGTGCTTTAAGTGGAGTTTATAATAAAATATATTATGGGGCTTTTCGCCAAGCAGTTAAATGAGATTTCAACGCCTTTGGATCAGCAGTGCGGTTCTTATTGTTACACTCTTCTAAGGACCTTAGTCCAGAGTGGAGACAAAGCTAAGAAGAAGGAAGAAGAAAACGCGATTACAATCCGCACCAAAGACACTCAGATCAAGGAACTCGAAGCGAAGGTAGCCGACCTTCAAGCTAATCTGGAACTTTTGAAAGAGAAGGAAAGCGAATATGAGGCGAAGCTTAAGTCGAATGATGATTTAGTAATAGACATAGGTCTGAAAATTGATAGTCTCAAAAACAAAGTGGCGCAGATTGCAGAAATAAACTCAAATACAACAGTGACTACAGTTAAACCTGAATTTTAAAAGAATCTTATAATTATAATCTTAAATATTTAATAAATGCGCCACTAGAAAAAATATATATAGAAAATATACGCAGAGCTGATATCATGTGTAACATTGTGATTATATTTCGAGATTTATAGGCGCTTATATTATAAAACTTGTTTATAAAGGGGAATGCGAATGCGTGGATAGCTAGCGTGTATGTATATGAGATAAATAGGAAGTTTGGCTGCGAGCTGGTGACTAGTGTATAAATATTATTAACTATAAATTATTTGTTTAGGGTTCGCTTGAAGGCTCTTCGGTGCGATCCAATTTAATTATTAATGCATTTATGATGCAGGCGCCCGCCTCCTTTGTAAACCAGCACAGATCGTTGAGCAGATGCACAGAAGATTCATTTAACGAACCAGAGCTGCTGCAAGCACCGCCAGCAGCACCACCGGATCCATCATTCGGAGCCTCATTATCGGTCGTATGCAGACTGCGTCGTTTGGCCTCGGTAGCTGCTTTGCCCGTGGTCACACCGGAGATGGATTGCCGACGCACGTACACCTCAAACGAGGTGGAAATGCGATGGACGCCTTGATCAGAGACATAATGATGCTGTGGCAGCACCGGTTCAATCACTGTAGCATTGGGCGAATAGTAGAGCTCCAGACGTGTGCCGGGCTCATCTTTGTGCGTGGCCGCTACAGTGTCCTCGTCCATTTCAAGCGGCAACGGCTGGCCACGATCCAAAATGGCTCGAATCTTATCCACACGTGTCATGTAGTAGAAGGGCAGCCAGTCACCATTTAGATCCAAGTGCACCTGTGCTGCCAAAGATCCGGCTGCGGACGAAGTTGATGTACTTAGCGCATTAACGGTCTGTTGATTCAACTTAAAGTACACCCAGCCCTCCAGTTTGTCGCCGTTACCGTTGCTATTGCCGCTGCACTTCGAGCAGAAGCAAATCGGATCGAGGCGAATGTCAAAAAAGGCCTGTGGCAACACCAGGGACGCACAGAACCGTTTCACCTGCTTCAAATATTCGCAATCGTTTTGCTCCATAGCTGCAGCTGCAGTACGCAACGAGTCTCGGGCATTGCCACTGGAATTCGTTTCCGATTCCAAGGAGTTGAGCGAGGAGAGATCCAAATTAAGTAATGACATTTGGTCCGGTATCAAATGATGTTGCATGCGCGTGTATTCATTCTGTTGAAGCTGCTGTAGCAGCAGTAAATGATTCATATAATCAATCTCATCATCCTCCAGCACATTATCCGGCTCGCTAGACTGTTCGCGTTCATTGGCTGCCTCAACAACTGCCTCTGCGTTGTTCTCACTGTGCTCCGACTCATGCGAAGCGTCCATAGCTGGTGCAACAGCACTAGAGCACAAAACTTGCTCATCATACTCCTTGTTGGTGTCATACACTACGTTTGAGCCATGAGACTGACCCGCTGTATTCGAACTACTCGCACCACCACCACCTGTTGATGTATTCAGCGAGTTCTGAAACCGTTGGGTACTCTGACTCCGCTGTATATTCAGATTTGTGTTATGCTGAAGCTGCAAGGACTCGCGCAAGCAACTACAAACAAAATTTATTACAAAACTGAATACTTTTTGTTTTTAAGGTTTCTAAAGAACACTTACCAGGTGGACGATGAGCCGCCGAGTTCATTGCGCTGTTGTTCAAGGGTCCGATTTTTAATGGAAATATTAAGCAACAGGTTCTCGGAGACGCTCTCCATAACCGAACGGGTCCTTTTGATAAGAGAGCATAGAATTAACAGTCTGATCGACTTGCTATTATAAGTATTGCTTACATGACATTGGCTGAGGCGGAAGTTGAGGCACCTGTGGGCAACTCTCTAGCACTATCGCTGAGTTGCTCCGTATCCTTCTCCTTCTCGTGCATTTCTAAATGTGCCTTCTCGCACTGTTGCGGCATATTGTCCAGCTCCAACGCCTCAGGTGCCTCCAAAATGGGCGTGCCGTTGGCATTGCCAGTGCGAGTGGCATCATTGCCCGTAAGCAAAGTGATTTTCTCGCACTTTCCATATATATCAAAAATTGGATACACATGACTAGGCAAGCCGCTGGCCAAATCCTCTAGATTCGTAGAGCCTACCATAATAACTGAAATACAGAAATTTAATGAATCTCATTGCTATCTCGAAGCTTAGCCATACTTACTTAACATGCCAGCGTGTGTGAGGGTGATGGTAATCACTGTGCCCACCTGAATGCTATCAAGTGCTTCACCATATTTGGAGGCCATTACCTGGCCATTGATGTTGATGTAGTCGTGCGTGGCCAGCCAGCAGCTGCGCTTGCAGTTGAGTAGCGATATGGGCACAGACAGTGCTTGAGGACAAGCTGCCAACACACCCAAGCTCAAAGTACCCTTCCATTTGTTGTTAATGGCATCTACTTTGATGCTGATGCTTTCGCCCTTGCACAAAGGTTTGTTGAGATACACAATAGCCTGGTTAAACGACTTGCTTCTGGATGCACTTCGACGATCATCGGAGAGGCGCGTATACTTATTGGATATGTCCACAAATTCATAAGTTTGCGCCTCTGAATCGATCGACTCCAGCATTGAGCTGTCCTGCTTGTTCAGAGGATCCATGCCAAAGTCCATGGAGTCCTGTAGTCGTAGGCTGCATGGACGCAAAGGAGACGCGGGAACTTGAGTAGAGATCACCTGAACAGCCATCGTCGAGCCGAGCAGCTCGGCAACAACGTACACATTGTTGGGCACATTGTGAAATTGAATGTTCACATTCTCGGAGTTTAGCAGAATGTTCACTGAGTTTTCCACGCGCTCCAGCGTAATGCGATCATCCACGCGCAGCCACTCCAGCGAGGCAAGCGACCGTTGCAGGCAGCTGGAATTCAAGCGCACCTCATTGCCGCTCACATACCAGACATTTGCTGGAATACGTTTAAGGCTCGTTGGCAGCTTCTTCCGCACGCTTTCATCGCCCAAGTTGAGATCTGTGATGCCAATGCTGAGGCAGCCTATAACAAGATTTGATTAGGGCTAAGATTCACAAGGGATTTGCTAACCTACCGGCAAACATGGGATTTATAGATGTAATCTTTATTTCAAAGGGTGAGCCCACACTCAGTGGATGCTCTGCAAAGACCAGGCTATGCGAAAGGGCAGCCGTAGATCCTGTATATCGGGATGCCTCTGTCCAATCCTTGGTTAACACAACGTTGCCCGAGACGAAAGTCCAGCGATGCTTCGTCTCCAACGCTGGATGTTGTATAACGGACGTCGCTTGGCAGCTCTGCGAATTCTCGCTGGTGGCATACGGAGCACGTATGTCCAGCTGTGTCTGGGTCAGGCTAACCTGTGCGCACTGCCCATAGAGATCAATAATGGCCCAAATGTTGGGCGCATGGCACTCCCCAGCCGGGCCCTGGTCCATGCCGTCCACAAAGAAGTGTATGTAGTCGCCATTGCGCATCACGCCAACCCGTGCTCCTGTGCCAAGAGTGTCCAAATCAATGAGTACATTGGTACGTATGGTCTTGCGATTGTGGAAGATCATTGGACCGCACAGTATGATGGTGTCATTGGCCTCCAAGTCGGTCGCATTGGGTGCCAGTTGTATATCCTCCGGCCTTGTGCCAGTGACACCAATCTCAATGTTGCCCGACCAATGACGGACCATAGTCTCTAGCTCGACTTCAAAAAGTTCACGATTACGCAACGGCCGATTACTGAACACAATGGCATCATTGAACTCCGCCAAAGAATTCGGACGCGATGCAGTCAATCCACTATTGGAGATGCCTGCGTTAGCGCCATGAATGTTGTGGAAACGTAGCGGCACCTCGCTGTACAGCGTCGTATTAGAAATGGTAGAGTTTCCCGTATCTGGACTACCACATTCAGATGTGTCAATTATGCTGGCCTGTGCTGCTTGCCCATATAGATCAATCACGCCGTACACACGTTCCGGTACATTTGTCGCAGCGGGTCCCTGATCGACGCCGTTCACCCAAAAATGCAGAGTGCCATCATCTTTACGCACTACCCCCACACGATCGCCCACCTGTAGGCGATCCAGGTTCTGGCCATACTGCTCGATTACAGTAACGCCATTCTGCATGACCCCATTACCTGTCATCATCCAAGTGCCGGAGCTACAAGAAGAAAAGTTAAAGCCGTATTCAAGAGAATCAGATTCTAAACTAACCGCACGTTAGTCATAGTAAATGGAAAATCTAGCTCGTCGGCAGTGTGCGTGGTAACGCCCATTTCAACAGACCCCGCCCATTTGGTGACAACGCGTTCGAGTCGCACTTGGAACAGTTCATTGGGCCGCAAAGGACGTCGGGTTAGCACTACCCCATTATTGAAGTCATCGGCAGCGCTAAAATTTATGTTTAATTTGATTAGAAACTAATAATTCACTAAGCTGGTCTAGAGCACTTACTTGGGTCGGAGCGCTGTGCGTCCGCTCTGCGTGACCGTAGCATGGCTGCCACAAATGTGATGAAATGTGAGACGATCATCATTACGTGCAATGGCGCGTGTGCTGGATATGGTTTCGCTTAGCCCACCAGTTGCACCGGCCACATTCATCTCGCTCTCCGGACTCAACAGACTTAGCGTAGGCGTACCAGACTGGCCATGGCTGCAGGCCATAGCCATGCCAGCGACAATATTGTTCCTCCTTGTGACTAAATTCTGTTGCTCACGTTCGTCGCGATCCACAATGGTCACTTTAATGGTCATGCCGTATAGGTCAATGACGCCCCATAGTGTAGCGGCTACTCTTGTCGCTGCTATGCCCTGATCCTGGCCGTTAATGTAGTAGTGTAGGTTGCCATTAGACTTTCGCATCATGCCAACCCGGTCACCTTCGCGAAGCTCGTCCAAATTAAATTCCCCGTACTGCCTGCGCGTGCCCTTGCCATTGGTTAAAATGCCACAGCCGGACATCATGATGGTGCCACTGCGCATGTTCGTCATTGTGGCTGGAAAATGGAGAATTGTGGGATTATGCGTGGTGACGCCCACCTCAATCGAGCCCGACCATTTGTCCACCAGCTTGTCTATTCGAATCTCAAAAAGTTCGTTGTCGCGGAGCGGACGATGTGTCATGACGACGCCATTGTTAAACTCATCCAACGGACGACGACGCTCCGCTGAGCGAAAGTTAGGTACCAATTTGACCAAAGAACCGCAACGAGTATGGAACCTCAAACGATCGTTAACATCATAGAAATCGCCAATGCCACTGCTGGAGCTGCAGCTACCATTACCATTGAGATTGAGACGTGTCAACGCATCAATATTGCTGCTGTCCACTACGCTCACATCCACACTCATGGGCACTTCCAAATTCTGGATAACCTGCTGAAGCGGCTGTTGCAAGGGCGAGTCCAGCAGCTGCTGAAACAAATGCCATTCAATGAATATATTAAGTAATATAAGTCAACTTTAATACCTCACTGCTGCTGTTGAGGATGGAACTCACGTCCGTGGGACACAGGGACACCTGCACACAACGTCCATAGAGATCAACAAGAGCCCATAGCGGTTTGGGCATGTTCTTGGCGGCCACACCCTGCGACTCGCCATTGACGTAGAAGACGAGATCATGGTTAGAGGTGCGCATGACTCCAACGCGATCATTTTCGTTGAGCGTTTCTAGATCCGTACCGTAGTACTCGAGCAAGCGGCGCCCATCCTTTCGCACATCGATGCCAGACATTACCCAAGTACCATTCCGCATGGCCGTGGCGCAGGCAACCAATTCCAGATCCTCGGGCGACTCCGATGTGACGCCAATCTCAATGCTACCGCCCCAAGAGTGATTCTTCAATAGATAATTACAAAGCTTACGAATAAACACTATTTTTAATAAATCCCAATTCACCTTCTTCTCAATGACCACCTCGAAGAGCACATCGTCCACGAGCGGCTCTGCGCTAAACACGAGAGCATGGCTAAAATTTCGCATTGAGCGTTGTGCGGAACGATTGCCATTGCCAAGCGTTATGGAGCGACCGCAGCGTGTGTGAAAGCTCTGCATTGAGCTGCCTGTGGGGTCAGCAGACATATTAGAAATATTGAACTGTGGTTTCTCTTAATGTTGCACCAACTCCCAACACAAGCCGCACAAAATGTGTGCAGCTAATGATGTTGCATAGTTATAAAAGTTATGCATTATTCGTAGAGTGCGTTGTGTTTATTATCAATAAAAATTTCGATCTCGTATTGAAAATGCAACAAACTACTTAATACTAACTAAATTCAGTTTGTTTTAATTTTTTCTTTGTTTTTTTCTATTTTTTAGCACATTTCTGTATTGTTGATTCTTCCCCCGTTTTCCTTGTTTTTTGAGTTTTGCAATTACAACAGCTGACATACAGCGATAACGATTTAACATTATATATCGATGCGCAAAACATTTACTTTTATTAAATAAACTTAAGCAACTGCCTCTTAAAAGAACTTATTTAACATACCCGACGTTAAATTAATATAAACCATTTATTTAAAATTCAATTTGGTAAATATTAGGTTATTGAGTTGAACTCGATTTAACCGTTGCTGAATTATTCGATAAGTTCATAGAGGTAACGCTGTTGTTCTGTAAGTCGCCCTCCACCGAGCAACTGATTGACAAAAACACATTTTTGGAAATTTCGACTTGAACCAGAATTGCGAAGATTTCCAGATAGTTTTAGAAATTAAAACGGTAAACGAATATCGCCATTGAAGCAAGTAATGTAAAAGATCTTTCTTTGCCTCGATGTCTTCAGCACAGCGTCAAAAGCAATTCGACCCGACCCGCGGCAACGACACAACAATAAGTCAAAAAAACAAAACAAACAGAAGCTTGAACTCTCCCGGACAACGGAAGCTGCAGGTCTCAATGGAGAGCCTACAGGTACAACAACCAAATATCAGTAGACGTTCCGCCGGCTCTAATTGGCAAGCGGCAGCAGCAGTTGGCAGCGAGAATCAAAAACAGACAACAACTGCTGGAGATGAGGACGCAAATGCCGTCTTAACCAAATCGGCACGTGCGCGTCTCAAACGCAAGACACAGCGCAATCGGTACTTGGCCATGGACTGCGAAATGGTCGGTGTCGGTTTCAATGGCCAGGATGACATGCTGGCACGTGTCTCCATTGTGAACAAAGTGGGTGAAGTGCTTTTGGACAAGCATGTGAAGCCCCGCGAGTTAGTCACAGATTATAGGACAAGCGTCTCGGGCATACGGCCCCATGACATCGAAAATGGCGAGGAGTTTGAAGCTGTGCAGGATGAGGTGGTCAAGCTTCTACATGGTAAAATACTTGTCGGCCACGCCCTGCGCAATGATCTCGCCGTGCTGAGCATTAAGCATCCCATGGCCCACATTCGTGACACCTCGCGCTACAAGCCGCTCTGCAAACTCGTCTCGAATGGCCATACACCTAGCCTCAAGCGTCTAACTATGGCCGTGCTTGGCCAGGAGATACAGACCGGCGAGCATAACTCTGTGGAAGATGCACGCGCTGCCATGGGCATCTATAATCGAATTGCTCCTGACTGGGAGAAATATCTAGAACGGCGTCAGCAACAGAAATGACAGCAACATAATACGAATAAACTAGCATTAAGTCATTGTCAATTGATTTTATTAATACAATGTAAATATAAGAAGTGTTGAGCTTAAACTATTCATCTAATGCTTTATCTCTACTCTGCTGGTCACTTAAGATGCTGCCGTGTATTGCATTGTGGCGTTCAACTAATTCCTGCCACGGGTCCTCTAGCATGGAGCTGTGAAAGTACTGGGAGGATGCATTTGCATTTCCTCTGTCATTAAATTGTCTTTGGTTTTGATGCTGTCCACGCCTGCTGCCGCGATGACCAAAATTCCGAGGTGTTCCTTGTTGTTGGTGAGGTGTTTTGTTCTGGTAGAAGTGAGGCGTGTTTGTATTGGAACCTCGTCTGTCCTCATAGAAGTTCATATTTTGTTGTTGCGGCGTTCGATTTTGGTAAAAGTGCGGCGTATTTTGATTGAATCTTTGTGGCGTTTGCTGGCCGCCGTTGTGCTGGGACATGTACTCCGTATTTTGCGATGGGTATTGCCGCACATTTTGCGAGTAAGGCGCGTAGTAGTTAAAACTTTTACGAGGTGTACCCATTATTAAAGCAAATCAAGAGTTTGTAAACAATTCGGTGATCCACTAGACTTCTAACCAGGGATGGTGCACATCGATTAACTTATCGCATTGCTTACCAATAACGGCTTACCAATAACAGACAGAAGTTTTCAAATAAAACGACTAAAAATAGAAAACTATGTAGCTATTTTTATTTAATCACAAATTTGTTTAATTGTACTTGTTCAGCTCGTCATAAATTGTTTTTAAAATAATGTGTTCATAGACACTAGTGGAGAGCGTGCAGGCTAGTATATTTTTTACAGCATAACATTCGGTATTTCAATGCTGCCAAAAGGTCGGTCACACTAACAGTCTCGTTCGAAAACTCGACAAGCGAAGTTGCAAGTCGTTGTGGTCGCGCCGTCGCATGTAAATTGCATTTAAACAGTTGCAGTGGAATTTCGCGTACAAAGCCCTAAGTAATTGAAATGCTACATTAAATTTCAAATTAAAAACGCTTTTAATTCAAATTTCGAGCGAACAACCGGTTAGAGTACAAATTAAAAGCAAGGCTATAAAGTTAAGCGCCTACAGGAGTGTTCTATTGAAATCTGCGCTTTGTCTGTGCCTCAGTGTGTGTGAGTGGAAGAGAGTGTGCAGTATGTGAGTGTGCATGATTGTATGAGAGCTCGTGTTTAATGCATATGTGTGAGTGTGTGCATGTTTTGTGTGTTGGCGTGTGTATGTGTTTGTTCAGTTGCATATAAAGAAGAAGCAGCAGCGGCAGCAGCCGCCGCATCAGCAACAACAACAAGCACATTACTCACTTTGGTGTCATTATTTGTGCTTCCAACAAAATTCTTTTAGGGCGTGTATATGCTTGTGTGCGTGCGTGTGTGTGTGTAAAACATACAAACATATATAATTAATATTGCAGTTAAAAGTGCTTGCATTGCAAATAAAAGAAAGAAGAAAAAATTAACACAGCAACTTTTTCGCCTTTAGTTCAATACGAAAACAACAACAGTAACAACAAAAACGCCCCAAAACAACAACAAACAGACACACTAAAAAAAACGAAAGTATAAAATTGTTTCGGTTGATAAAAATACATAGACAATAATAAATTCACTGGCTGCAGGGCGAGCGCAGGCAAAGCAGAAACATCGCTTTGGATATCTTCAACGGAATCAAAGAGCAACTATCAAGTTGCCCCGAACGCACCCGTGCTCTCTGTCGCACTGTATGGGGCGCGGTGTCCACGTCCCTTAGCACAGCGCTTACTGCGGCGAGCATCGAGGCCGGCGACGCCCGCGACGACGGTGGCGGTGGAGGCGGTGGGGAAGGCGGTGGCGGCGGTGGCGGCGGCGGCGGCTGGTGCAGCACAATAACAACAGCAACAACTGGCGCTGCATCGGCGGGCAGCGGCCGCTTTGCAACCATAATGGGCGCAGTCAAATCTCGTCATATCACCAACGCCGACATGGATCGAGAGGAGGAACAGCATCAACGTCAACATCAACATCAGCAGCAGCCGCCCTTGCACCAACACCAGAACACACACTCCATGCAACGAAATGGCCATCCCAATGCGACGCTCCAAAAGCAGGATCTGCGCTACGACATCGGCTCCAGCTCCCAGTACCATCATGTGAGGCAGCCGAGTGTGCGCAGTCGCAGCCAGCAGCCTATGCCCACCACCGATGAGCTGGATCGTCGATTTGCCAAAGTCTTGGTGAGTTTCGCAATATTGTTCCCGAGTAGCTAAAGGGGACACCAATTTAATCCTTATATCTTTTATCCTAACACCCACAACCCTTGCTCGCTCTATCATACTCTCCATACATGTGATTGGATGAGCTCATCGCGCTTTGTATGCGCGCATGTGTGTGATTGTGTGCGTGTGTGTGTTTCGATAATCCCAGTCGAACTTTTGCTTAGTTAGGAATCAGGTTAGAACTTGTCATAACTAAATGAAGTCAAGCTCAACTTAGCTAAAGACTTAGTTATATTTTATATAAAATAATAAAAATGTATTGGGAGCAACTTATAAGATTTATAGGATAAACTTATATGAAACAGATGTTTATAGTCCAGAATCATGTGCAAATATGCTTTAGATTTAATTAAAAATACTTCTGAAAACTATGAATATGAACTTCAGTGTACACCCTTTTTAAGGGCATGGCAAACAAAGATTATGAATATGTTTTTTGACTGATTTTCGCACGTGCATGAAACTGAAAACGGAATAAAATTATCTGTACCTGACAAAGTACGCTTTATACTTGTCTAGATCGAAAGCAATAATTCACAGGCAATTTGCTTCCCGTTTTAAGATCCACAAAAGATCAATTCTCATGCATGCTTAGAAAATGCATGCGCCTTTCTGTACGTTTGGCACGCACAGCAGTTCAGCTGTGTATTGTCTCGTGTGCGTTCTGCTTATACATATGTATATATGTATGTGTGTATACACGTCTCTCTCGCTCACACTGTCGGCGTTCGGTTCTGTTCTGTTTGTCATGCATCTGAAGTGCTGCCTCGAAGCAAGCCGCGCTACAAAGTCAACTTAATTAAACAATGGGCGCGCGCTTTTATATTGCCAAAAAGGAAAAAAATATCAAATAAAATTTGTTGCTATAAAAAAGTACTTGAGTGCTCCAAGAAATGAGTGTGACCCAATCTCAAACCCAATCCGAATCTGTAGCCCCAGCGCCCCTAGCCACGAGCCCCAACACAGCCGCATGCAAATGGCAATTAAAAGCGAATTGATCGATTGTCGCCGCTCTCTTTCCCACTGCTGACTCATTCGGCTGCCGTTGCGGCTTAGCTTATCTGCCATTCGCACCCAAATTGAGAGTATTGGAAAAAAGAAGCTGAAGTAGAGAGAGAGAACAAAAATACTAAAACACGAAATCTTTATATGCGCAGCTTGAATTCTCACTTATCATCCATCGTTCCCAGTGGATGTAACATGAAACGCCGCTGAACGAGCTCTCTTTTCTTTATATTTTGTTTTTGTTCTTTTATTAGTTACCCCTTACATGGGGGCATCATTGTTTTGTCAAGTTGCATGCAACATGTAAATATAGGTGATTTATGCATGTAGGTAAATAATTAATGCTCGTTATGGGATCGTCTTACGAGTGAGAAAACTGATGTTTCTTAACTGATTCGCATGAATCTTAGCATATTTATTAGGCTAATAATTCCAGTGGAATTAATTTAGGAATTAATTGTAGTTGATTAAATGTCCTATTAATTTCGTATAATACGCAATAGATAGAAAGACTATAATCTCTATAATCGGCAAAGACACCAAATGTGGTATGTGAGATCTCTGAAATAGACTAAAAAAATATGTCTTTGTATATTTATTTTTGGACTATTCATAATTGCTCATATTACATATATAGAAATATCTCTAAATATAAATTTCGCAAATGTCATGATTTGGCGTATAGTTATAAATAAATATAAAAAAATTGCATTTAAATTTTTTATATTTTTATAAAAAGCTGAAAAAAAATGATTCAATAATTATGTAATATATTTATTATAAATATAATAAATATTAATGTATATTAATATTATGCGCAATAATAGTAATATTAATATAATAATAGTATATCATATATATTAATAATATAGTATATAACACGTAAATGAATGAAAGACTTTTGTTGAATTTTCGCATTTTTTCGCAATTGTTGCAATTAGCTTTAAATGATTTCCATAGATCTTTTATATTGTTCAGTTGTTGGCCTGCTTCAAGGGTATACAAACGTTCAATTTGCCATGGATAGCACTTGTTGGTTATTCTGGTTGTTTTGTTTACCCCCTTTTTGGCACTGGAAGTGTTTAACCGTTTTGTTTATATTGTTGTGTTTTTGTTTTCTTCTTTACGTTTTTTATAATTCTCCATAAATTTGTTTTGTCATTTCGGTAGCGTTCATCTGGCTTGGCCTCGTCTCGCCATTCGAAAAGGCTTAGGCTAATTTGTGTTTACTTTTGTTTCTCTCTCGTTTTGGCTCTGTTTCAGCGTATGTGTGTCTCTCTCTCGCTCTCGCTCTCTCTTGCCCTTGCCACTGTCCATGCCAAACAAGCGCCCACAATTGAAGGCAATTGTTTGCCCGATTCATGGCTATAAATAGTTTCAGTTTTGCCAACATTGCCGCTAATAATTTGCGTTTTATGTCTAATCGGTTGCAGTAGTGCTGCAGATGTTTCCGGTTAGCCGCACGGGTTGATTGAACTTTGTATTTCATGAGATGCATTCATCAAATTGACTCCAGCCTCAAGCTGAGCAAACAAATGTCTCTCGGAGACAGATGCAGGAATGTCCACAGAGCGGCAGCATTAACTTTATTTGATTTGTACGCAAAAGATTCTTTCCTCTTGCCTAACTTAGTTTCTTTTCTGCATTAAAGGATAAGTCATATTTACTTTAACCTTTTGCTACTTTTATAAGAAACATCAGCTTGATAGACTTTACCTTATGATTACCTGATGCATTCTATTGTCTTTAAGTGTGGCAAGTAATATACCATTTACATTAACACAGAATTGATTCATTTAATGGGTTTAAAGTCGATCAAGTTGTTAAAGCCGATTCATTTTGGCCGCTTGTAATTTCATTTTATCTTAAGTTTTTTACAAATGTTTAGTTTTATTTCAACTGGAAAATGAACTTTTTAATTTAATCTATGCATGTAATTGAACAAGATATAGATATAGATTTGACACTAACGTCCTTCTGTAGGGGTCCGTGCCTTTGGTTTATGTTGACTTAATCATAATTAATAGTTGGTTAATTTTTGTAATAGCATTTTAATATCCATAAAACTTAATAGGCTTAATGCATTGGCATTGGCTCCGGCTGTCTGTGGTGCTGGTGGTGCTGCCTTTGTGTCGGCTGCTGTGGGTGTTGTCAGACTAACCACATAAAATCCTCATTAATTTACAAGCTTTCACGCGAGACACAAATGACTTTCACTCATTTAATCGTGCCCGCCATTATCGTCAGCATAATCATCATTGTGATGATCATCAAAACGGTTTCAGTAGCCGACGAAATCAACTTTGTTTAGAATATATAACACCCATTACGGATTTTACTCAGCGGCTCCCCTAATGGCATTTTCAGTGGCTGACAAACCGCAGTCTGACAAAAAGCACAGATGTTGCTTTTTGCTGAATTAATACTCATTGTTTATAAGCAGTCACATTCATTCAGCACTTTGATGACTTTGTCAGCGCTTGTCCATTTGCTGGGCTTTATCTAATGACTGCAAAAAATAAAGCGCAACACTTACACTCTCTGTGTGTATTTATCTATTTTGTATATATCTCTGTGTATATAGGCATTTATAGTTTGCATTGGCTTATCGTTTCGCTGCCACTTCCTTGGCGGTCCCTTGTGGGGGCATTCGCTTCTTGTGGTCTTCAGGCAAAACGAGGGGCTAGATGCATCTGCTATTATGTTCGCAGAAAAACCGTAAGCGCGCATAGACTCGATGTGAACTGATGTAAGACCAATCCAAAATAGGCCAAGTAGAACACATAAATTACAATGCACTTTGTTCTGCATCTGCAGCAAAGCGCGCATAATTATGACTAAGTGTGCGAACTTAAGATTGGAAGCAATTCTTTGCTCGTAGCTTGTGTGTATCGAGCAAAAGGGAGAAATTATACGATTCGAAGCTTTTTCTTCAACTTTATATGCAGCTCATGTTTTGTTAGTTATTTTTAGGTCTGCCAAACTTGGTATGGCTAAATATCAAGATGTTAGTGAAAATGGCAGATTCTCGTTTCTTATATGCGTTTGACACAACTGCTTGTTCCTTGTGTTATTTCCACTTTTCTTTGTTACTTATCGACGATTTACTTTCCTGTTTCTGCTCTGCCACCCACGTTCACGTTCTTTGTTTTGTATTGTCAATTGAATGTCTCTTCCTCGTCTTCAATCCCTTACTTTTGCCACCAGTCACTGCTGTCTCTCACTCTCATAATTTTAATATAATTATTATAATTTATTTCATACTCCATGCTCTAAATCTTTAGATATATAAGTACATATATGTCAATCTCTATATGTCTATCTCTCTCCAATGCTTATGTGTCCCTTTCTCAATCTTTATATGTCTCTCGCACTCTCTCAATCTCTATAAGTCTCTCTCTCAATTTCTTTTTATATATATATATCTCTCTCTTTCTCTCTCAATTTATTTATATATATATCTCTATTTCTCACCATCCCCCTTTGTCTCTCTATCTCCGTCTTACACTCGTTGCCTTGTATTTCGCTCCCCATCGGTCTCGTAAACGGTGTTCATGAAAATCGCATAGAGAGGCTATGAATTAGAGATTTATTTGTATTTCTGGCTTTGAAACAGCTGTGAATTACATAAAATTATAAATTAATCATTGCATCGCTGTGTATTCTTTATGTCTTTGTTATTTTTTTGCTCACCAGTTACCTGATGCTGATGAAGTGAATTTTCGCATGATCTCGTTTTTTTCACAGTCAATTATAACATGAATTTACACGAGACTTCCCAGTTTTTAGCTGTGTGTTAATTAAGCTTAAACAATTACTTCATTGTCATGCTATTTTTTGTTTTCTGCTCTTATATTTTGTTTATTTATGTTTATTTTATGCATTATGAAACGTGCTGTATGTAATATTTGATTTGATAAACATTTCACAGCCGTGCAATGAGTAAATGAAAAATGCAACTGGAAATTATTGCAATGTTTTATTGATTATTTATTGTTATTATTATTGTAATTATTGAGTGCTGCGGGAGTGTGTGTGCTTTGTTACTAACTGCGAGCGTTGCCCGCTGCCCGTTGCCTGTTGCCCTTGCCAAAGGCCCCAGTCACCTTTTTGCCTGCAGCCCCGCTGCCTCTGCCCCACACTTTTTGTTCCGCTCGGTCTCTTGCCGCTGAGTGATTTGCCTCGACGCGTTTTTTAAATAACCAACAATATAACTATACGACTGTGTATACTTCGGAATAATAAATGACAGAGTCTCGCTCTCTCTTTGTCTCTCATGGGTCGCTTAATATTTATGCCAGAGCAGGCAAAAATAAGTAGCGGCATTTTTTCTATATAAATTAGTCGTCAACACAAAATAATCCAACTGCCCAGCCGTCGTACCGGATACGCATTTTAAAATTGTGTTCAATGAGCGTTTGCGCTTGTGTGCGTGTGTGCATAATGGGCGACTATGGAATCCCCTTTTGAACAGTCCGATCTACGCTCGTGACATATGACTAAGCGTCAGAGCAAGGCGCACAATGAAAGTATTTTTCTTTGGACTGAAACGCAACTATGAACCCATTTGCATAGGCTGAATAGTAATTATAATAATAAAGCTTATTATTTAATTAGTTTATTTATTATACAATTGTTTTTAGCTTCTCTCTTTCAAAATAAGAAAATGAAAGAGTATTTGCTATTCGTGAACTTTGGCTCTCCTTTTTCAATTTGCTTTTTCTATATAGTAGACCGACCGCACGGCATGATTCATTAAAAAATGGCATACGCAAATCGTGTTGGCAAACAGATTTAATACTGAGTAATCTGAAGAGTTTATAAATTCTTTGTTGAGAGATATGTTGGCAAGGGATTTCTGCTTTAAAAACAAAAATAAGCTGCTCGAGTTCTTCTTCCATTCAATTGAAATTTTATTTCAGTTGCTTGAATTTCACTGGAATTAAATTGATTTTTCTAATTTGTCATTCATATATGAATATATATATATTTTTTACTCTGATCAACGTCCTGACCAAATGACGCCTTCTTCATCTTGACAAACACACACACTAACACTCTCTCTCTCTCTCACACACACACACACACCATCCACACCCTTTCCTGCGCTGTCTGTTGGCACGCCAATTAGAAGTTTGCTACGGCTGCACCCAATTGAAGTCACGTAAACGTATTTGCTGATTTCATTATGGTTGGGATATTCTCAGTAAAATGGAAAATGTACAATATACACTTTTTACTTTTAAGTACAATGGCATCACACTTGACTGCAAGTGGTGGGGCTGATTGATGTTTCTGGTTGAGTGAATCGGAGTCAGAAAAGCATTCAAAGCCACAGATACTTTATGGCATCAATGCAAATGTCCTCACTGTATGGCAAATTCTATTTTATTGTCATTGCTGTTTAACAGGTGCAGCCAGGTGCCAGGTGTAAATTTTATGTCGTCTAGCCATGAAATTTCTGGGTTTACCTATGATCAACAAGGCAACAGGCGTTGCAGCTGTGAAATCTAGAAAAATATAAACAAAAGCTATTTCAGCTAATATTTGTGTCTGTAAGTGTTTGTCTGGAAGGTTCTTCAACTTTTGTCTAATATCTGCTCAGTCCTTAGGAACAAGATAAAAAAGCAGACATTTTTTGCTCTTTTTCAGTATACAAGATGCAGTTCCTTTATCTCAGTTTCAAATCCTTATCTCTGCGCTCTCTTAGGGCAACCGCAACCTCTTTGTTTATACGTTCGCGGTTAACTTAATCAGCAAACTTCATTTGTGTTTTAGTAGCTGGTTGGCATAACTGTCAAAGATTTGAGGTGTCAATGCTACTGAAAAGTAAGATCGTTTGCTCTCGAGTAAGATTGTTTGTCAGAGAACACAGTAAACGTGATAAGAGAGATCACAGTAAATACTGACTGGGTGGCTATGAAATAATTATTTTGTATACTCATTAAAAAGAGAAATTCATTACAATACGTGATTCGCAGAACTAAGTCATATTGTAGGATCTAACATTATTGGAACATTATCAGTGGAGGACCCATTAAATACCCATTGCTAAAACCTGTTTCTCTTCTAAGTATTTATAAGTTATATAGCAGTTTCATAATATATATTTTGACAAATTAAAATGATATTCGTGTTGATAAGGCCTTAATATCCCAGGCTTTATCGGGCATATCGGATGGATTGGCCATCTATTCCTATGTATGAACTGCTCCTTCACAACAGAAGAAAAATGTAGGTGTACGTGGGTCGCTTGTTGCAATTCATTCATTGAGTTACTTTGAGTTCATCTCGAAAGTTGGCTGAGCTGCAGTCTAATGTAAATATACCTAAAAAATAATGCACATGTCAAAACAGCTGTTCGACACGCGCTCAGGTAATTCCGACTAGAATAATCGTGGCTTTCCCATGATTGCTTCACCAAAATCACGAGCTGAGCGCTTTTGTTTGACAAATTGTCATTGATCAGTCTTTAAATCAGTTGTTAAATTGGTTTCTTTGATGGCATCAGCAGAAATTAAAATCGAATTAGAGACAGTCACAAAAGGCTTTCGTCACTCCAATGCAATTCGCTTGAGATTTACAATTTTTATTTGCATTTGAGCTTTAAATATTGCTGCTCACTATTGAGGGGCTTAGAGTTATGGCCACTGGGTAATGGCTTTTAATAGTTATCGCAATTACTCATGTTTATTTAAATTTTTTCTCTTTCTATCGTGCAGGCTTCGATGGATCTGCCGCCGGACAAAGCAAAGCTCTTGCGCAATTACGATGACGAGAAGAAGTGGGACATGATATGCGATCAAGTAAGTTGAGTCCATAATTTAAAAATTTAAGTGCTTCGCCATGACTAAACAGCCTAAACCGACGGCCACGCCTTCTCTCCCCATGCCCAGTGTCGCTGCTAGACCACATGGCTGCGTGTTTATCATCGTCGTTCGGTCCGCAACTTCCTGTTTATGCCAAACGCAAATTTTTGCAGATTAAATGTGTAGAACGACAGTAGTCAGTGGTCGCGAGTGTCCCGCCGCAGCCCCCTGGACTACAAAACAGCAGCGCGGAAGGCCAACGCCTAAAACAGTTTCTAGTCTTGAACTGTGACCTTTCAAACCCACTCGACAATGTCGCAGGTCCAATTAACTATGCCAAATGTCATTCGCTGTAATTGTAGCTCACAGCTACCTAATTTGAAACGCCCCGCAAGCTATTAAATGTCTACTTTATATGGGAGTTTATATTCGATTTCGATCCAGCAAAACAAGATTTAATGGAGCTGGAATATGCGTACGAAATGATTTTCTGAATCTAGAAAAATAGTCATATTATATTGGGTTTATTGAAAAGAATTAGTAGAGAGAGTTACTTTATGGATATTTCCGAAATGATTTAAAGTAGGTTTAAGGTTAGCTTGCCGGTTACTGGGTTCACGTCGCGAACCCACTTACAACTCAATTCCTTGAGGCCAAGTCGTGCGTTAACCTTGGAAACTGTCAACCTGTTCCAAAAAACCCATTAACTCTTTTTAAGCATCATCATTTATAAGGCCCTCTCTAGCTGACATCTGAACTACGTAGCACTTGATATTCATATCTGAGTGTAATTTATCTTTAAATTCGTAAAGCTCCGAGCTCGGCTAAACTCGGCTGAGCCTCATATTAGGCATGTGTTTTGACTTGATATACATCTGCATGTATATATATATATGTATTTCTTCAAATATACATATATATATTATATATCTGCTATATATATAAATTATATATCATTATTCAGTGCGTGCTCGACGCTTGTTTTTTTTTTGATGTCGCTTGTCGCGTTTGAAGCTTGTAAAAGTGCAAAATGAATCCAATTTCAAAACGATTTCGGCGCTTGTTGAATTCAAATGGCGTTGAACAATGGTCGTCGGGCTTTGGGGCATTAAATAAACCATATATAACTTTTGAGTATTATATTAAGCCACACATAGAACGCGAATGGGCGGCAGTGTGGGGGCTCCCCAATACACACACACACACACACACACAGAACAAGGCTACATATGTTATAGACCCATGTCTACACACAAATCCACATTGCGTGCTCTGCTTGGGGAGTTATGATGAAACTATTAACGTGTGCGACAGAGCGTGCCATGGTTCGGTTTTTGCTCTCTGTTCAGCTTGGTTCTACAGAGGCTCTGGCCAGAGCATTAAACTGGGTCACTGAATTTCCAAGAGCTGCGCCTAGAAAATATTCGCCAATGGCGTTGGAGTAAACACGATAAAACCAACTATCGTTCGTCAGGAGTGCAGACTAGCAGTTACTCCGTGCTGTGATCTTTCGAGTATTCTATTAGGATACAACTGCCTAAATATTTGAGACATTTTTAAATTAGAAAACATCAAAGACCTTGGAGTACGAGCAGATGAGGCTGTTGTAACTCTACTTCATAACTTAAAGGTTTGCAGCTTGTGCCAAATTCCTGCATTCGTTTTGTAAATCTTGTTTCCTAAATCAGTCAAGCCATGGCCATATCTTCTACACATGCGATTCTACCTCGTTTGGCTTACTTTTCCTGTATAATACAGGGTATAAATAAATCCAAAGATCTCGTCGCAGTCTTGCCTTTTTTCTTCTTTTAAACCGCCTGCATGCCAACAGACCTGTTTTCCATAATTCAGCCAACTTCTTGAATGAAAACGCAGCCCACAAACAATGGACATGGAGTCGCGAGGACTTCAGCTGCTACAGCCAATCCCACAACCTATGGCAATCCGATCCACTCAAACACCATAGCACCGCTCGGCGCAGCACCTCCACGCTCTCAGCGACTCGCAGTGACAAAATGCAAATTATTATGACTGCGATAAATTGCAGTTTTTAATCGCTGGAGCCGCTCGGACGCCCGATACCTGGTTAAATATATGTATAGGAGCAGCTATATATGCATATACACAGATATTTATATATATAGATATCTGTATATATATTTGGTTTTGTCTATTTATGCCGTCTCAGTCGCAGTTTGACTAGGAAAAGAATGAAACTGGTTTTCTTTTATACTCCGTGGAGTTGCACGGGCAAAGCACCAAAACCCACACATAGTTTTAGTTGTAGTCATGCGTTGATTTTGTTGTTGTTGTTGTTGTTGTTTTGGTATGTTGTTGGCATAGTAAAAAGCCAAAAACAAGTATACCACGCTTCATGCTTAAAAAAATGTTTAAAGTTAGGCAAGCTATCGATGCTTATATGATCGCTGTGGTCTTGTGCGTTTCAAAGAGTTGAAGACATCGAGCTAGACAGAGAGCGAGAGAGAGAGAGAGACAGGAAGAGGGAGAGCGCACCAGGGCTCTACCGTAAACATGGTACACAAATATGCAGTTGGCAGAGGCAACAACAACGCAACACAACACCCAAAGCAAAACAAAAGTAAAAGCCGCTAAGTTAGTGTTAATGCTTGAGAGGAGGAGGTATTTTCCATTTGGCCTCTGTCCAGCACATTTTTGGATAGTCAACAATTTATAGACTTGTGGATTGCGGCAGTTACCGTGTTTAATTGATAGTCTATAATTGGGAAAGTTTTGGGCTGATCACTGCAGCAGTCAATCTCGATCATTTATCAGCAGCTACTTCCGCTTTATTTTAAATATTAATTATATATTCAATATTAACAACTTTTAAGGCAAGCGAAGGAAGTTCGCAGGGGCAACTCGCTTACTTCAATAGATCGAGTTTCCTGGCTTTAATTGAACTGCTTTTAAGCCAGTTAACGGATCTGAATAAATGATGTCTTTTCTTTAAGCTTGAATTAGATTTTGAAAATAGTTTTTACTAATCCAACTGCTTTTTTTTTTGGTTACAGGAAATGGTGCAGGCGAAGGACCCACCCTCCCATTATTTGAGCAAACTGCGAACATATTTGGATCCAAAGGCATCGCGCAGTCATCGGGTAAGTTGGCTTAAGTGTTGAATGTTGGTGGTGCGTATAGCTTTTATAGCGACTGTGTGTCTCCCTCTCTACCCCACTTGTCCTTAAGAGCTCCAGCTCTTCCTGTGTAGCTCTGGTAACTCGTACATGTGCTTTTGTAGCTCACTGTAGTTCACTGTGTGGTGCGTTTGTCTGACTCTTGCTCTCGCAGAGAAGCAGCTTTAACTATTTATTCGATTCAAGCCCAGATACAAAAACATAGAAAACTATCTAAATTATGATAAAACGAATCTATTGCTCCAATATTAATGTGTAAATTTCAATTTCTCTACTCACAACACACACGAACACCAAACACACACACACACACACACACACACGCACAACCAACCTATCACGATCTTTCCCTTTTCTAATGCACTTGACATGTTCCTGCAATAAACAATCGAATCATCCAATCATTAATTGTTATGTCCTGCGCTCATTATCCCTTCTCCATGTTCCAACACGAACTCCTCCTTCCCTGTCTCTTTCTCTCTTTCTACACTTACAGCTTTACCTATTCTACTTTCTTTGTCAGAAACGTAAGATGGTCGGGGAATCGACGTCCACACAGGTGCTGCGGGATCTAGAGATCTCGCTGCGCACCAACCATATCGAATGGGTCAAAGAGTTTCTGGACGACACCAACCAGGGCCTAGATGCTCTCGTTGATTATCTCAGCTTTCGGCTGCAGATGATGCGACACGAACAGCGTTTGCAGGGCGCTCTGTGTGCATCCGAGGAACGTTTGAATTTGATAAACGGCCTCGATGCCAGTGAGGTGGTGTTGAACAACAGCTCGTTGAGTCCCGGCGGTGTTAGCGGCAATGCCAGTCTGGCAAACGGCTCTCTACTGCTAGACGGCTCCCGACAGCAGACTGGCACCCATAGCACTCATTCGCATTCCTATAGCTTTGTGCGACCCACTATTTCCGAGGTGTTGGACAGTCCCAGCCTGAAGCGACGTTCGCGTCACATCGCCAAACTGAATATGGGCGCTGCCACAGATGATATACACGTCTCCATCATGTGTCTGCGAGCAATTATGAACAACAAATATGGCTTCAATATGGTCATCCAGCATCGTGAGGCGATAAACTGCATTGCTCTGAGTCTGATTCACAAGTCGTTGCGCACCAAGGCGCTGGTGCTGGAGCTGCTGGCGGCGATTTGTCTGGTCAAGGGGGGGCATGAGATCATATTGGGTTCGTTTGATAATTTCAAGGATGTGTGCCAAGAGCAGCGACGCTTCCAGACGCTCATGGAATACTTCATGAATTTTGAGGCCTTTAATATTGATTTCATGGTTGCCTGTATGCAGTTCATGAACATTGTGGTTCACTCCGTCGAGGACATGAACTACCGCGTCCATTTGCAGTACGAGTTTACGGCTCTCGGCTTAGATAAGTATCTAGAACGCATACGGCTAACCGAGTCTGAAGAACTCAAGGTGCAAATATCCGCCTACTTGGACAATGTTTTTGATGTGGCTGCACTGATGGAGGATTCGGAAACTAAAACGTCTGCATTGGAGCGTGTGCAGGAGCTAGAGGATCAGCTGGAGCGCGAAATAGATCGCAATTCCGAGTTCTTATACAAATTTGCCGAGCTGGAGACGGAGAACCAAACGCTGAAAACGGAGCGCGAACAGTTGGCCATGATGCGACAACAGTCTGAGGAGCAGCTCAATGCGCTCCAACGCATGCTGCAACAGAATGAACAGGAGCTCAAGAAACGTGATACACTGCTACACAATAAGAATCTGGAGCTGCAAACACTTTCTCGTTCACTGCCGCGCTCTGCTTCCAGCGGTGATGGTTCCTTGGTGAACGGCAGTCTGCTGACGGGCTCAGCGACTGGCGCAGTATCACCGCCGCCTCCACCGCCGCCACCAATGCCAGCCACAACAGCACCACCACCACCGCCACCTCCAGCGCCACCTGCACCGCCGCCGCCTCCCATGATGCAGGGTCTGAGTCCACTGTGCAGTCCGAATGGTAGCGTTACATCAACAGTTCCCTCCCCGCCTCATGCGCCCCATATGCTAAGCACGTTCCAGCCACCACCACCACCAGTTGCTGGCTTCATGCCAGCTCCGGATGGTGCAATGACCATCAAGCGCAAGGTGCCCACCAAATATAAGCTGCCAACGCTTAACTGGATAGCGCTCAAGCCGAACCAGGTCAGAATCAGTTTTATTCACTCTACGATTTCATCTTTGATAATTGAAATTCGTTTTTGCAACAGGTTCGTGGAACCATATTCAATGAGCTGGACGACGAGAAGATCTTCAAGCAAATCGACTTTAACGAATTCGAAGAACGTTTCAAAATCGGCATTGGTGGTGGTCTTCACAATGGCACCAATGGCAGTGAGGTGGATGGCTCGCTCTCATCCTATCCCAGTAAACGTTTCAAAAAGCCCGATAATGTTTCGCTGCTGGAACACACGAGGTTAAGAAACATAGGTAAACACCCTGTAAATATGCAACGTTTTCTTGCTTAACTTTTTGTTCGCTTAACTTGCAGCAATCTCTCGTCGTAAATTGGGCATGCCCATTGACGATGTTGTTGCGGCCATACATAGTTTAGATTTGAAGAAGCTATCGCTGGAAAATGTGGAGCTGCTGCAAAAGATGGTACCCACTGATGCGGAGGTTAAGGCCTACAAGGAATTCATAATCGAACGCAAGGATCAGCAGTTGCTCACCGAGGAAGACAAATTCATGTTGCAATTGTCACGCGTTGAACGCATCTCCTCCAAGCTAGCCATTATGAATTATATGGGCAATTTTGTCGATAGTGTACATCTCATTAGTCCGGTAAGATTTCGCATGGCTGCTTATCAGCGATAGAGGCTAACCCTCTCCCTTCTCATTCCGTCTTTTCTCTTACAGCAAGTTATAGCGATTGCCAGTGCCTCAAACTCCCTAAAGCAGTCTCGCAAGTTCAAAGCTGTGCTGGAAATAGTGTTGGCGTTTGGCAACTATCTTAATAGCAACAAGCGTGGACCGGCATATGGCTTTAAGCTGCAATCTCTGGACACATTGATAGACACAAAGTCTACTGATAAGCGGTCTTCGTTGTTACATTACATTGTAGCCACGATAAGGGCCAAATTTCCGGAGCTTTTGAACTTTGAATGCGAGCTATATGGCACAGATAAAGCGGCCTCTGTTGCATTGGAGAACGTTGTGGCTGATGTGCAGGAGCTAGATAAGGGCATGGAGCAGGTGCGCAAGGAAGTCGAGTTGCGTGTTAAGGGCACACAGACGCACATATTGCGGGACTTCCTGAACAATTCTGAGGACAAGCTGAAAAAGATTAAAAGCGATCTGCGGTTGGCTCAGGATGCGTTCAAGGAGTGTGTGGAATACTTTGGGGACTCGTCCCGAAATGCGGATGCGGCTGCATTCTTTGCGTTGATAGTGCGCTTCACACGTGCCTTCAAAGTAAGCAAGCTCAATATATATATAGAAATATATACATATTTATAAATTTTTTTTGTAGCAACTTGATCAAGAGAACGAGCAGCGTCGACGACTGGAGCAGGCAGCCGCTTTGGCAGCAACGAAAAAAGAGAGTGATCAGGTCATGCTGCGCAACAAATTCAATCAAAAAAAGCAACAGGTGAGTGGACGGCTGAGTGGAAACTTATCAGTCACCAAGACGGCCAACTCCTTCAAGTTTGTGTCATTCATTTGATTGATTCTGTTCTGTTTTGGAAATGTAACCTGTTATGCTTTTGATTTATGCAGCAAATACATTGCCTGCTTGACTTTGCCAAGCAGCATAGCACTGTGGACATGTCTCCCTAACTGCATACAATACTATTTAAAGTATAACACCCAAGGCAACATCCTCAACCTTAGCACGTATTGGTTATTTGGCTAACACATTCTAGTATTACACCATTTGGGGCGGGGCGGCTGCGGGGCGCGGGTTTGAATCGGGCCAGCAACCTAGACCTAAACCCAAGCAACCTACCACCAATAGCATCACCACAACCACCACCACCATCATCCACTAGCTTCTAGTCGAGTACTTTGGGGCAGCATTTGACGGATGTTGTTTGTGTTATATCCTAGTGTAAGTCGCTTGGCGCGTGTGTTTATTGTCCCTAACCTTTGGCTTGTCACTCACCGTAATCCCTAGCGTCTAATACCTGCCTAGTTGCTGTCTGCTAATCCAATTTCGAAAAGAAATCTCATAAATCGGATTAATACAAGTAAATCTGTTTGTGTATATATTATGTTCAAAATTAAACATTCTCTTTGTAGAATATTAAATGAGATTGTGTGCTCTTAACATGTTAATAAATTGCACATGCTTTTCGCATATTACTAATCTTCAATTTGTATTAAATGCAAAATTGGAAACTAATCCACGCTAAGTCTTTTGGTCACTCCTGTTGGTGCTGGTTAATTTCTAATCTGAAAACTTTTCTCTTTTGTTTTCAATGCACGTTGTCAATCAGTTGCCTACAACTTGCGCACTCTCCTTGCAGGATGCCGTCATCAATGAACTGAAGACCAAAACGCATTCGGTGCGCGAAAAGAAGCTGCTGCAACAGGACGAGGTCTACAACGGAGCTCTCGAGGATATATTGCTGGGGCTCAAGAACGAGCCATATCGAAGAGCAGATGCTGTGAGACGCTCCCAACGCCGACGCATCGATAATCGTTTATCACGCACTCTAGAGGAAATGGACTGCTAGACTGACTGGCTGGTTAGTTAGTTAGTTGGCTGGCTGGCTGTAGAACTGGGCAGAGGCAAAAATCAAAATTCAAAAACTAATCGAAAAACGAATGTGTGAAAGTCTTAGATAAAGAAACTAAAATATGTGATTGGGCGATTCAATTGTTTAGACAGAGACACTCAGACACATACAGACACACATTTACAGAAATACACACATTCCCCGCTTTTAACATTGTGCTATCATTGAAATATATATTTTTCGTTTTTATTTTCGTAAAATACCAAAATTTAACATTTTTCCAGTACTCTTTGTTCAGTACCTATTCTGTGAATCTCTTTCTTGCTATTGAGATATTCTGTCGCCAAATTTTATAAAATTGCATTTTATATTTGGTTGCATTAGGTATAAGTTATAAATTTACAAATTTTTACAGTGTATTTATCAAAAGTTCAATTGTTATATTTAAAGTGTGTAAATATATGTATGCATATATATATTTTATGATTATTTTGCAATAAGTTCTTAAACCAAATTGGAATTTTGATTTGCATCCGAGATGGCAATGAAGTTTTTTACATATTACTATTATGTATTTAGATTTATATCTAACATTTTTACACATATTGCTTAAGTAATAAATTGTATGCATGAGTATAATACATTTTATTGTAAATTTCCTATTATATACGTGTATTGTTTTATTATTTTGTTGTATTATATAATCTACATATATTTAACACATTTTGCACACTGCTTAAACAAAACGAAAAATATCGAATACTGCAATAAACACAAATAAAAGCGCCAAATATTGCAAGTAACATGAACAATTTTTGTATGCGAATTACATTTTTTAGAAAGTTTTTTAAAAATATACAAAATAACTGAAAAAAAGAACACATTTTATAACATTTTATGTAGAATTTTTATATAGAAAACTATATATACACATGTATATACTTAATATATGCAATTTATGAGCCAATTTATTCTCACGAGCCACGAAAGTTTTGACGAAGACTGATATGGAGCAGTTTATATTATACAAAAAAAAAAAAAAACAGAAACAAAATACACGCATCAAAATATACAGATATAACAATTAAAAACAAAAAAGCTTTGTAACGATCTTTTTCGAATATAGACGTCTTGTCTAGTGTTTATCCTTTTATGAAAACTCAAAACTTAACGAATTTAGTTGAACTATAAGCACATTTGTACTACGAGTAAAACACAAATATATGTAGTGCCATTGGCATTAATGACTTGGTCCTTATGCATATCTTTTCGTAACATGTTTTTTAATTTGCCAAAAAGGAAATAAAACGAACATGAGAGCGAAACGTTCAATAAACTAGCACCGCTGCATTGTTAGTTTTAAATATTGTGTTATTTAATTTGATAAGAAACCAGCATGGTATACGAGAACAAAATAAATATAAACAGATGCCGCATTTTATATATATATACACAGACATAACAATATATGAACACATTAACTATTTTAAATAAATTATTAACCAAATAAACTAGCCAAAAGAAAAAATTTGTTGTTTTTATGGCATTTAAATATTGCAAATAAAAGCTCGCGCGTTGACAGTTGGATTAGTGATGCTGCCAACTGATTAATAATCCGATGAGCGCGAAAATTTAAATTAAGTGTTAGCAAGGGCCCAGCTTCTATGCTTAAAAATGGTTAAGAATTCATTTTTCAATATAAAAATTTGGTCATGAACATTTGATATTTAAAATTAGTACTATGGTTCAACTCACGGCAACAGTTGGTATTGCGGTGCTGCCAACTTAATTTGATTAGCAATCATCCAGATTGTCGTTCTCATTGCTTTGTCAATGTTATTTTATATCGATACTAAACGGCACATCCCTAGTGTGCGGTAGTCCAGCCGCGAGAGTAAAAACAGCTGATGGGTAGAATTGGGCACCTATTGGAATTTTAGTTTGAAAATGATTTAAGCACGAGCGCACACTTAAATTTTACGTTTAATTGTGCCACATTGTGCGCGCCAACGGAAATAATGTTTAAACGGACGTTCAAAGTGGTTTATCGGCCGATTAGAAACAATTTTTTGCTACTACCTGATCAATACTACGGTGTCGTTTCAACTTACGTGAGTGTCCAAAAGTCAACTTAATATGCCATTTGGACCCGCAGATTAGATAAGTTGTAATATATAAATATATGTATATTATGATTGTATATTGCTTAGGATACTGGCTGCCTGAGTCTTCAGTACAATGGTCGTGTGCATTACGCTTCATGGGCGCCGCAGGCGGGCGGCGGTGGCATCAAAGACACCGAAATTGGGATCAATGCCAGGGCGGCCAAGGAGCTCGGTAAGTTACTTAATAAGCGGATGCGTTAATGTGCTTTCAATTGCCAAAATATCGTTTTTTCTATATGTATGCTAATACTATACTATGCACTTTGCCATACGTTTTGTTGTAGGTCTGCATGAGAATGATTTGGTCAAGTGCGCCCTCATCGCTGACGTTCTAAATCTGCGCAGCGTTCACGTCACGCCCGTCTCGGCCAAAGATTGGGAGATCATTGTGAGTGCTTATCTATCGGTGTGCATGTGCGTGTGTATGTGTAGCTGCGGCCAGATAAAAATACTTTTATATCGGATTAGCTTTTGGCGCGGGCGTGCTTCTAAGTATTTATTTATGTGCAACCGCTACTTTTCGCCGGCATTGCCATTGACCCCAGCGGGATTTTCTCTTATCAGGGATGGGTAACTTTGAAGTAACGGTCAACAATTTTGAATAAGTGCAGCCAGTAGAGCTTCCCCAGTTCGCACACACATAGTTACGACTATTTGTCTTAATAAAATAGACAATTTGTATAATTGAAATGTTTCTTTGAAATATTATTTATTAAATTTTAATAGAAAGTGATACTGTAACAAAAATATGTTTAATCAAACATAATTTTAATTAAAATTTATTAGTTTTAATAGATTAAATAATAATTTTTAAGACTGAAAGTGTAAAGTTGTTAATGCTCGAATTTGGGAAGATTTACTGTATTGCTGTCTTTTAATAATGTGAATATAATATTTTAATTATTTATTTATATATGTATATATATTTAAAACTCGTCATATATATTTTTTTTAATATCGAATATTATGCTTAATTTTTAGTAAAACTAGTCAGAAGCTTAGCTTTGTTTACGTGCAAATATTTTAAAAATATTTATAACACAGATTCAAAGTTAACTTTATTTATTTTATAGGAGCTAAGTACAGAGAAAATATCTGGAAGCGTACTGGAACAAACGCGTATTGTAAACTCGTCACAAATCTTGCTAGTTTGGATTAACAAGTCGATGCAAGTGGCGCTGACAGTGGGTAAATATTTAATTAAATGATTGACACAGCTCAGCTATTTTTAAATATTTTATTTTATTTTACATCTTATATAAGACCGGCTAAAGCCGCACATAAGCTATGGACGTCTGGATCACAATACGCAGCTGGTTGTGGCGCCAAATCTGTTCCAAGGTCTGATCAATGGCGATGACAATGAGAACGCTGAGGAAAATAAGAAATTGTCACGCAGCAAGACTAGTGCGCAAGTGCGGGACGAAGTGCCAACGTCGCCTCCAGCGCTCGTTCACTCCGCAACGATGGGCAATGTGAAGAACACTTTGCAACGTAACAAGCGCCAGGATCATATGGAGCGTTTGAAGAAGGATTTGCGACGCGAGAGTTCGCGTGCCTTTGAGTTTCGGGTCATACGTGGATTGTGGCATGAGCAGGCACAGGAATCGGACGTGTACATAACCCAATCGCATTTGCCCGAATTCATGGATCTGGAGCAGTTCTACAGTATGCGCACTGCTGGCGAGAAGGAGTACTACGTGCGTGTGCGTCTGGCCAGCGATGATGACGATGATGAGTTGCCAGCTACCATTCATCCCTCCATCGAGCTAAATGCGAATCTGATGAAGCTATTGAACATTAAGGAACTGGAGCGAGTTGTCTTGCGGCCTAAGACAACCGTTATGAACTTTGTGGAAAAGATTGAGTTGTTTGCGCACAAGAAGACGCATTACAAGATCATTGAGAATGCATTTAAGCGGTTCGTAATCGATAGAACACGAAAGGCGCCAGTGTTGTTCAATCAGGAGGAAGTAGTCCGCCTGGAGGACGATCTGCTGGTCACAGTGGGCATATTGCCAGAACACTTTCGCTATTGTGTAGTGGATGCACAGTTCCTAAAGGAATCGAAAATCTATGCTGCCGACTTAGTGCGTCCTGTGCATGAAATTATCAAGGAGCAACCGCCGGCAGTTTCGCCACTGAGTGTCAAGGACTTGATACGACTGCCAGAATACGACAAGATTCTAGATCAAGTAGTCAGTGAGCTGCGCATGAATCTGTGCCTCAACTCCCAGAACTCAGTGCTGCGCCAGGGAAATGTGCTTCTGACTGGTGCCGCTGGCACTGGCAAAACGGTCCTCGTGGAGCGCATACTGGAGCAGTTGTCGGGCAACCCGGACTACTGCTACTTTGATATCTTCTACTGTTCGCGCAGCAAAGGACGCAAAACGGAGTCCATACAAAAGGACTTGCGTAACATATTCACCAACTGCCTTCTGCATGCACCGGCTATTGTGGTCCTGGAGAATCTAGATGTGCTAGCCCATGCTGCGGCAGAGCAGTCGAGCCAGGACGGCGAGTACTTTAACCGCATGGCAGACACTGTGCATCAGCTTATCATGCAGTATACTAGCAGCAATGCCATTGCTGTCATTGCCACAGTCAGTGAACTGCAGACGTTGAACAAGCGGCTCAGCGCGCCACGTGGTCGGCATCTGTTCCAAACAATTGCGCGGCTGCCCAGCTTAGAGCGCGCCGATCGTGAGATTATACTGCGCGAACTATGCAGTCATATCGCAACCAAGGAATTGGATGTGGTCAAGTTCTCTAATCTAACGGAGGGCTATCGGAAATGCGATCTTGTGCAGTTTGTGGAACGCGCCATTTTCTACGCTTATCGCATTAGTAAGTCAATGGAATCAGTTATTAACTAACTAACTAACATCATTTTCTTTTTCGCTCAAAGGCAAATCACAGCCGCTGCTTACTAACGAGGAGCTCATAGAATCCCTAGAGCACACGAATTCCTACTGCCTGCAGGGCATTCAAAGCAATCAAAAGACTGGCGCCGAAACTAACACCAATGAAATGCGCGTGGAGGACCTACCTGGACTGGAAGCCGTGGTCAGCGTGCTCGAAGAGGTGCTCATGTGGCCATCAACGGTAAGTAGCCGTTACATATATAAGTAACTACAGTCAAATTCAAATTCAAATTCAAATTTGATTTCCCAACAGTATCCCAGTATCTTCAGCTGCTCGCCTTTGCGTAACCAGGCTGGCGTGCTCCTTTATGGGCCACCGGGCACGGGTAAAACGTTTTTGGTGTCTCAGCTGGCTAGCAGCTGGAGTCTGCGTATTATATCGGTGAAGGGTCCTGAGTTGCTGGCCAAGTACATTGGCCAAAGCGAGGAGAATGTACGCAATCTGTTTAACAGGGCGCGTAGCGCCAAGCCGTGCGTTCTCTTCTTCGATGAGTTTGACAGTTTGGCCCCGAAGCGTGGCCACGACTCCACGGGCGTGACAGATCGTGTGGTCAACCAGTTGCTCACCGAGCTGGATGGCGTGGAGGGACTGCAGGGCGTTACTGTCATAGCAGCTACATCGCGACCTGAACTGCTCGATCCAGCGCTGCTGCGCTCGGGACGCATTGATCGCCTTGTAGAATGCCCACTGCCGGATGCAGTGGCGCGCGTTAGCATCTTTGAGGCACTGAGCTCGACGTTGAATCTGGATGAATGCGTCGACTTTGATTGGTTTGCGGGCAGAACACAAAACTACACTGGCGCCGATATACAGAGCATTCTGACCTCGGCGAACATGGCAGCGGTTAAGCAGGCGCTGGCACAATTCGGACATGAGGTGAGTGAGAATTTCAATTGGCCGGAAATATAGAATGTTCTTGGTAAGGCCATAGCCCAACAAGCAACTGCAGTTGGCGCTTCCGTTCCCAGCAATAAAGCTGGAAACAGGGCTCACAAGTGCAGGGAGATTTACTATTTTTGGGGTTTTTCTTCTATCTATGACTACGTGCCTGGCATCTGGATCAGGATTAGGCAACCTTATGCGGGTGCTGGGCCAAAAACACATAGTCAAAGCAATGGAAAAAACTGCAGACGAGGGGTTTTTAGATATATAAGTCACGTAACGGATATTTCCTTATTGATATGCGATTATCGCGCATGCGCACGTACTGCAACAACAACAACAACAACAGCAGCAGAAGCAGCAGCAGCAGCAACAACTCAAAAGACAATGGACACATTTTCTTATGCATAAATTAAACATAGCCCAAGGGCCGCGATAATAAAGAATGCAAGCCGAACCAAGCCAAGTAGACGAAATCCTCTGCCGCAAAACATGCTTAGAATAAAAGTAAAAAACAACAAAACAAATGGAAAAGAAAAGAAAACTACACACAACATTATGAACAACCACAACATGCGGCAGGCGCGGGACGGACACCTTGCAGACAGGTAGAACCCAAGGAATCGCTGGCACGCACTGAGAGTGCTCGACAGGATCGCAACTTGTATAAATAATATTTAACACACACACACACACACATATAGAAATATATGTGTTTGGCTGTAGCTAGGTTTTCACGATGTCGTCGGTAACGCCGCCAGCCTCGTGGCTCGTGGTTGCCGATGATGATCGTCGTCAACATATCCAAAAGTTTTGTTGTTGCCGTATTCAATCGATCGTTACTTTCAGTTGTGTGCGCACATTCAAGCAAATCGGTTGGCTCGCGACTGTGTGGGATCTGTTTCGGTTAGTGCAACGGAAGTTGTCAATAGCCACTACTCCCCCAGCTAAAGCGCTGTGCTGGGCAGCGCAGCGGGGTGTGGGCGGCGTACGGGCGGGCCTTAATAAGTATTGGCAACGAAGCGGAAATGCGCACGAGTCCACAAAAGGGCGCCCGGGCAGGGATTTCGTTGCCTGCCAGTTTGACAGCCAAAAAACAAAAAGCACTGTGACAATTCGTGTTGTTCTCTTTTGTTTTTTGTGACTTTTCTTGTTATTTATTCGAGCTAAAGACAAAGACGTGATTTTTGGGCAAAGAATCGGCGTGGAAAGAAAGAATTATGTACACATTTTGCCAGACATGGATGGCGATCGCTCAAGAGCAAAAATAAAATCCAGTCAAGTGAAATGCAAAGTACATAAAAAGCCAAATAAAACATAAACAACGAATGTCCAAAGTGCCCATAAAACTCTCCGCAGTGCGGCTCAACAACCAAATACTACAAATAATTATAAGCGTTATTACAAATAGTTCTAAAACAATCAGAAAAGTGCAATTTCATTCGATTACAGTGCAAAATCTTAAAGTAATATAAGCTTAGATATATATATATTTATATATATATATATGTAAATATAAAGTGCTTTCATAGCTTGTGCAGAGTCGTGATCTGAATTGAAAGCATTAAAATCCAAATATCATTGAACTGTTCAATTCTGCACGTGTGTCTATAGAGTATAGAGTGGTGACAAATTTGCATCATAAATAATAAATAAATAAAAATTCAAATAACTCTGCTGTGATGCAAACAAAATTCCTTATCGAGTTCCCAAATGTGTAAAGACAATTTAACATGAGTATAAATATTCACGAGCTGTTGATAAATATTTTGCAAAAAGCCGTTCGAATGCTAGTCCAAAATTCAAAAGTTAATTCATTCTTCATAATTATAAACGTTTCCCATAATAATATTGGCGAACTGGCAAAACAATAACAACGATAAAAACAACGAATTATAACAATAATAATACATATTTCAAACATACGCGTCTTGTCCGCTGGCAATAAATGAAAGAAGCAAAAAAAGGAAACTGAATAAATTTAAAATCGCGACGTGTGTGCATATATCACTCCAAAATCAGTACCGCCAAAAAGCAACAACAACAGCTACAACTAACAAACGGCACTACAAAAACAACAAGCGCAACAATATTTGCAAAATCAACAACAACAACACCAGTTGTTGGCTTGCCTTAAAAAAATTATAAAAAATAAATTTCATTAGTGCACAGTGGTCTCAGGTGACAAAATAGAAACTGAATTGAGCTATTCAAGGAATTTTGGATTTAACTGATTTGTGCTCAATACATAGCTGAAACATGCAGTCCATTGCAGCCTCGTGAAAGATAAGAGTTAGTAAAATGAGCATGAAACGAGGAATGATTTCACTTGAAGGCATTGATTAGGTCAGGTTTCGCATGAGAAAAAGACCACAAATAACATAATCTTTGTGCCATATAAATTTGAAAATAAATATAGCTGTTCAAGTGCTATAATCAATAATCTTGATTGTTATTTTCTTTAACATTTTCAAGGCACAATCTATCCGGAAATACATCCGCTTTGATAAGATATATCATGACGAATGCCTGCCGAAAGGATTGCACTCATGCAATAATGAAAAGCATTGCTTAGTCTTGCGGCATGCATACCTCTCTATGTATTGGGGCTAAAGAAACATATAGAAACATTTATCGCCTACTCAAATTATATTTCTATTTTTACTATCTGAAGTAGCTCGGGCATTTTTGCGCAAAAGAAATAAGAGATTTGAAGAGCTAAAACTAGTTTTCTTTTTGCGATTCATGTAAACCCACTGAGCAGTAATTATTTTCTATCATCAGCTGCTGTATATTCAATTGAAATCCCTTAGAATTCGCTTGCTGAATTAATGGAGTATATTTGTATATATATTGTTGTTACGAGACCTGTAAATTAAATATAAATATTTTTATGTAGGTGCTCAACTATATGGCAATAGATAAATAGACGTTGGATAATTACCAGTTTTAAAAATAAATGACAAATGTCTCTTGATTCACTCGAAGCTTAAAGCGAGCATTACGTAGTTGGTTGTACCCGAGTCAAACATTCTTTCATGTTTCAGTCATATGCTGCAAATCAAGTTGCCAATTTGGGACCACTGTGCCCGTGCATAAAGTCAACGCTTGAACCTACCAATATATGGAAGATTATTATTATGATTGCATCTAAAATTTCTAACTGTACAACGATTTGTCGTATCAATGGAAATGACGACATTTAACGCATTTGGCCGATGCTCACATATAAGTATGGGCCAACTTATAGATACTTGCCTTAGCTATATGTGTGCCTGTGCGTGTGTGTTGGTGTGTGTGTGTGTGTGTGCGCTGACAACAGCTACAACAACAACGCCAGAAGCAGCCGTAGCAAAGGTGTTACTCATTACAGAGGCAGTGCACATAATGGTTGCCTTTTTGTATTATACGCGTTGCCTTTTTCTTTTTAGATTTATTTTTGTTTCGAATATTGAAAAAAAGACGCAAAAAATTGAACCTAACTGATAGCAATAAATAATAATAAAAATAATAGGGAAGAGAAAATGTAAAAATGAAGCTTTGCGAAATATAAAAGTGTCTTTGCAAAAGCAGCAGCAATTTGGCAAGAGCAACAGCTAAGTAAACAACAATCACATTAACAGCAAGAACGACAACAACAACAACAACTCAAATGCTACACTTGACAATGCAAAATCTGCTGATCATCATATTCATCATCATCATCAGCAGCAGCAGCAGCAGCAGCAGCAACAGCAACAACAACAAAAACATTTCGAGCTGCCACTTTGAGGCGCATCGTTGCCAAATCGATGTGATCCAAGAGGCACAGCATGGCCATCGTCATGTGCCCACAGATGTGGATATTCAGCTGGAGTGCCAACAGCCCCAAGCCGCATGGTACTACAACGCGCAGCTGAAGCACAGCGGCCACAGCTGGCTGTTGGAGCGCGCCCAGACGGCGCAATCGGGCAACTATGCGTGCCGCTATGATGGCAACCAGTGGGCTAATCTGACGCTATTGATTGGGTACCAACAGGCTAGCGATGACCTGGCCAGCTTCAGCAGAGTGTACAGCGAGCCTGTGGAGCACTATTTGCTGCCGCTGAATGATAGCCAGCCGCCACGTTTGGCACAGCAACTGGAGCCATTGGTTAAGCGCACGGCGGGCTCTATGGTTCTGCTGAGCTGCATCCCGGCACCGGGGGTTACATGGACGAACATTAGCTGGTATCACAATAACACCCAAATGGTGGGCAGTGCTCGCATAAGGCTCAAGAAAACAATGCTAAGCGTGTGGCAGCTGCAGCCGCAAGATGCGGGCGACTATCGTTGCCTTCTGTGTAATTTCCAGAGCTGCGCCGACAGCCAGACCCACCTGGAAGTCATGACGCGCCAACACATGGCCCCCGTGCTAAGTCCTGGCTATCCGCATAACGTGAGCGCTGTAATGGAGGAGCACGCGAGCATAGAGTGCAAGCTGGAGGATTCGCAGCTGGAGCCACAAATCACTTGGCTACAAAAGGTGCGAGCTGGCGATATAAATGCGCTGCTGCAGCGCCTGGAGCAGCAAGCCAACGTGGAGGATAATGATGAAGTGGATACGCTGCTGGCCAACAAGGATGAGCCGCAGTTGCTACGTCTGGGCAACGTACAGCCCTTTGATGCTGGCTGGTATATTTGTGTGGCTGAGAACCGATTGGGGCGCACTGTGGGTGCGGCCTATCTGGAGGTGCTGCCCAAGCCCCTCAGTGTTCCGACCCCAACAGTACAGCCGACAACAACAACAACAACTACGCAACAAGCGAGCGTTAGTGCTGCGGATGACGATGCAGGGGACGAAGCAGCAGACGATGCCGCGGACGATACCACAGTGGAGCAGTACCCCAAGTTCAAGAAGCCTTTGAACCGGTTGCAACATTTGCCCTCGGGCAAAACGCTTACCCTCTCTTGCCCCAGCACGGCGCATCCGGCGGCGAACATCAGTTGGACATTCAATAAGGGCGACGGCTATAAGGAGCTGCAGCGCGACATTGGCAGCTATAAGTTCAGGCGCTGGTCCTTGACCATGGAGGATGCCATCTCAAAGGATTCGGCTCTGTACATGTGCAAGGTGTGCAACATCCTCGGCTGCATTGAATTCGAGTACAGCGTTGTGGTCCACGATCGCATCCGAGCGCCGCCAATCATCACGAAAATGGACAACAAGACGGCGCTGATCAACACGCAGCAGGTGCTCAAGTGTGACGTGCTGTCCGATAATGAGCCCTCCATCCGGTGGATACGCGTGATGCATAACAATAACTCGATGCCCTTGACATTGGACTCGATGCAGCCAGATGTGGTGCACATCGATTTGAAAACGTCCGTGGATCGACCCGATTTGCTGGTGTTCAATAATGTGACGCACCTGGACGAGGGCTGGTACACGTGCATGGCATCCAATTCCCTGGGAATGAGCAATGCTAGCATCTATCTGCGCGTGGTCGACCATCTGCCGTACCTGCATTTCAGTCAGCTGCTCCACACGCATCCCGTTGCCTTCATTGTTACCGTTGTGATGATAATGCTGCTGTTCCTGCTCGGCAGCGCCTTTATAGTGTATATGCTTCGCCGGCTGCGGCGCGAGAAGCTATTGAAGCATCGCATCGAGACGGTGCATCAGTGGACCAAAAAGGTGATCATCTACAAGCCGGCCAGCGTTGAGGGCAGCTCCTGTGCGGGGGATCTGCAAATTCCTGTTATTAAGATCGAAAAACAACGGACAACATTCTCCAATACCACGACGGGCGGCTCCTCGGATCCTGCACAGGGCTTCAATGAGTACGAGTTCCCTCTGGACTCCAATTGGGAGATACCCAGACAGCAGCTGGCCCTAGGCTCCATTTTGGGCGAGGGCGCATTTGGACGCGTTGTCATGGCCGAGGCCGATGGCCTGCCGCGCAGTCCCCCATCCTCCAATAATGGTATGGGCACCATTGTCGCCGTCAAGATGGTTAAGGAGGAGCACACGGATGCGGACATGGCCAGTCTGGTGCGCGAAATGGAGGTGATGAAAATGATTGGCAAGCACATTAACATCATCAATCTGTTGGGATGCTGCAGTCAGAGCGGTCCATTGTGGGTCATCGTCGAGTATGCACCCCATGGCAATCTAAAGGATTTTCTCAAGCAAAATCGACCGGGTCAACTGCAGCGACGCAGCGACAGCGATGGCTATCTGGATGATAAGTCGATGCAGCCACAACAGCAGCTGGGCGAGAAGGAGCTGACCATGTTCGCCTTCCAAATAGCTCGCGGCATGGAATACCTAGCTTCGCGACGGGTAAGCGCACCTGACTTAATCGGAGAGCAGATCACTCTAATATCTCAATCACTTTTCAGTGCATTCACCGGGATTTGGCAGCGCGCAATGTGCTCGTCAGCGAGGGCTATGTGATGAAAATAGCTGACTTTGGATTGGCCAGGGATATCCAGGATACAGACTATTATCGCAAGAATACCAACGGACGACTGCCCATCAAATGGATGGCGCCGGAATCTTTGCAGGAGAAGTTTTACGATTCCCAGAGCGACGTCTGGAGTTACGGCGTCCTGCTCTGGGAGATAATGACCTATGGCGAGCAACCATATCCAAATATCATGTCTGCCGAAGAGCTATACAGTTATTTGATCACTGGCCAGCGCATGGAGAAGCCGCCAAAATGCTCGCTCAACATATACGTGGTGATGCGTCAGTGCTGGCACTTTGAGTCGTGTGCGAGGCCCACATTTGCAGAGCTTGTGGAGAGTTTCGATGGCATACTGCAACAGGCTAGCAGTAATCCCAACGATGCGTATTTGGATCTATCGATGCCAATGCTGGAGACGCCGCCATCCTCGGGCGATGAGGAGGATGGCTCTGAAGCTGAAACATTCCGAGAGACTTTACCGCTAAGATATCAATATACATATAAGTTTAACTAGTGCTAGGGATGGCTTAACCAAGAACATCCATCGACCATCACACAAAACAAAAAATACTCAATAAAATACGGCCGAGTCTATTTAAGCAAACTGAATTAATGTTTTTCCATTCCCTCCGACAGAAGCTGCCAAAGAAAATTTTAGTGAAGCAAAAACATCTCATCGAATCCTATCAATCGACTCGCCCATCGCTCAGCGCCGCCGACGTATCCAAATACAAGAAAACGTGAGTTCCATCAAAAGGTAACAAAATATATATTGTTTAATAAATATTATGGATTACAGATACGCTCGCTTTACTAACAAGGAGAAGAGCTCCAGGGAATTTGTGGCCAAGCGAGCCACATTGGCATAGACTAACCGAAGCTCAAGGGAGATAATTATAAGGTTGAAGTTCGGTTATATAGAATGCGATTTTGGCGTGTTTATTATTTTTTTTTTTTTGGGAATTCTATTTTTTAGTATTGTTGATACAATAAAAACGAATTTACATAATTTACATAAACAAAAATGCAGTTTAAGGACCTTTGATCTTCACGTCTTCTAGGGTATATAAACTGCGATGTATGTTCTATATATATTCATAAAATTCTTCTGATAAGCCTTGAGATCAGCCGGCGGCATTGGTATATTAAATTTCGAAAAACATTTGCTTTCTAAGTGCCGCCTCATTCAGAATGTTAAACACGACATTTGTGTTCTGTGCTCTTCTGAGCTTGTCGCTCTGTTCCGGAATGCTTGGCAATGGTTGGAGCTTACGTCCGCGCTGGTGGTTGGGCGCATCCTCTCCAAGCCTCAATGTCTTGAGGCCAACTCAATGGGCACTACGCCAGCGATTTTTGCTGGATTTATTGCTGCAAGTGCACAAGCCGCTGCTGCAACAGGAGCTCATCGACATGGGCCGTGAGCTCAACGAGAATCCAAGCGATTACGAAACGGTGAGTAGAACCAGTTTGAAAAAGTCAATCGCTTACGTATTTTCTCTTACAGGGCAGTTGGCCTTTGTTGCTGGATTTCTTCGAGCGCGTGCATCAGGGTCGCATTTTGCGCCCATACAGTATCTATAGCCTTTTGCAGGAGGAGCTGCCGCAGCAGCTGCTGGACGTTTATCGCTTTCTAGTGCTAGCCAAAGACTGGAGGATCTTTCAGTGCAATGCATGCTATGCCCGGAGCCGCTTTAACCCCGTGCTCTTTGTGCATGCACTGCAGCTGGCTATTGCCGAACGTGCGGACACAAAGGATCTGATGATGCCGGTCATGCATGAGGTGCTGCCACAGCTCTACTTCGACAAGGAGCTGATACGGGAAGCAAAGTCCGTTAATTGGCAGCAGTTGGTTCCAGTTCGAATCGGCCAAAAACGCTCCTGGAGGGAGACACTGGGTAGCATTTTGTACCCGAAGATATTCAGACAGCCACTGGAGGTGCCACTAGAGGACCTAATGCCAGTCGACCCAGTTGTCATAGCAGTGAATTCTATTGGGATGCCGCTTAGCTTAGATGTTGCCTTAAATGGCTACTGGAGCAGGCTTATCAGCAGGCTGATATGCGGATCGAAAGCTAAGGAAGATTATGAGACTGCTATAATAGACGGCGATCGCATGTTGCAGTTCCGCAATGCCCAAGATGAATGGATATACCGTCAACAAGTCGAGGGTGCAGCGATGCTAGAAGCCGGACAGTTACTGCTGCACAACATCGGGCAGTTTGTGGTGTTGCTGCAGCTGGAAGAATTAGCGACGGGCACAAGATCAGTTGAGCTGGTCACGCCCACATTGATGACAACGGGTGGGGTACCCTACAAGGCAACTGCGCTGAATGCCGAAGACGTGCGACAGTTGATAAGAAAGTCTATTGAAGAACTGCAAAGTCGGATTGATAAGCAGCTGAAAAGCAATGTCGAAATTCAGCCTATGTGGCTCGTGGGTCAAGTGATTGCAGCAGAGTACTGGGGACTCTGTCGACATTTAAGTCTCGCCATTAACGGGAATCATGTGGAGCCCAGCTTTCTGGGCATGACCACGTCCAACCTGCGGGATCCCATATATCGATCGCTGCTAATTCAACTGGCTCAATTAATTTCCCAGTACGATCCAGCGCCAAAGTCTCAATCGTTCGACAGGCAACGGCCGCTGGCACAGATCGTCCGAGTGAGCAAATTGGAAACCTATGAGGAGCTAATGGACACCGATTTGATTAATCTAATGGATCAGCAGTTGCTTCAGTCGCAGCGCAACAATTTGCAATTGCTACGTCGCCGTCTTGTGGCACGTCAATTGCGCTTGAATCATAAGCCATTCCGCATTACCTATGAGCTGTCCGTACCGGAGACGATGGCTGTCCAAATTCGCAGTTATCTGGCGGTGCCTGGCAGAGCTCAGCCTCGACTACTCCTTGACAACTTTGTGCGTGAGCTGGCAACTGGTGAGCATCAACTGGAACGTTATTTTCCTGCTGCTTCTAGTGATCACACGCTTAGCAAGCTCTACGAAGCACAGGCACCATTAGATGCTTCCAAATCGTGTTCATTTCCTCAGCATCTGCAGCTGCCTCGTGGCACTGCTGAAGGTCTACCGCTTCAACTACATGTGCAAGTGCTTCAATGGAACGACACTCAAGCAGGTGCAGAGTGTGCCAGCTTTATTGATGGCAGTGGGACACAGCTCGCTAGCGACACTTTAGATGTGGTCATATACCATCAGGAATTACTAATATCAAAGGACGAATTGGAATATAAATAAAAAATATATTTATGTATCGTATGTAACCTGTATGACAATTTTGAATATCATTTAATTTTCCTATTTTAATGATTTAATAAAAAATGAATATCGCTTATTTAAATATGTATTAAATTAAATTTTTAAATAATATAAATTCAATCTGACCCATACAGGTGATAATATTTTGAATAGTTGTTGTTTTTTTTCAGGATCTGTGTTAATGTGTTTAATTGCTCCATAGACGAAACTTTTATCTGCAATTAACTAAAACAGGTTTTTTAGTTGTATCATTAAAGCGAAGAATATTTCCTTAAAAATACTTTTAAACAATGTAAGTATTCATAAATTAGAAATTGTATTCCCTGACCTACCTCACGCATAAATTTTTTAGGTGAGCGAATTTGTACGTTTGCATATTATTTAATTATATTACATTTTATATATATATTTTTTTTATTTATGTATTCGTTATTTGTATGACTTCTATAGCTTTTTGAATTCGCAATTAAAGAAACAATGTAAACCAACTCCATTAAAATGCCAACTATCGATAATAAAAGACGATATAATAGATACCTATCGAAAGCTGTGCTGCAGATGTAAGAAAAGTGCAAGCGCCATCTACTTGTGGAAATAGATTTTTTTGAGGACTATACCAACGTTGTCTTTTCTTTATGAGAACGGACGTAAAACCCACAATGTTTTAGGCTTGTTAATAATAGTAAAAACCCCCTATTTATGACTAGCCATTGGCCACTTTAAGTTGTGAATGATATCATTAACGGACATGGAATAAAGAAATCTTATCACTGTCAATCTTATCAGTAAACTTTTAATTACAACTCATAGATTGGCCTACGTATGGAGTAATCAATCAATTGAGATTATATTTATACCCTGATCCCATTAAAAATTGGAAATCAGGGTATAATGGTTTTGTGCAAATGTATGTAACAGGCAGAAGGAGGCGTAGCAGACCCCATAAAGTATATATATTCTTGATCAGGACGACAAGCCGAGTCGATTGAGCCCTGTCCGTCTGTCTGTCTGTCCGTCTGTCCGTATGTCCGTATGTGTGAACGCGTGGATCTCAGCATCTATAAGAGCTAGAGACTTGAAATTTTGTAGGTCCGTGTATAGCACGCGCAGGTCAAGTTTGTTTCAAATATTCGATAACTATTCGCATTTAATTGTTATCGAATAAAAACATTATTGAAATACAGTAAATAAATTATGTCTCAAACGTCTTAAGAGCTAGAGCCTCCAAATTTTGTATTTAGTCTTATGTATATTTTATGCAATTTTGATTTTTGTTGGATTTTGGATACCGGCTCCAAATTCCCCCAAATTCTTAGAATTTAAGTTTAGTTGGAACTAGGGCCATTATGTCAAGGCGTTTGCATCTCAACCAAGCCAATAGGATATGTAGATCATATGCTGAAAATTTCATTCAAATTTGCAAAAGCACATGTCAGCAGCGCCACGCGCACGCATTTTTCCTATGCGTGTGCACACATACATTCAAATGCGTGCATTTTTTTCTATTCCAAGAATTGAAATTTCGATTGAATTGTGCTGAATTATTAGCTGCTACTTATGTTCAAATTTGCAACAGCACGCGTTAGAAGGGCAGTGGCTGCGTTGGTAGAGGCGCCGCTCGTATTCGTATGCAGCTTGGTCCGGGTATCTCCAGGGTATCTCCTAGTCGGGCACCCCGACTAGAGCTTTCTTACTTGTTTTAAAGTAAAGTTTATTATTTTTGCATATAGTTACGTATATAAAGTTTATTCAGGTTGATTAGATTAGTTGGTCTTTGGCTTGGCCACGAGGATCTCGTATTTGTCGAATTGACGGAGGGGCAAGTCCTCGCTCTTGATAATGCAGTTCTTGAGTGATAGGAACAGAGTACCTATTAGCAAGCCGCCATCGGCTTTGGCGCGGCAAATGAAGACACGTTCATTCCAATGGGTAGTGCCCACAGAAACGGCGCCTTTTTCGTAGTTGCCATCAAAGCTGCGTACCCACTCGTAGTCTAAAGTGGGCTGAGTAGTCAAGAGCTGATAGGCGACAAGCTTGTAGCTCACTTTGTCTGTATTGAAATAGGCCAAGCCCGTCTCAGCCACAACACGGGCGGGCAAAATGTTGTTGCCATAAGTGACTCGGCCTATGTAAGTGTAGTAGCCATAAGGATCAAATCCTCCAACTATGACGCTGCTAGTCAAGGGATATGACAGATTTCCAGTGATCCACTTATGCTCAGTATCTAGAGGTTTATATAGTAAGGATAGGGATCAGCGGGTCCTTATCAAATTCGATTTCTTACCATAAGTAGAGGGAGTACACAACGCCCCGGCAAATAGTCCGACTACCAACAAGCAAATAAGTTTGTACATATTGTAAGTCTTCTAATCAACAATTGAATGTTCGCTTAAAGCGGTAGCTGCTTTTATACTTGCGACTTATCTATTCTCACTATCGCCTCTGACATATGAGTATTATTAAAAGTCGAATATAGATAGATTGCAGATTAAATAGTTGCTTCAATTGGTCACTAGACTGTTGTAAATTATACCTTCGGTGCAGTTCGTTAAAAAATAGATTAAAAGAAAAGTTTAAACTATCATTAGCTTAAACGGAAATGATATGAAAAGCATTTAGCAATTTTTTTAGTTTTGGACGCCATCTATTGTTCATTTACGACGCGTCAAACAGCGCCGAATAGCTAAAAGCATTTTGTTTTTTGTTTTTGTTCTCATTCAGGCTTATGAGTTGTTTGAGATATAAATATTTTGAATATAATATTTTATTTAAGCGTTAGTGAACACGTCAGAAAATACATTTGAAATTGATTGATGGCCTTAAATAGAATGGGCTAATTAAGCATTACACACTATCCTATTGAGCACAAATATATGCAAAATACTTGATGAATTGGTAAACGCTTTCCCAAGCATATCTAATTAAGCATGAGTTTATAATGATACAAATGAACTAATTCAATTTAAAATAGTGAATTTGCCTGCGAAGGGTAATGAATGTAAATAAGTTTCATCAGTTTATTTCTCTTGTGCTCTGTTCTATCTAGTCTGCCATTTTATACACCTCTAATTTCTTCAGAATATTGCGCAAATTGTTCTCTCCTTTGCTCCTTCTTGCAGCTGAAAATCAAATAAAATGACTGGCAAATAGCAAACGGAGAAGTCCCCAAAGGAAAACTTGAAAACGAAACGGTTTATTATGCTTATGCGAATGTGATGACAACAAAAAGGCATAATAGTAAAATTAAATGTGTCTATTATGCCAGCAATACAATGCACACATAAAACCAGACACACACACGCGCACAGGCACACATACACACACACACTTAGGCAGACACACACAGGACTCTGAGTCCCATAGAAACATTTGGCAGACAAGAAACGTTTAAGGAAGGATGTGTTGCTTAGGAGGCTTCGGGCAGGCTGCGGCATGGTCTGGGTGGTGGCTATGGGACGATCCATTCGCATAAAAACAAATGCACAATATGACAAAAACAACAAAACAACTGGAGTAGTATTGAGACATTGAAGCTCAGTTCTCAGCGAAAGCAACATGAAGGCCTTGTCGAAGGGCCCGTACATGGCTCCGGAATGGGCATTTGGCCCGGGCGTGTTTCTTGGCAGATAAGCACAATAATATGCACGTATTTTACGGCAGTTGCTCCCCCACCTGCCCCACAAGCAACGCATTCGAACTTTGTCGGCCCACGTTTTCGCGCAACATTTTCTAAGAATGCGCAAATTTAAATGCGAATTGTTTTCAGTTTTGTTTGCCGTCGTCGCTTTGCCTAATTGACTTTGCGTGCCACGCCCCCACTTCCCCGACGCCAGGCACCGGTCCAAAAGTTGACAAGAATAGACGACAATCAGCGTTCATTTTTTGCCTGTTTTGTATGCGTCTAATTTGTGTGCGGTTTATGAAAAGAATACCAGTTCCCGTCCCAACCCAGTTCCAGTTCCAGTTCCAATTCCAACTCGCACTGCTGCGTACCTAATGAACAAACATTGCCCTCGCTGTGCGCCAAGCATCAAAATGCGAAAAGTTATTACTCATTTTATGGCTTATTAATTTTGATTGTAGTCAAGGCCTTTGACTCCTGAATATGCTCGTGTATGAAAACATTTAATAAAGATTATTTTAAAAGAGTTTCGGCTTAGTCTTATGCATCACAGTTAGGTTATCAGCTTGAAATCGTTAATTTAAAATGCAGCCCGGCAAAATTTAATCAGCCTTCAGACTGTAGTTTTCCAAAGAGTTTCGTCGTGTTGAAAAACTCATTTTACAGAGAATACCTAGCTGATAAATAAAGATGTTTTGAAATACCTTAATTTAATTCACTTCAGATTCAGTAAGTATAAATCCTTCGCAATAGCATAATAATATATGTATATATACTATATATATATATATAATTTTTATTTTATTTTTTTTTGTACAGATATCTAAATAAGTTGTATATACATATACATATACATTTTTTATTTTTTTTTGTAAAGATATCTAAATAAGTTAAGCATTAAGTTAAAAGAAACATTTTTAATTTGAATACGAATCTTTTAAATAAGATATACACTGAGGATATGTCTGCCACACTAATTAGTCCATTGTTTTGCTGGCAATATAAAGAAGTTGAAATGTTAAACGTGAACCTAGGCTCCATAGAGCGGGCAATGGGCAATAAGCAAAGCAAAGCTCTAAAGTGCCCATTGGCAGTGGACCCAACACCAACATCATCATCATCATCATCATCATCTTCATTGCTATTCAGCATCTCTTGTGGCATTCCTGGGTATTGTATTTCATTTCCGTTTTCATTATTATTTGTGGGCAGCCCCGGTTGCCCCGTGCCGACCAACTGTGGATGTCCTTTTGGTCCTTTGGCTTGGCTGTCGCTCAACTCGCTCGCTGTGCGGTCTATTTGGTCTGTTGTCTCTGCCGTTGGCATTCGCTTCATTTTTTTATCGCCTTCGTCTTCGCCGTTGTCGTCAAGAACAACGCCAACGACGCTGCCAACTTCCTGCTATCGTGCTAATTTCCGTTGCTTTATCTTGACACAATGGTGCGCATTAAAAGCGTGATGGGGAACTGCTGGCAAACTTCATAACTAAGGGCTGTGACGTGGGCGGGCGGGTGGTAGGGGTTCAGCCTGGTGGTGGTTGAGGCTCCAATGCAGCGCTGACCGCTGCGCTTTTATTTCCGCCCCACATTTTGTCGCCATATTAGACGCCATTTTTGTTTTCGCATTGTCAACACATTGTCATTGGGTGCCAAGAACTGAGGAGTGAGCGAGAGGGGTGCGGTTCGCTGTCTCCTTCTCCATCTCCTTATCATCCGCTGCGTACTGGTGTCGCGCTGGTCGCATTTGCATGTGGTTTTTCTCCTCACAAAATATTGATAAATGCCGCCATTAAACGCGATTAACCATTTGAATTATGTGGCAAAGCCAAATTTTATTGCCAACACAATTCTATGGCCAAACAAATGGCATCATTATTAAAATATATGTACCTATATTGAGTATGTGTGTGTGTGTGTGTGTGCGAGTGATAATGCAAAGCGACCATAATTGGGGCGGGCATGAGCTCAAAGTGGGAGCTGTTCACATATTTAAAAATTGTGCTTACAATTTGCGCCGCTTGAATTTCAATGCAACCGCGAAAAATGATTGCCAATTGTTTGTGCGCTGGTCCAGTCGGTGTCTGCAATAATAACAGCAGCAGCAGCAGCAGCAGCAGCAGCAGCAGTGGCAGCAGCGGCAACAGCAGCTACAACAAAAGCTTTAGAGACTAATGCAATTTTAGTCTAAACAGTCGGCAACAATTTGAATGAATTGCATCAATTGCCGGCCCATTGTGCTCTCAAAAAACTGAAAGAAAGACACGCCAGCCCTTGTGCTCGTCTATTGAGTGGGCGTGTCCGGTTGCACGTTGCCTTGCTGCATTGTTGTTATGTGTGTGCGTGTGTTTCTCTCTGTGTACTGCACTCGCGGGGGTAATAAAATAATTGCAGCGCACGTGTCAAAAATATTCAAAAGGATTAAGTAGCGACCAAAGCCAGTAGAGACTGAAGGGCTCGGAGTACCGGGGTACTCGGGGTGGCTGTAAATCCAACAGTTTCCTTCGCCGTACGCATTGTCCAACTGATTGCATAAATTGTTATGGAATGCCATGGACGAGTACCCATGCAAGGCTCTGAATGTGACAACGAACAAACATGTGAAGGCTATGTTTTTTTTTTTGCCACGAGGCGTGAGGGAAACTGCTTCGGGTTGAGGAGGGATTGTAGCCTGTGAACAAGAACGCCTTCGCTTTTTATGCATCTATTATGCGCTGTAAATTGTGTGGGGCATGATGACTATGGTAACAAATTTATCGTTACTTCTTTCCTAATATATATACTGCAACTGAAGGCCAGCTCCTGACTGCGTCTATCAAGCCAGTGAGTTGAAGGACATAAGTAAAATACTTGTGACCTATACTCCATTAACACGCCATGGAAAATCATGACAATTAATATAAGCTTTTTATATAAAAGACTCAAGATATTGTATCTGGAGAATACATAAATATATATTTTATATACATTATACTAGAAACGTATTAGGATTAGGCATCCAGAGTATAATAATGTGAGCCAAGAAATTATATATATTCATGATCTGGAGAAACAGTCAAAAGTATATATTTAAATATATATTCGATCAGGATAAAAAGCCAAATCGATTGAGCAATTGACCTGTTCAACCAGACTATTCAACATTGAATTAAACTTAAGCTAAAATATAATGAAAAAAATTAATATTATGTTAAGGTACTTTTACTTTCTAATTCCTTTCAGCTAAAGGCCTAGAGGCCATAGCCCTACTTAAGCAATTATAATTTAATTTGCATTAGATTATAGATTAGATGCATTAATAAACTTATATTTTTTATATTATATATATGCAATTATTAAGTCTGACATAAATGTACAAAGATTCTATTCAGGTTAAGGTTAATCTAATATTTGCTATAAAAAATAAAACAGTTGCTTATCAGTTTTCCAGCTTATTATTCTCATTACTAATGTCGTGTCGCCTGGACTGTAACCAGTTGAGAATTTTATGAGTGTAAGTGTGTACGCCCAACTGTGTGCTAGGAGAGTGATATGCAAGAACATATAAATTCGCTTCTTCTTGCAGTGTATACGAACGACGACTTCTCGGAAATGTTCTCATTTTCTTGATATGATTCGTTTTTTTCTCAGCTCTGGTTGGAATTTATTTTGATTTGCAACAAATTTGCTGCGGCATTGTGTATTTTGTGTGTGTGTGTGTGGGTGTGCGTGCGTTGGTGTATGCTTAACGTTTTATTGCTTTTCACACTCGCCACTTGCCACGCGAGGCACTTGAGGGCCAGCCGGGAGGGTTGTCTTTAGCGACTAGAACTGGGCGCTTTGTTTACTTTGTTTGTGGCGTGAATAGCAAATAAGCCGCGACAAATGCGATTCGATTCCACAGTTCGAGTATGACCCGGCTCTCTCCAGCTTTATAGACCAAAGTGTGGCGCGTACCACAGCTGTAAATACATTTATTCTAATTGCAGCGCATTCAGCGAACGCTGCAAAATAATTTAAACATTTCCCGCCTCATTAGTTGACAAAATGTTTGTTGGCTTGCAAAGTGATATAAAAAATGAAATTGCAGTAAAATACTCGTTAAATGGCAAAATGCATTTGCTGTAATCTCTGTGGCCACAAAACCAATTTGCGTTACAAATTTATATCAGCCAAAGCTTCCACTTCCACCCAGCATATTGGAAAATTAAATGCAATTGCTTTGGCTCTCGTCTCTGTGGTTGCAAAATTGATTGATTTTGCTGTGACAGCAACAGTAATTGAAAATATTTGTTAACTATTAGTTTACTGATATATCCATTCCCACATCCACACCCATACCCAGTGCCTTGCCACCTGGTTACCTGCTTACCTGTTTACCTGCGTCAGGCATCCCTTCCTGGGCACATTTCCGTAATTCCCTTCAGCTTCTTACAGTGGGCCGCCTCGCTCTTAATCCCACTTCAAGCGAAGCCTCAAGAGGTTCCTCATTCTTTCTTATCTATTGATGCGCCAAAGCGTGTCAGCTGCTTGGCTGTGGGAAGAGCAAGAACTTGGGCTGGGCCAGGGCTGTTTGTGGTTCCATCGTTACAATAACAGAAAAGCCTTTTCACAATGCGCTCCACAGATTTCAATGTATTTTCAACAACTCCAATTCCATATACCATGCAACAGAAAATAATAGAGATCGGGTATATAAAGTGTGCCTGAGGCAAGAACAACTTCAGCTTGCTACTATCTGCGTGGCTACAGGGTATTCCTTAGTCCAGCCAAGTCGTTTCGTTTCTCATGTCTTGTGAAACATTTATTTTTTTTAATTCGTCACAAATTGAATAGACGACAGTGACGATTGCCATATACCATTATCACCTACACACCCGAAATTTTGAATAGCTTGTAAGCAATTGGTTCGATTGCTAGTCCCCCATTCCCAAAAATGTTTCCTCCTGCTCCTCCTCCTGCATTTGTACCATTAGCCTTTGTATTTCGGCTGCGTCGCGTATATCACATTTCCGTTTGTTAGCATTTTTCTACATTGTATATTCACATACCGACTCGCACGAGTGTATTCATGTACGAATATGAATAGCAAGAAGTTTTCTGCTCAACTTGATAGCCCCAAACACAAACCCAACCTGAGCCCCTGCCACGAAACTGAAGCCCTTCCCAATACAACTTGCATGCAAAAAAATCCCATTGTAAATTTTGATGCGAGCGACAAGGGTTTCCCCCACTCTCTCTCTCTCCTCCTCACTGTCCTGGTTGTTGTTGTGTTGATTTGAAGGCAACTCACGCCTTCCGCAGTTGCCTTCGATTGTCAATATTTTCCACACGTCTACACAAAAGGTAGACTAAACTATGCTCACTGATTTCTTTCTCCGCGCAAGGCATTAACGCTAGTCGCATGATGATTTATAAAGGTATGCCAATTTGGACTGGCTAATTTGCTGGGTCTTCATTTGGTACTGTCTCGAGTCTGTTCGTTTGCGATTAAAAGTTCTTTTTTATTTAGCAGAATGAATACATATTGTTTTCTTAATCTGTCAAATAGAATCAGCGCCTTTGGCCAATTAGTTTTCAGAGGCATTCATGAAAACATTTTGCAGCGACTTTTCCCGAAACTGTGCAACTAACTGAACTGTGAAATTGTTTGCCAACTAGATGTAAAAATAGAGAAGCGACGCACTCGGCCCAGATAAGAGCGCCAACTTGTTTGCTTAATAAATAAACTTTATATTCATAACTGAAAAAGTTTTGCGGTGTCGGACGCTTAAGCGGCGTGAGGCACGAGGCATGCGGCATGCGGCATGCGGCAGGCAGCAGCGCAGCGAAACAAATGTGCCCGCTAATTTGCGTGGCAAAAAGTTTTCGTTTGGCGCCCTCAAATGTATGCTATGGTATTCGGTTGGCTGTGGCGTGCAGCATTCGGAGGCGCCACAAACAGAGCGCGACGGCATTTCCGCTGACTGAGTTAGCTGGCTGAGTGCAAGCCGCACAACATAAATTATGCGAGCATCTTCCGCATCAGCTGCTCCGCGCTATCTGCACCGCGGCCGCTAATCACGAAAGTTTTCGGCAATGCGTTTCTGCTACCTTCAATTGCCACTCGTGAAACTTTGGCGCTGCCTGCGACGCAGCGGAGCGAGCGAGAGGCAAAAGGGTTAGGCAGAGTTGGCGAAAGTCTCAGAATTCAAAGTTTCTGCAGCACTGATTAACGAGACATAATTATTTTCGCATTAAGCGGCGGCTAATAGGCCGTGTAATACCAAAGTTTGTTTTTGCCCTTAGATCAGCTCATCAGACCTTCGAAAAGGAGAAAAAAGAGAGACACTCGAAGATAATGAAAGTGCATTCAGGTGGCAAAAGTCGGAGACAGGTCGAGTGCTAACATTTTTCCATTATCCGATGTGCCACATTCTTTGCCAGCATAAAAACCAATTTAAATCAACATCATACGAACTGACGATACTCTACGCTATGTCTATAGGACTGACAGAAGGTTTATGTGATTATACCTTGCTATACATAACATTTATAATATTTGATGATATTGTGAAGAAGGTGAAACTCAAATAAAATAATACGAACATTCAATACTCTACACTCACGTTTGTGAATAACTAGATGCGACACATCTGGATATAAAATACTGTTAAAATATCCCAATTTTATGCATAAGGTATATGGCCTGTTGGCGCAATTCGTCACAGACTCTTTTGGAGAGTATCAATATTCCAGGGCCGTGGTAGAAGGCTGCTTGGAAAAATGCAACTTTGGAGCGCCTGCAGCGAAATGTCTGCTGTTCTATGGTTGGCCAACGCAGCCAGTGTCTGCCTTGATGAGAAAACTGTTCTGAAGCGGAGGGTTAAAAGCTGAAATCGTTTCGAGCTGAGCCAGTGACAGCCACGGCCACAGCCACAGCCACAGCCACAGCCACAGCTACAGCTACAGCCACAGCCTGACAGCTTCACAACGGAAAGTGTGATTATATTTTCATTTTCAATTTTTTACGGCCAATTAATTTGGCAATTGACGCTTCGCTGGGCGTCTGCGACGGCCCAGATATACGTACATACACATAGCTGCGGAGTGGGTCTCGCCTCTCGTTGTTGCAAATTGAGTTGTGTGGCAAGAATAAGAAAAGTCTATTATAGTGACAGCAAACAACTGCCTGCCAGCTATGCATTGTCTGCCCCGAACATAATATGAAAGTGCTTTTGTGGGCGGCTTTTGTTGGGGGCGTCCTAATCACCCCTCTCCTTTCCAGCAATGCCATGCAATTTGCATTAAGAACGGCCATTCAAAATTAGAAAATCCTCTCGGTTGCAAGTGTTATTGCCAATGGCAAATGGCAGCAGTTGAGGTAAGGCTGGTGAAACGTCAGACGGGTTTTTAATGCACATATGCATCACTTGCATAGCTTTATTTAGGGATTACACAAGAAAGAAATTATTATATATAATTATTACATTTCGGAGACATCAGAAAACGAATTAATTCAGGTCACTAGAGCGGTCAGTCGGCCGGGGAAAGGTATGGCACTTGGTTTCCTCCTTAGTTCTCGCTAACAATCAGCACATCATGCAGTTGCACGTTGGGCAGGTCCAGCAGCAGCTGCTCGTTTTCAATTCGTCGATCCAGCGGAAAGCCCAGAGGACGGTTGTCCACAATGGAAGCCATGCTAATGCCCATAACGCCATCCAGGCGCTTCATGCGAACGGGAAGCTCGAGTTGCAGACGCTCGACGGGCGAGACAATCGCAAGCAACTGCATGGGCAGGCCCTCGGGGCGACCACGAGGCAACAGCAAGCGCTGAGGGAAGCTGCCATTCTCGCCAACCAGATCACTTATTATCAGCTGGTCCTGTTCACCGCGCAGTGCAGTCATCACACGACGGTAGATCTCGCTGTAGGGCGTGGCATCACGTGTGGTCCAGGCAATGTTCGTGGAGCGGTACTGAATGCGATTGCGGCCAGTCTGCAGTTGGGTATTGATGGCATCTAGAAGCACAAAGTCGGAGCGACGCTGCTCCAGGGGCAGCTCACGGCCATTAGCATCCTGACGAGGTCCCAAAAACAGGCGAATGATCACATCACGTGGGCTCTTAGCGCTTATGTCCATGTCGATGGTGAAGGGCTTGTTGTTCAGACGGCGTTGTCGCACCACCACTTGTGATTGCTGAGGCTGATCAACCAGGCTGGTCACATCAATGTCGCCGTCCTCGATGAAAGTGCGCAGCTTGTCGACGCGCAGATCGTTAATGACAACATCCTGCAAGTCCAGGATTCCACGATTATAGACGCCCAACTGCTGTTCGCGTATTTCATCCACAATGCCTATTATTCTGCGCAGTGTGTACTGCAGCACGCGGTCACCCATGCTGATGCCCAGTCCAGAGCGATCCATGCGAACAGTCGCATCCTGAAGCAGCTCACGCAATATGCGCAGGATTCCTATATCTCCTATGCGACCAATAAGAACATCGCCAATTAGACGCTCCAGGCGCAGCTGCTCGTCAATCTGCTTCATGGTAGATCTACCGACGTTGCCGTTGCTAATCTCGCTGATCACACGGCCAATCACCTGTTGCAGCCGACCCTCAATGACATTGATTTGCTCAAGCAGAACTCGATTGCGACGGGAGTCCAAGCGCCTGTCGTTCAAGCGGACAGCATAACGCTGAGAAATGTCTTGGTTGGGCTTGTTCAGGCGGGAATTGTCGATTAGCTGATATTCGTCATTGACCATTCGCATGGCAATACGTTCCTGGTTCAGGCGTGCCAACAACTGGCGCAGGGTCTGCAGCAGCATTTCACTTCGACGAGTCGTGGACTCATCCAAGGTGTTGGCCAAGCTGCGTCGGTAGCGGTGTCCCTGCTCCATGTTCAGTTTTTGTTCCTGGTCTTTGCGCTGGCGATTGCGACGCAGCATCTCAACGATCTCATCATCGCTGAGCTCACTTAGACGATTGTCGCTGCGGATTAGACGCATAATGTCCTCAACTTTCATTGTATCCTCGCCATCAACGCGACGACCCTCTGCAATTGTGTTAACACGACGCGGACTTGTGTTGTCCGTGGACTGACTAATGCGACGTCTATTGATATGGACCAATCGCTCGTCATCACGGCGCACGGTTTGGAGGTTGTCAGTTGCACTGCGCATGCTTTCGTCCTGACGGTCAACACGCATGAAGCGTTCCTGTTGCTTGCGACGCAGCATCTCGCTGATGTCATCATTGCTTATCTGGCCCAGACGGCTGCCACTGCGTATCGACTGCATAACGTCATCATTCCTCCAGGCATCAACGTCATCAACGCGACGGCCCTCGCTTAGTCGATCGCCACGTACAATGCCCATGAAGCGTTCTTGTTGGGTTTGTTCTTTGCGCTGACGGTTGCGACGCACCATCTCAATGATCTCCTCATCGCTCATTTCTTTCAGGCGGTTATCACTGCGTATCAACTGCAAAATGTCTTCATCCCGAATGGCATCAACGTCACCAACACGACGACCCTCGCTCAGGCGATCGCCACGTACAATGCCCATGAAGCGGCCCTGTAGCGTTTGCTCCTTAAGCTGACGGTTGCGGCGCACCATCTCCAAGATCTCCTCATCGCCCAATTGATTCAGACGGTTATCACTGCGCATCAGCTGAATAATGTCCTCATCATTTATGGTACCCACACTGCGGCCTACTCCAATCGGGCTAACTCGACGCGGCGAGATGGTATCGGTTGTTTGACCCAGGCGACGTCTATTGATGTGCACCAGGCGCTCATCATTACGAGGAACGGATTGCAAGTTATCAGTAAGGTCTTGCATGTTATCTTCATTTAAGATTCTGCGGTTGCCAGTCATTTCCTGATCCACACGGCGGCCCTCACTTAGCCGTTCACCACGCACAATGCCCCTCAAGCGCCACTGCTGCTGCTCATCCTCAGGTTCGTTGCGGTTCAAGTTCTGGCGACGACGACCAACATGCAACAAGCGATCGCTGCGAACATCCACTGTGGGCAATTCGTTGACGTCACTGGTCATGGAGCGTTCTCCCCAGTTACCGCTCAACACGCGTCTAATTCCTTGACCTATGTTACGCAGCAGAGGAACACGAGTGCCATGCAATTGAGTTTCGAATTGTACCTCTTCATCATCATCATCGTCACGGCGCATTGAGCTCGAAACACGCTCGCGCTGGTTGTCATAGATGTCCTCGTCTTCGTTTTGCTGTTGGGGCACACGGCGGCGGTTAATTCCCAGCAGACGATCGTTATTGATATCGTAGTAGTCTTGGCGATTTCCCTCCCCTTCCAATTCTATTTCCCTTTCCAAGTAGTTGTTGGTCAGTTGGCGGGCATTCGAGCTCTCCTCAAGGAGCGCCAGTTCTTGGATTAGACCTTGCATAAAATTGCGCATGCCGATGTCTTCAGTTAGCAGTGAAATGCCCTGATCCTGCTGAGTGCCCTGCAGGGGCAACACCACACGATTTTGGATCTGCTGCCACATCTGCTGCTTTCGAAGGGCCAGCTGCATGTGCAGATCGCGCCAAGGCATTACCATACGCATCACGGGATTCATCTGACGGATACGTTGGCCTAGTCCGACGACATCTACGAAAGAGGGTCGTGGGCTGTTCTCAATCTCCGCTTGTATACGCTGCACGCGCTCCAGTGTCTGCTGGTCTAGATACAGCTCGGGCAATATCTCCTGCACAGCAGGAATGATTAATGATTGGGTGTCCTCGCGATCGCGGATGGCTAGTGTTAGGGCATTGATCAGCAGCACGGGATTAACGTTACGTCTCAGATAGACAACATTACGCTGCAGTGTCTCAAAGTCGATGGCGCGCACCAGCAGGCGATAGACGCCACGCAGCTGCTGAACATGCTCCACATTGCGAATGCTGTAGACCTCGTGCTCATCTAGGAGACGGCGCTGACGATCCATATCGATCACACGCTGCATTTCATTATCAATTCCACCACGATAGTATCCTGGATCGATGATAAGGCCCTGGTCCTGCTTTATAAGATCATCCTGCTGCAATGGCTGCTGAACACGTTGCACAATGTCCAGAAGAAACTTTTGGCGTTGCAAGTCCTCCCTGGACATGCGCTCGACGCGCTGATCAACTGCAAAATAATTAAGATCATTTGGAATTAAGGCTTTACCCCAGCTGGCAACTTACCACTGCCAATGTTCCTCTGATAGTCACGCTGGACAATGCGACCAGCGGACACTGTGCCGAGCACACAGACTGCTAGCACAAGAAACTTATTCATCTTGTAAGTAGCTACTTCCTTGCAAACCAGAAGACGACTGCATTTTCAGCTGGTCTCCACGGCGAATTTATACCCATTCTTATCGCCCAGGCTAGGCCTACGTAAATGATTTCAGCATTCGATCTGAACTGGCAACCAAATGTTTATCAGTTCAATCCCAAAGTACATTATGCAATTACTTATAGACAGGTCTTCTGGCTGGTTCGAAATCGAAGTCAAAGGCCAACAGATTGCATACTGGCTGCACGGACACTGCATTCGCTGGGTTGATTGGTTGCTGATGCAGATAACGGGTCACACGAAGATGCTGCTTAATTAGTCCGTCGACCCCTTGTTTGCTGCCTTTGTTTGAGCGTTAATAGCTCGAATTTTGCTACCATGCAGGCTGCAAGTTATCTGCACAAGCTTCGAATGAACCGACTGGCATATTATGTATGAAAACAAAGCACATGATGTGTACATATATTGCTGTTTTAGGCCTCCTCTTTAGATCATAACTCTTTTGTTCAGATTAATAGATTGGAACGTAGCAGGTGTGTGTCATACTCGTACAACTGTAACATTGTTGAGCTCTATATAATTAGTTAGTATACAACTTACCAAATTGCTTAATCAAAAATGAAGGTAAATAGTAACTTACCCGTAAAATTTCTAATATATAGCTGTTCACGATTAGCCACGCCCCTAATGTAACAGTCAAATATTGGACTTGTAAATTTGTTATGATTACAACAGGGTATACAAGATAGTTACAACATAGTCTCTCCCAAATTGCCTCACTCCTAGTCGTTGTCGATCTGTAGTGGATCTTAACAGTAACTCCCGTGCCAAATTTTAAGCTTCAAGTTCTAAAACTGTGGAAGATTAACTTATTTGCCATTCCACCAACAAGCATAGATATATATGTATGTATATAATATATATATTTTTTTGATTGTTTACGAGTCTTAAGTGTTTGTTAGAGAGGGATACCAACGAGTACATATTAGCTTCAATATCAGCAATTTGTTTACGTTTATACGGACGGACGTGCGAACATCAAGATGGATTATGCACAAACCCAATATACTCTTTTCATTTCGTGAATTAGTATAAAAATAAAAATGTATTTACTATTGCATGCTAAAATGAAAAACTTAAATACGCATCATATTAACAGTTGTGTCATTTTTAATTTCACGATCTGTTGGTGCTTTGAATAGGGATGTGCGATGATTCGACTTGGTTTTAAGATATCGATATATGAAGAAACGATATCGATTTCTATACGCCCAGCTTTCGATACATATCACTGCTCGCTATTGCTAATCTTTTATGTGAGTCTCTTAAAAGTTCAAAATATGTATTCTTGAGATAACATATATAATTGAGAAGAGTGCAATTTAAGCTCTTCACAACTGTATAACTTACACCTAAAGCAGCTAAAAAATTTGTGCATACATTTTTCAATGCGCTACGTTCAATACATAACAGTGTAGCTAGTAGCATCTGAGCAGCTGTAACGCGGGCAGCAGTGGGGTCGTAGCCATTGTTGTGATTGGGACAACCAAGTGATTGGCGATTGTGAAAGGATTCTGTCAGCTCTGAAGGGGCGATTGCAATTTTTCTATTCACATTTAAATTGGCAATTCGTTTGGCCGTGGCTTTTGTGTGTTGACAGTCATTTTTTGCTACTTTTTGGATGCGCTGCGTTGCGACAATTTGCAACGTGCCTGGCATGCAACGGAAGTGAACGCGCTACGTGGGTGCCACATTGCTGGGACTAAACTGTTGGCATTGTTGCTGCTGCTGTTGCTGTCTTTTCTAATGTAATTGCAATTGTTTGCCGAGCAGCCAAATGGTCAGCAACTTTGATTTGGCCTCTGCCGTTGCACTTTTTCAACTTTTTGCAGCAAGAAGCTGAAGGCTCAGCATTTTTATGCATGCCAGGCGCACTTGTGCGCCATTAATTGCTTCTTTATGCTCAGCTGCTGCTGCTGGTGCTGATGCTGGTGTTGTTGGTGCTGTTGCTTCAGCTGCATGTTCAGCAATTATGCAGCGACAATTTTGCATTAATTGCTCCTTTGTACTGCTGGCCAGCAGTCCACTCCTGCATGTCGACTGACTGCTGTGTGGGCGGCGTACCTACTGCAGAAAAAAACTAACTAAAAAGGAGCCTGGCATTGTTGGCGAATGCATTTGCAGCTCCTCTCTCGCTGAATGCCGCTGCTCAGTGCTCGGTTTAATTGCTGACAGGCTCATTTGTTGGAGCACAGGGTCCAGGCATAACTTTTGTACACAGTCATCCTGTCCATGGTCAATTGCATTAATGCAGTCTGACAGCTCTTTATCTGGCACCCAATTGAAACTTTTTTGTTATTGAAAATATAAATTGTGAAACAAAATGTCATTTATTCTGTATGGTAATTTCGTATTGTTATTGTTTTTATTTGTACTCGATGTGGCATGAACAACGTGAATTCAAATTTTAACGCTAAGACCATACTATATTCCAGTTTCAATATAAGACATTGTTATCTATGATTCCACTTTAAGCTTCGCACTCTGTAGTAGCCCCACAGCCATTCGATAAGCTGTGCGTATCCTTCACACTGAAGTGGGAATGTCAAGGCATCAGTATCTTTGCCTGTCGTCATCCTTGCCAGCCTTCTGCCAAGCAAATGAGGTATAAGCCGGTTGGAGAGGGGCAGCGGTGGTTGGTTTCGTTTCACTGCTGCGTCTCGCCTTGACTTAAATGCGATTTAATGCCTTTTTTGTTTGTCTTCCATGCGTCGGATATCCGTTGACGCAGTGGGCGTGATAAACCACAGTAGCAGAGCAGAAGAAGAAGATGCCGGAGCAGCCTTGTCTGACTGCTTTATCCTCCTCCCTAAGCCGTTGTGCGTTCCTCGACTGGGTCGCTAATTTGCTTGGCGTTTTTTATGTCTCATCTTCGCCTTGGCGTCTTAATCTTATATCCTTTTTTGGCTGGCTTGGCACTTAAAAAATGTAGTCCTTTGTTGGGCCGATAAAACTGCTTACAAATGCTTAAAAAATTAAAATTTATTACACGCGATTATGTGGCACACAGGCAGCAGCTGCCTGGAAAGAAAAAGCTTAGAAGTCAAGTCCCTACAGCCCCATTCCTCCCAAATAATAAGAGATGCAAATGGAGTGCCATCTTTTTCGGTTCGCCATATTTCCGGCCAATGGACATTGCCCAATTGATTCATGGCCCCACAATATCCTCTGCGTAATGGGCCATGGCCGAGGCTACCTTAAAGCGCCAACTTCAGCAAAATAATAACAAGGAGCAAAAAATAAATATAAATATACTACTTCATAGTAATAATGAAGCGCCAGGGCAAAAGAAAAGTGCCGCAGCAACGCATGGCAAAAAGAAAATATTTCTTTTTATCGAAACGGATGTGAGTGTGCCAGGAATGAAATAGCAGAAGAAAAAATGAGAAAGGGCGAAGAGCGAAGGGCGACGGGCGACGGGCGAGGGGCGAAGGGCGAAGAGCAAAGAGTAAGGGCGACGTCGTTCCAAATAAATAAAACAAAAATTTGTACTACAGTGTGGGCTGTATAGGAGGGGAAGATATCTGAGCTACTACTCCCAGTGCGGCCTTTGTCACCTCTTCATTCCCGCCCACAGAGTGCCGGCTGGTTCTCCTCTCCTCCTTCCATGCCCAGCAACCGCATAGAGCAAATCAAACAACTTTCATTTCACACGTTTTCCGTTTGTCCTTTGCGCGCTCCACTCGCAGTTTTTGTTTGCCTTGAAACAAGTGACTTGAGAGAATGAAATTGAAAGAGCTCTTAAAGTGTGAGTAGTGTGTGTGCTTGTGTGTGTGCTTTGGTATTGGCCTTTGGGTTGAGTGCACGTGTCCTGCGCGTGTCTGCTAGTTTTGATAGCTATTGACTTCTGCAGAGGGCTGTAAGTAGTTGACCCGTTAAATTTTGATAATTGATTTGCCAGCCATTGTTGTCTCTGCCGGTAGACCTGGTGCAGAATCCGTAAACATCTTATGCGAACGGAAAAAGCAATATTGTTTCCATTCTTTCAATAGCTTATAATCCAAGGCAAGAGAATGTTGCATACAACCAGGCTAAGCCTCACCAACTGTTAACTAATTATTTACTTGACTATAGCTATTGCTATATCACTTAATTACCAGATCTTTGCTGCTCGGCTACAGCTTGACAAGCACATTCAAGAAATGCCCTCATCTGGCTTCCGGTCTGCTCTCGTTGGGGCTTGAGGCTGTGGGGCTTATTGTCCTGAGCGCCTTGTGGGCTGGCTGACAACTTCATTGGGCAAATATTTTTGTAGTATTTGGTAGTGTCTCGCACAAGTGATTTGCACTGTGACTGCGACTCGGCTCTGGCATTTGGGCCGAGGTGAGGTCAAATACAAATAGAGAGGGACTGTCTTTATTGCCGGGTCTCTGGGTCTCGGACCAGGACACTATAAAAACGACCTTGCGGCAACAAAAGGCAGCCAGACGTGAGCTCTCATTCGCTTTTGCTCTGTCTCTTTGAGTGTGTGTCTGTGTGTGTGTGTGTGTGTGTGTGTGTGACTGTGCAGACAATCAGCGCAGGACTTTTGGCAGCCGGGTTGAGGTTGTCAGCCTGAGGGTGGGGGCTGCATTGGTTGGGGGGTTTCGCTCTTTGGGCAGACGTCGCGCGTTCGCTTTCTTATCAGTACTTTGGCTGCGCTGCAGCGTGGCATTTGTGTGAGTTTTATGTGCGGCTTTTGAGCTGGTTATGATGCTGTCGCAATTGCCACACAGCGCACTGTCCCTGCCACCCCGTGGCCAGCAACTGCGGGCTGCTTCTTTGTTTTCGTTCTCAGCTGAAAAGGTGTCAATTGTTTTTTAGCCGAGCTCGCTTGCTCGCCACGCCTCATCGCAACTTACAGTCGGTTGCATAAACAAGTGGGCGTAGTGAATCCCATTAAGCATTAAGAGTTGAGAGCGTTGAGCGTTGAGCGTTGAGCAACCCCCGCCGAACAGTAGACAACCCCTCGAGCGGCCGGCGATTTAAACTAATAATCAACGCATCAGCAAACATTGTCGTTATTATTCACGCGCCTGTGGCGCCCCCTGGCGGTTGACTGCTGACAGATTGCCTGGCAGGTCGGGTGGTTAGGCTGGGAATTGGTATTGGCTTAGGTGTTGGTGTTCGTGCTGTTCGCGTTACAAGTGTATGCAGCAATCAGTGGGGCGTGAGCTATTTAAAAATCCTTTATTCGTTTACAGTTATAATTTGCCTTTCGTTTTGTATCACATTAAAATATAGATTTTTTATATACGCATATATATTACACAAGATCGGGCCAACAATATATATATAAAGCACTAAGAACTTAGGAGCAATTAAGACTATGTTAAGCTATAGATTTGATTTGTGGTAACTAAACTGCTTAGTTTCGATTCGAATTTGTTCAAACTGTTCTGAAATGTCCTGGGCTCTTCAGTGATAATGACAACTGCAAGGCTTACCCAGAGTTGGTTGCATCTAATCAAGAATATACTCATGTAGCAGGTTGATAGGAACAATTTGAGTTTTATTTATTTAGTTTCCGTTCAAATTTCTGCAGTGTGGAATTTGTTGTATGTCTTTTCGGATAGCATATCCTCATATATATTGATTGTTGTTTATATACATAGCTAAGTACCACATAACCAAAGTGAATAGTCATAGACGTAGTCCGGGAGGGGGCGAACAGAAACAGAAACAGAAACAGAAACACGCAACATAAAACAGAAACACACAAAGATTCGGCTAATACTAGGGTCCTACAGAAGTAAGTGGGCAGATCTGATGGCTGCTGCCAGTTTGGGTGGGGTGTGGGGGGCGGGGCGGTACTTAGTTGCTGTGGTTGCTCCAAATTTAGACCGCATGCTCCGCAGCGGCAGCGCCGTAGCGCAGCGGAGTCGGTCAAATAATGTTGGGCGGCGTTGTGGCCAGCGCTGGGACGACTGCGACGGGCGAGGACTTGGATGACTTGACACAGCCGTAGGACGAGATGCCTGTGCCGCTGCTGCTGGGTGGTGAGGGCGGAGTATCTGGACTGATCAGTGGCAAATAGCGCCATGGATGATAGATGCTGCCGGCGTACATGGCCTGCAGACGCGCCTGCAGATCCAGCGCCAGGGTTGGATCCAGCGGATAATGTGCCAGCGGAAAGCCACCGGGCACGCGCGGCAGCGACAGCTCTAGTGGCGATCCAAAGCCATACTTGGCGGCCAGCGAGGTGGGCGAATGCGAATGGGAGTGGGAGGCGGCGGCAGCGGCAGCGGCCGCTGCTACTGCGCTCAGCTGCGCGTGATGATGATGCGCATGAGCATGGGCGGGATGTGGATGTGGGTGATGCGGGTGGTGATGATGATGCGGCAGGCCCTGTGCATGTGGCGAATGCTGCGGCTGCGCGAGATCCTTGCCCAGCTGACCAGCGACCGTAAGTCCAGAGCTTGTGCCTGATGTTCCGCCTCCGCCGCCACCGCCGCCCGGCACTGGGGACTTGTTGAGCGTCTTGGGCTTGCGTCGAGGTCGATATTTGTAGTCGGGGTGCTCTTTCATGTGCAGCGCGCTGTAAATTGAGTAAATGTTGAAACATTGATCAAAGATCGGGCCACGGCATCGATATTAAAGCGATTGAACGATCACGATGATATCACAAAGTCAATCTGTTGCCCAGTTGGCTTGGCCATAAAACTGAAGCCGCTCAATTCCCGCATGACAATTAACTGACTAAGAGATACCCTGTACTTTGTGTGGGCATATGAGCAAAGCTTTCAGCTAATCAGCGACTGAGCGAACATGAAAAAAGGTTTTCCAATCTGTATTTTAATGTTAGAAAAACCTTAAGAATCGTCTAACAGAAGATTCTTATAAATGAAATTCGACTTTTTCAGCTATATATAAATAGATAAAGATTTGTTTTGGGATTTTTCATTTGCATGACAATATATCTTGTATCTGCTAAAGTCTCTCGCGGCTCATACCCGGCATGAACTGTGCAGGGTATATGGACTGAAGCCAAAACCCTTCCATAAAACCTCTCCTGCAAGACTCAGTGCTTATCTGATGCCGTTTAGCAAGGCAGTGTATCCAAAGTTCTGGAGCTCTGGAGTAGGCATTCTGTAAGCATTCCCAGCTGCAACAATGCGCAATTGTTGACATTTGTTTGTCAAACGATAAATGTTGATAAAAGGTGTGTATTATTGTGTTGTTGCTGTTGCTCATGCTGTTGTTGCGGTTGTCACTTTTGCTTTCTGTGCCTGAGCTGCTTTGGCTTTGTTGCAGTTCCCATACCCTAATTGGTCAGCCTTGTTATCTCTGCCCGAAAATAAGCAAAAGAAGTAAATTTCAAATCGAAATTGAAATGATATGCGATCCGATGCGAGTGCCGTCTTATCGCCGCGTCGCCTCGCACTTTGGCAAATATTTGAACAGTGTTTCTTGTTTTCGAACTTGATAGTTGTCTTTATTTATGTATTTATATGTATCTGGTTGCCTCAGCCAAGAATTCGAATGGCCATTAGGTTAAGCCCCAGCAACGCGAACGACGGCTCATTAATTATTGTCAGTTAACATTTACTCAGCCATTTGGCAGTCCAATACAATCAATAAAGGATTTAGACAGTGCAAACATTGCTCACTTATCACACTCTACCTACGAATTGAGGTCTCATGCAAAATGCAAAGGGCCACAAAAATATCTATAGAGCTGTTTACCCAAGATATGCCAATCGAACGTGGCCCGGCCCAGAGCTCCAAATGCTACTCAATGCCCCTTTAGAGCCTCACAATAGCTGCCCATTGTCTTAGCTAATCGCTCAAATTGTAACCAGACAACAAACCCACTTGCACACACACACACACACACACACACACACACGCACACACACAGATGCAGTCACTCACCGCAAACGCTTGGCCTCATCAATGAATGGACGCTTCTGTGATTCGGTGAGCAACTTCCATTCGGCACCCAAACGCTTCGATATCTCTGAATTGTGCATTTTGGGATTGTCCTGCGCCATTTTGCGTCGCTGTCCCCGGGACCACACCATGAACGCGTTCATTGGTCGTTTAATGTGGTCATGATGCGAACTGCCATTCGAGTTGGAGTTGTGTTGTTGTTGCAGTTGCTGCTGCTGCTGCTGCTGCTGCTGCTGCTGCTGCTGCTCTAACTTGGGCACCGCTGGAGGCGGTGGTGGCGGCGGCGTTGTGGCTGCTCCGATTGTCGTTGGCGGTGAGAGGCTGCTGCTGTGATGACTGTGACTGCTGCTCCCACTGCCACTGCTCGTGTAGCCGTTGCTGTTGTGGATGTGGCTGTGGCTGTGGCTGTGATTGCGATGCAGCAGCGCCGAGATGCTCGTCATGGCTGCGCGCTGCGACTGTGAAGTTGGGTGCGTCAGGTGAGTGGCCCGCTTGCCGGCTGTCGGGTTATCCAGGGACTCCACTGCGGTGCACTGACCGTTTCCTCTATGTGTCTGCAGGCAGAGCTGTGCTGAAATGCAAACGGTAATGGAGTTCAATAGATATGCTTTGTTTGTGGCATGGCATCACATCGCTTTGCCTCGCAAAGTACCAGACGTGAGGTGTGTGGGTTCCGCTCTTGATGGGGGCTGCTTCAATGGACAACGTAACAAAATCTGATAACTGCGAGGGGGTCAATGCTGGGAATGAGTAATCGCTCTGGGAAAAGAACAATATTTCAGCTCGAACTATATGAAAACATGCTCATAGAGGAGGCGCCTTGTACTTTTAATATGCATTTAACTATTTCCGGAATTTTAAAGCTGGAAATTCCTTTGGCTTCCCCCAATAATAATATGTTTGCAAACTAGGCATGAATCATTGAACAAATATTTTGAGTTCAGTAGTTTTTATCAGGTACAACAAGACAAACAGAGACATCAATAAATATTTAAACTAACATTAAATTATAATTTACATATTTTTCCGAAGGAGGGGACGACTCTAAGAACTGATAGCTGCTCGCTAGATTTTCTGAGAATGTTATCTAAAGTTCACTATATAGTTAAATATATATAGAAACAGTTCCGATAGTTTGTGCAGAGATCCAAATGCTTTTCTGGATTTTTAGTGCGAGATATATGTATTACATATATGAGCAAAATTGTATTATTCTTATAAAGATCTAGTCATAACGGCGATCAGTTGTAACCAGTTGAGCTCAGGCCTTAGTAGTTGAATTATATCAGCACCTTGACCCCTTTCTAATGTTTACTTAAGAATGATAGATTCCAGAAAGTCGACTAATTGATATGTGGGGAAAAGTAAAAAGTCAATCAGTCAATCAAACAATGTTCAAATACACATGTCAAATGAGTCACTTAAGGCTGTTATCTTTTGCTGATATTCATGAATGCTTACCTTTTGTACAGTTGCGGATTTGGTGCCGTAATCCCGAGAACGGGTAGATCTGGAGTTCGGTTAATAACACTGTTCAGGAATGCAGAGCTTGTTGACACTTTTAATCTTCGAATCGTTTCGCCTTTGCGAGATATGCTGCACTAAATGTTATTAAATGTGCATTATTTATTTTGGCTTTAGTTAAGTTGAACTCAGATCTAAACACTTGGAATAGCACTTGACAAACGCTTTTGTGCGGCGCTCGAAGCTTCGCTTCCTCTTCAACTGAACTAACCCCGAGCCGAGTGTGTTGCCGGAGCCGGTGCGTCCGTATCGAGTGCGCGACAGTTTTGATTTGAACCACACATTCTATGGACTAAGGGCACAATCTATGGATGGCATTCGAAAACTTGCGACAGTTGGCGGAACAAAAACGGGAAAAGCGGCAAACAAAAACTGAAATCAACTCAACAGCGAGTGAGTGTGTGCGTGTGTGTGTGCGCGCGTGTGTGTGTGTGCGCGGGGGTAAATTTGTTATTGTAGTGGTTGCATGTTGGCTGCTCGCTCTTTGCGCCACAGGAGCGAGCAAGAGCCAATTAGCGTGCGACAAAGAGCGAACAAGCAGCAGACAACCAGCCAGAGAGAGAGAGAGAGAGAGAGACAGAGAGTGAGGGAGAGAGAATGCGCGACGGGTGTTTGTAGAGTTGTTGTTGTTGCTATTTTTGGTTCTTGTCGTAACAGTTCGGAGGACGCGAAGACGACGCTGGGCATCGCCAACGTGGCGGCTAAGTGATAAAATTTGCTGTCTCTGCTGCTGCTCGCAGCTCACGTTTCTTACCTTCTGCATTTTGCATTTGTGTTTGTGTTTGTGTTTGTGCTTGTGTTTGCTCTCGCTGTCGAAAACTGTCTTCTGGGGTCTCTTTTTGTGTTGACCAATTGTTTGTCCTGTTTGTCCGTTTCCACATTTACACGCACTTTCGATGCTTCTCTTAAGGTGAGATTTGTGTACGATAATCGCGACCGAAAACGCAGTTGCTTATCGAACTGTGGCTGACTCCTTGTTTGCGCCCACGATCGATCGTAAGTGTGAGCAGAGCGCAAACACCCGATTATCTTGTGCATATTCCAGTCCCTATGCATGTGTGTGTATGCAATTGTAGCTGCACTGAGATACCCTTTGGCTGCCATTGTTTAGAAGGGGAGTGTCGGCTCAATTGCCCTCCTTGTTTGCTCGCTGCTCCACAGGAAATTCGTCATCCGTCTCTACCGAACTGCCATTATTTTCCGAATAATTGGAGTCATAAAATTTAGCAAATTTGTTATGCTTCGATTTGCGATGGGGGTCGATGTAGTCCAATTCGCTCTTATAAAAGAGCGTCTTTTATGAAACAGTTTTGTTACGGAAATTAAAGCTTAGAGAAGAGCTAAAAACATGTTTGTTTTGAAAATCTCCACTTGATGCACCTTTACCAAGCTGTTTCGCGCCAAAAGCGGCCAAATTTCAAAAAGTTTTTCCTTTGCCACCTTGCGCATGCGTCGCTCTCCAAAGCGCTTGACTCGCTGTGTAGAGTTTTTGGCTAGCAAAGCGGTGGCTGGGGTTGGGAGCAGACGCCCCCTAGCCCGTGATATTAAAAATGGCAGCGCTATCAACTGTTGCCCACACTGCGGCAGCCACCCACACATCCCCAGCCCAGTGGTCCCTTTGCAAGGCTGCGTTGCGCGCATGTCGACGCTCGCTTGGCACTTTGGCCAATGGCATAGACAATGCTGCGGAGGAGTGGGAGCTACGGATGGCGCTGCGGCTGCTTAGACGCGTTCTCAATGGTGACGGCTTTTTTATCGTTTTTGTTTTGCATGCGAGCTGAATGCATTTTATTGGCCAAGGCGCAGGGCCAAGACAATGGGCAGCAACTGGTGGCCGTAGTTTTGTTTGACTTCTGCTGCTCCTCTCACTGCCACTCGCTTAACTATGACTGTGACTGCTGCTACTGCTGCTGCTCACTTCAGGCAAGTGTTATCGTGTCCTGGCACACACTATGCCAGCTGCCATTTGTTCTCGCATAATGGACATTATGGCTGCTCTATTATGCCCGGCATCGGGACAATGAGCACAGCATCGTTCAATTCCGCCAACTAACATTGCGCCACTTTGGCAAGGACCCAGCGCAGCACCGCAGCGGAACTTGGCCTGCTGCATGATTGCCATAATTTTGGGTATTTTTGAAGAGCTTTCTGTGACATTTGGCCAGTCCCTCGGCTGCTTCGACTGAGCCTCCACTCATTGTCCACTGACTACGCATTGTTTGCCTGTGTTTCAGCTGCCATAATTTATGAGGAGTCGCCGACAACGTCGTCATCGCCTCCATCGTTGCCATCGTTACCGCATCGCCCATAATTTCCATGTGCGGCCGAAACTTTTTTAGCCCCAAAATGGAAATGTGGCTCGCTAATCGTGATTTGTGTTTTAAATGAGCTCAGCGAAACCGATGCAAAAAGCGAAGTTTGAGCTCTGCAGTGGCTACTGAAGTAGTCAAACTGTGGCCAAAGCAAATTTCTCCGTGCAACGAGTCGAATCTGATGATGCTGGTATAGAGTAATAACTGGCTTTGTCCCGGTCAAGTTTTTTCTTATTTCTTTATCTCTTTCCCCTTTGATGGTCATAGAACTCTCAGAAAATATATTTTACCTTTTGGTAAAATGACCTTTGTCAAAAGTAATTCTGAAATTAATTTTTTAAGCCTTTAATAGTCTTTGGTGTAATCATATAAATGAAGATACTTTAAAGGGCTTAGAACTAAGTTTCCTTTAGCTGAAAACTAATAATAACTTAAACTATTAATATTTATAACACTAAAAGAAAACGTACTCATATATATTTGAATTTAAAAACGCACAAAATATAATTTTTGGAGCTATAAAGAAGCTCAATAAGTGTCAGTTTAAATATATTAAAAATATTTAATTAGAGTTTCTTAAGTTTTTCCGTCTCTGACATTTCAATTAGTATGCGAAATTCATAATCGTGAACATATTCCTAATTTTAAACTATGTGAAATTTTCAAAATCTACTCTCATAATCAGCCAATATTGATAATATATGTTAAATGCTTATAAGAATTTTCGATTTCATAAGTTAAAATAAAATAATGTCAAGTCATGAACCCTAGATGGCGCATTTGTGCCAAGGTGAAATTAAAAGTGACGGCAAGGTGAATAATACACCCCTTGGTGGCGCCATCTAGCATACAATAGCGAAACCATTTGAATTAACGCACTCTGGCGAGTGCTGAGAGAAGTTCTGTACAATTACCGTGTACGGCATATCTAGCGGTAATTTTTAACACATAAATATGAAGAGAATCTAAAACGGCATCTAGTTGTTAATACGCTAACTGAACTATGTTAGCGCCATCTCAAGTTAAAAGAAAATTAAATTCCATATCAAATTAAACTTGGCCATAAAGTGAAATTCATGAATGTATTATATTTTATATTCTATGCAATGAATTTATTGCTGCAAGCTTCACAATGCGCCATGTAATGTTGTCCCCACCACCGTTCGGGCAGCTTCGCTAATTGCGGCTGCGCTCAACACAGCGTAAAATTAATTAAATTTGCGGCGATTTTTGCACCTTGAGTCGCACTAATTAGTGGCTAACGGTAATTTGATTGAGTTGTTGCCGCTACTTGAGCAAACGAAATGCGCGGCGTGTGTTTGTCAACGGGCCACGGCAGCTGATTGGCCAGAAGGAGCCGCCACAAGAAGTTCCCTTAATTAGGAAGCGTTTAACGTTTCGCGCGCTCTTGACTTTTGTCAGGTCTACAACCCCCGCCAGCGTGGCGCATACTGTGCTCACTTCCTTCAAGCACCCACCCAACAGCCAGTCGCTTACAAATAATTAAAAATTAAATGGAGTATAATAAAAAAAAGCTTAGCCTCTTTTTTTCTTTTTTACAGGAAAACTTTGATTTAGCTAAAGTGTCGTGAAATTAGGGAAATAAAGATATACATATAGCATCGAAAATAAAATTGAATATAAAAATTTATGATATCTTGTGCTGTTGAAACTATAAGCATTGCTTAGATCGATAAAGCCTTCGCAACTAACTCCTTAAGTTGCTTCATTCTTTACTTTTCTTGTAAAAGTCGTCGATTTTATGGAATCGGGCTTAGACATTATCCACCTCTTTTAGAGAGACAAGGACTTATTGTGATACCCTCTGCTAAAAAACACATCACACGTTTGAGTGGCTAACCAAATGCATGTTGCAGAGTCATGCTAACCGAATGAAGGCCTAATTGAATTTGTGCTGCACAACTTTGCTTAGTCGAAGGGTCGCGACTCGATCACTGTGAAGTTAATTATTTATTTGAATTCGCTCATTTGTTTTGTTGTATCTTGTTTTTGTATTTTAATGTTGTATATGTGTAGAATTTAAATACATTTAAATTTATGCTATGCACTTCGTTCAGCGTTTAAAACATAAAAAATTGCACCGCTCGTTGTTCTGCCCTTCGTGAGAGTCCTCCAGCACCTGCTGGTCCTGGCTGCTGTTCCTGCTTCTGCCTCTGCTTCTGCTTCTGCTCCTTTGCTGTGCAGCTGCTCTTCGATTTAACAAAGCTTATGATTAATTTACAACTCGAGGCTTAACTGTAAAGTTGGCTACGTTTAACTTTAATCTCGCATTTCCTAAGTCATAGACAAGTTTAACTCCTCGCTACCGTTGGACGATGGTGGTCAGAAGATGACCGTCAGCGGTCGACGAAAGTCTGAGGCGCCTCCAGCGCCGCCGCCACCGCCAGCTGCCGCACCGCCGCCCACACCGACGCCCACTCCAACGCCAACTCCGGCGGCGGCACTGGCCAACTGGCCGCCATATTGCTGAGCATATTGATGAGCATAGTCAAGGCCCACATCGCTGGGCGAGTGTAGATGCGGCTTCGCTTCCACCTGTCCGCCCGCGTCAAGCTGGGGCGTGGCATCGCGCTCATCCAACCCGCTACTACTGTTGTTATTATGCGAGCTGCCGCCAGCACTGCCAGCACCACCACCACTTGCACCGCCCGCTCCGCTGCTGGCCATTAGCAGTTGGTGCTGCTGTTGCTGCTGCTGTTGTTGCTGCTGCTGTTGCTGCTGCTGCTGCTGCTGTTGCTGATGATGCGCCGCCGCGTGCTGCTGTGCGCCATAGATCTTGGAAATGTCAAAGGCATAGTTGGCGCGATCCTGATACATTTTCGAGTCGAAGTAGGCCTTGGTCAGCACACTGGGATCCAGGTAGGCGCTGTAGGCACTCGCCTGACTGCCCGCCGCAGCAGCTGCTGCATTACTCAGATACGAACTGCGTTCCAATGCCGCAAATTTGTCCATCTGTCCGGAGAGAGTGGCCTGAATTAATTCAGAATAGAGTAGTTGAGTATAATCAATACATGATAAAGATATATATAACTGTTAAGCTAAAGACGACAGCCGATGCCAAGTATAATTGCGTCTAATTCGCTCGCTGCATTGAGCGCTTCATTACGAACAGCTTTCTAACGCGGGTTTCTTCTTCAGTCAGTTCAACCTATCAACTAGTCAGCCAAACTAGTAAGAACGTTGCAGACGGCTGTGACCGACTTCATTACACAAGTTCACAAATGCTTCGAATCTGAGGACCTGCTGACCCTGCTGCACTCTGAACTCCAAAATACAAAGTTTCATCAAATGTTAAGACGCAGGCGAAAAACGACGGGAGAGAGCGCGGGGGGAAGGGGAGAGGGGAGAGGGGAGAGGGGAGAGGGGAGAGGGGAGAGGGGAGAGGGGAGAGGGGAGAGGGGAGAGGGGAGAGGGGAGAGGGGAGAGGGGAGAGGGGAGAGGGGAGAGGGGAGAGGGGAGAGGGGAGAGGGGAGAGGGGAGAGGGGAGAGGGAGAGGGGAGAGGGGAGAGGGGAGAGGGGAGAGGGGAGAGGGGAGAGGGGAGAGGGGAGAGGGGAGAGGGGAGAGGGGAGAGGGGAGAGGGGAGAGGGGAGAGGGGAGAGGGGAGAGGGAGAGGGGAGAGGGAGAGGGGAGAGGGGAGAGGGGAGAGGGAGAGGGGAGAGGGGAGAGGGAGAGGGGAGAGGGGAGAGGGGAGAGGGGAGAGGGGAGAGGGGAGAGGGGAGAGGGGAGAGGGGAGAGGGGAGAGGGGAGAGGGGAGAGGGAGAGGGGAGAGGGGAGAGGGGAGAGGGGAGAGGGGAGAGGGAGAGGGGAGAGGGGAGAGGGGAGAGGGGAGAGGGAGAGGGGAGAGGGGAGAGGGAGAGGGGAGAGGGGAGAGGGGAGAGGGGAGAGGGAGAGGGGAGAGGGGAGAGGGAGAGGGGAGAGGGGAGAGGGGAGAGGGGAGAGGGGAGAGGGAGAGGGGAGAGGGGAGATGGGAGAGGGTAGAGGGGAGAGGGGAGAGGGGAGAGGGGAGAGGGGAGAGGGGAGAGGGAGAGGGGAGAGGGTAGAGGGAGAGGGAGAGTCTTTTCTCTTTTCTCTTTTCTCTTTTCTCTTTTCTCTTTTCTCTTTTCTCTTTTTCTTTTCTCTTTTCTCTTTTCTCTTTTCTCTTTTCTCTTTTCTCTTTTCTTTTCTCTTTTCTCTTTTCTCTTTTCTCTTTTCTCTTTTCTCTTTTCTCTTTTCTCTTTTCTCTTTTCTCTTTTCTCTTTCTCTTTTCTCTTTTCTCTTTTCTCTTTTCTATTTTATATTTTATATTTTATATTTTATATTTTATATTTTATATTTTATATTTTATATTTTATATTTTATATTTTATATTTTATATTTTATATTTTATATTTTATATTTTATATATCATATATTTATTTATTGCCCTCCTAGTGATAGATGATCAAAGATGATCCTGGCAATATATCCAAATTTGCATTATATAGGAAATAATTAATCTGCTTCATGATAGGCGTAATTGGCTCTTGTTTGCAAAGAAGGACCTGCTTCTGCTGATCGCTATGGGGTATGGATGGGTGTGTGTGGTAACCCTTGGTTAGTGCAAATTGCTTAACACTTTTGTGGCTTTATTTGACCAACTAATTGTGGATGCGAGATGAACAACCCCACACGGCAAGTAAATAGAAAAACACGTCGCTTCTCGGCTCAGTTTAATGTTATTTGATTTGCAATACGTTTCTCATTGCAACAGCAGTTGTTGGTAGGTTTCGGGGTTCGGTCTTGGGCCTTGATCTGGGAATGGGACTTGGCTTGGAACTGGGTTCTGGCGAACGGGTGTGCTAAGTGCGTCAGGGGTTGTTTTGCTTCATATCCGTTTTGTTTTGAGTGGTTGAACCGAGGGGTTGCTCCCCGTTCGCAGAGCACTTTGCTCTGGGCTATAATTATGTTGTTAACACATCATCATCACCATCATCATCACCAGCAACAACATCAGCGCCAACAGCGGAGTCGGAGTCGGAGTCGGGCTCGTAGACAGACCCGGGCCCCTTCCCGTGTGTGTTTTGGGCCGAAAGCGTTTTGGATTACAATTTGATTTGATTTGATTTGCGCCCAATTGGGAATTAGTGAGGATTGGTAAATATTTTGATGCACGGCGATTTACGCGGCGCTGATGTTTGTATTTCGGTTGCTCTCAATTGGGCATTATTTCGTCAGTTAATTGATTTAGCTGGATGTGTTCAAGTGGTTTGCTTTGAGCCTTGAGCCTGCCAAGGTTTCGGCTAGGGCAGGTGGGTAAAATGTCGCAAAGGATATTTTGCTGTTGTCATTGGGTACATTTCCGAAGTCAGCTGTGTAAACTGTGTAATGCTTAGAAACAAGAACTGTTTTGAATCAGACACGATTGTTGTCTGCAGCTAGCATTGCCCCAGCCCCTTTGTGGCTCCGGAATGTTTCTAAACTTGGCCTTTGTGCGTGTAGATATGGCCAGCATAATAGTGAGATGTAGCAGTGAGTTGTGGAAAATAAATGGCAGCTTGGCCGCCTTCTAATCCGCCCACTCGCGTGCAATTTTCATATACAGATTTCAGTTTGGGGAACGAGAACGCCTGCTGCCTTTAAAGTTGGTCTATTATTATGAAACCACGGCCGGGCCGAGGCATATTATTAACCAAGTATTGCTATTGTTGGCGAGTAATGCCAGGCTTTCAACACCCGCAACGCATGTTAAACAGCCGCAGACATCAATCACAGCCTCAAATAGGCAGCCAAGAGCCCGGCTCCAACAAAGCCAAGCAACAGTCATGACTTTTAATGGGTTGTTAATAAACACACATCCCATGACTGCTCGTGCGAGGGAAACAGGAGAGCGAGAGCGAGATGGAGATGGAGATCGAGAGCCAGATCTGAGGAAAGGTCTGAGCAACGCCCTCAATGGAGCCGGAGCAGGCTCCACGCATTCGCTTCAAGTGCTCCAACTTTTAATTGCCAATTTTGTGTTTTTCCTTTGGTCAGCTGGGCCTCGCACCCCGTTGTCCAGGTCGGTGTAGCACCTGCCCGTTATTTGTTTGTTTTTGCGCCGAGGCCTTGTTATCTCGGCGATCTGCTGCTTGGCAACTAAATGTGTAATGACAACTTGTGGCAAATCCTTAGCATGACATGTCAGAACTCAACCAGGATCGAATCGTGATCAGGAAGCGTGTCGCGCTTAGTCACGGCCGCCTGTTTTCCGCCTTTTAAAGTGGGCGTCTGCCATGGGAGTTTGTAATTATGTTATTAAGGCGACCCGCGTACCGATCGATGTAATTGGACGCGCTACCGTTCAGCATTTATTTTTTTGTATGATGGACGTGCCAGGCACTTGAGCGCTTAACCCCCGCCCGACCCAGACGCAGACGCAGACGCAGACACAGGCCCAAGGTCCGGGCTTTAGAGTGTGGATCTGGAATACGTTGCAGACTAGACCAGTACTCACCTGCGTTGTCGTTGGCGGCGATGTCTGCGTGAGATGGCTGCCCAGGTGATAGGCGGCCGCTGTGGGACCGGGCGCAAAGTAACCCGGCGAGATGCCTGCAAGTGAAACCAAACAAAGTGAAGTGAGAGAAGGTAACAAGACAACAACAACAACAACAACAACAACAACATCAGAGGAACAGAAAAAATAAGTTTACAATAATTATGACAATGGTTTCGGGTCTGTTGTGTGCTTAAAATAATTGCCACTCGAAATATTTTGCGCCCCTTGTTCGGTTAACTCTTTCATATATTTCGGCCCGAGTTAGCTCTTTCTCTGTCTGCCTTGCTTCGACATAATTGTGCGCTGAATCAGCTATTTTGGGAGAGTTATCTCTGTATCTGATAGATGCCAAGCGGTCCTAACCAATTGCCCTAAACGGTAGTCGTCCAGCTGCCCTCTTGGCCTTTTGTTAACGGGGTCTCGATAATTACAAGCGCCGCTTATTGAAAGTAAAATAATATAAAGAGAAAAAAAGAATTAAAAATAAGAAAAATACATTTCATTCATGGCGCTAGTCAAGAGAGTCTCCAAATTGCTGGATGCTGTGGCAATTAAAATTGCTTAGACAACAAAGTTGAAAGCATTTTTGTTCGGCTCAAGTAGCGACATTTCGACATCAATCGACTTGGCATCATCTTCATAGCTATTATATATCATATAACAGCGGATTAGGTGCTGGACAAGGCTTTATCTGGTAGCTGCTGCTGCTGCTTGTTTTCTGCTTCTCTTATGCTAAATTAACATCACAATAAACTCTGAAGTCTTGTGTTAGTATCGAAAACAACTTTTTATATTGTCCGACCTAGGCGCTGTTCAGGGACTTCTTGTAAGCCCTCGGAGAACTGTTTTCTTTTATAGCAACTTTGCCAAAGTTAAGGTATGCTAATGTCTTTGCTTTCTAAAATTTATAATATTTATACACAAAATACGTTAAATAGTTTCACTAAATGCTCCAAATGCATAAATGAGACTTGAGCCTCTCTGAGTATAAGTTTATCGAGCACTCAATCAATTATTGAAATATTAATAAATATTAATATTTAGAATTATTATTAATAAGTAAACAATGTGACTCTTTCATGAAGGCTTCTCGAGCTGAGCCAGTAAAAGACATTTATTTAATGCCTTTCTTCTCGCTCCCAGCTGTTGCATGCCTCAGTTAGCAGCTGCGCTGCGTCCTAGTCTAACGCTCTTTAGCTACAATTGGCCATCTTTGTCTGGCAAAGCCATTTTAGATAGTGCCGTGTGCATTGAAGTGCGACTTGAGCAGAGGCAGAAGCCTAATTCGCTTTATTTATTACGCATTTCCTAGTATTTTTATTATCATTTCCGCTGCGCATAAATCATCTGGCTGGCATTGTCCTTAACCCGGGACTCACTGATGCCCGAGTCGCCAACGCACAAATTTGCTGCCACATCAGCAAAGTGAACCCAAGAAAGTTGCGTTAAATTCGAGGGCAAAAAAGACAAAAAACGTGACAAATGCTAATTTAAGTCCTCCAACCAAAAACAACTACAGACCAAACTGCCAGCCCCGCCAGCCCCGTCAGCCCCGCCACTGGCAAGCGAAATCATGAATGTTAACTTATGCTTATGCCCTGCCTGCGTCTGTCCTCCTGTCCGTCGTCCTTCTGGCTGTCGTGTCTATCGTGCCTCTCGTGTGTGTCTGTTCTGTCACTTGAATTGAGTTGTTAAGCCAGGATGATGACTTCACAGTTTGTCAGAGCTTGCGAATGGGTGGTTCCGGTGGTGCTTAGTTGCCACCCCCTCATGTCGCATGCCGCAAGCCGCACGCCTCACCCTACGGCGGACGCCATATTGTGCAGGTGGGGGACTCTGTGTGTCGCACAAACAAAAACCCAGCCAGTCGAGCGCTCGAGTGTGAGGCTAGTTTGTCATATTTTCATTCAGTGCTTAGCTTCATTTATAGTGCTGCGCCTGCCACATATCGTGCCACATTTGCATTTGTCTTACACCAAAGCTCATAAAACTCGCCCTTCTACTTTGCATAACGGCTTCTTCGTGGCATGAAACTTAATTGGTTTTATTGATGAGCTTGTCTGAGGTTAATCTGCAGTTGCTTCAAATATAAATATTCCGTTTTGCCTTCGAAAAACTAATTTTGGGACATGCTTCTAGCCTTTCTTTATAGACCAGTCCTTAACTCTCTTAGCTTAAATATGATTTTTAAATGGTTTCTTGCTTACCTGCACGTAACGCCTCCACTGGCACCGATGGGTATGGCATGGGATACGGATAGCCATCACGTCTCAGAGCTTTGGGCTTGCGTCTGGGACGATACTTGTAATCGGGATGCTCCTTCATGTGCATGGCGCTGTGCAGATAGAAGAAGCCAATGGAAAGGAGCATTCAGCTGGGCAGAGGGCTTTACTTACCGCAAACGCTTGGCCTCATCGATAAACGGACGTTTCTCTTCCTCGGTGAGCAGCTTCCATTCGGCACCTGCAATTGAGACACAATGCCATATGATGTGGGAAGTCGTTAATCCATTAGATACTTTGCGTGGGGCACTTGAAGCAGTTGTCGAAATGTGGCAACACAATGAAGCGCCTTCATGTCAACCTGCTCCAGAAGTGGACGCACATAAACATAATTTCCTATCAGCACACACACACACACACACACATGGAGTATAAACTTGTCTTTTCTGTGGTAACAAGAAGGATATCAAATACGAAACAATGTTGTCGTCGTCGTTGTCGTTTTCCTCCTCTGGCACTTCCTTTGCACAGTTCTATCTCTTTCTATTGTCGTTTGGCCATCTTCAACGTCTGTCTCTGTCTGTGTGGCCACCATTGTTGCCAGTTTTGGCATTGTCGTTGTCGTTGGTTGTTGTTTGTCTCATTGCCTGTTTGTCAGCTCCGTCAGTCAGCTCCTCATGCCACTCAGGTTGGCTCAGACCGGCAGTGGCTGGTTAGAGTATGCTGCCGAGTCCTTGCACGATAATGGCCCGAAAACCAGCAGGTGGTTTGGGCCCGTTTGGGGGCGTGCTTTTGTGCCGCATTCTGTCTCGCTCACCCGCCTCCGACATACCCAGCGCTCGCTTCGAGGGCGGCAAGTGAGTTTGTATTTTGTACTTTGTATTTGTATTTCTATTTGTGTTTGTATTTGTATTTGTATTTGTGTTTGTATTTGTGTTTGTATTTGTGTTTGTGTGTATATGGTACATGGCATATGCACGTGCCGCACTCTCATAAGTGGCAAGTGGCAAGCCAGGACCCTCTTGCCTCTGTGCTAGTATGTCGCCTCGTAGGCAGCTCGTGCGTTCGCATTGTGTGCAGAAATTGCAAATGTTTTTAAGTTAATGTAAAATGCTATAATGACATGTGTCAGAGGCCCGTTGATAAGATCTCAAATGTCGCACATTTGTCTCAAGTGAGCTCATGTAACTTGTATATAAATATATATATGTTAATATATATATTAATAATATTTATATTAGTATTAGTAATCTCTGCACATATAACATTTTAATGTAATTTAAACGATTTTCTGTCTCTAAATTATCTCTAGAAATTTATATTTTATTGTATTCTTTCGTGATAACTGCAAAAGCTAAATATTCTTCATTAGATCAACGATGATTGACTCGATCTAGCGCACTCCGTCTGTCTTGTAGACCTAGAGGCTTTAATCATTGTATACCTTAGGCATTATATCAAATATTATATAGATTCCACTTCCTTATGAGCAATAACAATTAATATTATAGCTCTGGCCTTAAGGCGCTTCCCACTACTTTTAGCTGTCTTTTTCCTGCAATCTGTGCTTAAGTTCAGTTTTTATTTTTAAATTATTCAAGTCAATTTTCCTCTTTCATCTTTGACTAATGCCTTTCCAAGCTTAATTTTAAAAATATTGCCTTATATTTTTGTTATAAAATAAATTTTAAAAATCAAGCTAAAAAATAATAATATCAAATAAATAATATAAATATATGTGTATATATATTTATACATCAGTGTAGACTGGCATTAGTCATTAAGATTAAGTCAGTTGATAAGGCTTGTAACTTTGCTTAGGCACTCAGTGGAATTATAGTTGTTGTTCCTAATCCTTTTTCCTGCTTTATTTTTATTTTCTGCCTTTATTATTTATCATCGCTTTGGGAATTGCACTCTGCCTTCGGAGCTTCTATTTACCATAGACACTGCAATTACTATTCCAATAATAAAGCTTAGTTCAAACCCTTGCGCTATTCCATTGGAGATAATCGTTGCTATTGTCTGCTATGTCGAAGCAGATTCTAAGCATATGCGTTGAGGGAAATGCTTAACAAAAGAAGTGGACTTGAGGGAAATGTCCTTAATTAGTTATAACGTATAATTTTAGTAGCTGTAAAGCACACATACTCACACTGTCACACAAATTGCATTGTTGAAGCGACACAATACTAATGAGAAGCTATCTACTATCCATAGGACGGGTTTGACCGGGCTAAGAAGGCACTGCTGTCAGGCCCACACACACTCGAATAGACAGGCACACACACACACACACACACAAGTTGAGGTAGTTGAACAAAAACTATAACAATAAACGTAGCACAAAAGCACAATTGTGCCAAAAGACTAGACATGTGCCCACACCCACACCCACACCCACAGCCGACGTCGACGTCCACATTCACGTCCAGGTCTGAACGCCCCCCTCAATACGAAGTCGTTGGCACTCATAAAGCAAGTAGCTGCCCCCTAACTGGCTAAAATACTAATTTATAGATACATTGACAGGCCGTCCAAGTGGCAACTGGGCATCAAATGCGCAACTTGGCTCCTGTGCACGACACCTTGTGGAGCATTTAGCTGGGGCATAGACTTCCAGACAATTCACATAATAATAAACAAGACGCAACAGTAAGAGCAGGAGTGAGAGCGAATGAAGGAGACAAAGAGAGAGAGTGAGTGAGAGAGAGAGAGAGAGTGGAGAAGTATCTACAAGTTGTGCAGTTGTATAAACTAAGGAGGGCGCACTGCTGAGTTGACATGCCACAAAAGGATGACAATTGGACAATGTCTATGTTTGCCCGTTGTCGTCTGGCGCCTCCCCGTTCTGGAAGGCCTGGGCGAGAGCTGCAACTGGAGCCGGTTGAGTGGCCAGCTTAATAATTGATATGAAAAACAAGTACAAGTTGCACATGACAGTTGCCAAGATGTGAGATGGCTGCCAGCTGAGCTGGCTCAAGCATAATTAACAAGTTTTTCCCCAACGGCCTAAAGAAACACTGGAAAATGTCGGGTGCTAACCACAGAGCAAATATTTATTTATAACAGACGCCGGCTCCAGTTGCAGTGTGTAGTTCACACAGCTCACAATTGGGGCTGCGAGTAACCTTAACTAGCCCAGCCACAAGTTCTAGGAGCGGGGCTCAGGCCACTTTTGGGTCAGTTCTCGAACTGAAGCTAACATTCACACATCACACAATTGGGCCACTTATGGGATTATGGAGTCTGGACGTGAACTATCGGGGCTCTGTTTGCTGTGCTCTGAGCGTGGCTCCCACTCGCGCGTTTGCTCCCAGCTGAACTCACAGTTTGACCAGGGATTAAACTGTTTACACAGCAATTTGACGTTTTCAAGCGCTGGAAAAGCGGAAAAAGTGACCCTTGGCTTATGAGCGGCTCACATTTAGCAGCAAGCAAAGCTCATCGAGAATGTAATACAATTGCAGTCATAAAGTAAATTTAAGTCCTAAAGCAGTCTGATGTTTGGCTTTGCATGTAGTTCATAGACCAATACGATTATATTAGGTTTTATTACCACAGCTTGAAAGCTAAGCTCCTAATTTGTTTGTGAGGGAAAAGATATGAATATGGCTAAGAATTGATATTTTGAAACTTAGCAGAGATGTTTCTTTGTATTCACTCACAGATATTATTATAATATAAGCTGTAAAAATATTTAATAGAAAAGCAGATGAGAGACTATGCCTAAAAGTTAGATTGAGTTTGGTTGGGTTGGGCTGGAATAGTTGATGATTCTTGGCAACAAAATCTTTGCCTTAACTCTGATATTTTCGACGTTCTACAGAAGATAAAACTTCCTTCTACTGAGTGTTCAACTATTTGAACAGAATTTGCTTTTCTTTCTTGTTGCACAGTTGCAGTAGGTAGTAAGATCCCCAGATTTATTTCGCGACTAGATTGAGGATTAACAAGATACTGAAATGGAAACAGATCGACGTTGCTACTTTCGCCTGGATGCGTTTTCCTGTTGCCCTTCCTAGCATGGACATCTCGGCATCTCTTTGTTGAGTAGAACGCCCCAAAGGCTCCCTTTTATAATTATACAACTGTTTAATTTTTATGTTTCCCATTTCAATTGAGCGTGTTGTAATTAAGTCGAAGTCTTTGAATGAATCGACCGTCTCACACACCTGTCAATTGCCATGCCGACCTTCGGGCTGTGCTGTGCAAAGTGGAATCGTTGCCTTTTACCCCAATTGCAAACTAATCAATTGTTTGCGCTTTATTGTGCAACAAAAGGACTCCGTGGGCGGGGCAAAAGGCTTGAGAGTTCGACCTTTTGTTGTGTGCTGGCAGCGCAATGCAAAGTCGCAATCGAATCCAAGTCGAAGTCTTTGCCATTGTTCGCGACCCGTCAGTCAGTCAGCCAGTCAGTCAGTCAGTCAGGCTAGCATCCATCTCTCGGGGGGCTTTGTTTAACAATATTTAATATTCCCGCTGGAGCTGGGCCGGTAGAGTTTTGATTAAAAAAAAGGAAAAACGAAGGCGATTGCCGATTCGACAGGTTTTCAATTATTTTCAAAACAATTTTCCATTCAACAGAAGAAGAAAAAGCGACTGCCATTTTGTTGATGTCGCTTGCCACCGTTTGCGCTGTTGTTGCAATTGTTGTTGTTATTGTTGCCGCTGCCCATTGTTTGTTTTGTTGTTAATTCAAATTTCCAGACAGTAATTAATGACAGTTACAATTTCAATTAAGCCCAAGCGCGCGCGCTCTGAAAAAAATGCTTTCTATAACACATCTTTTTTTATTTTACTTTATTTTATTTTATTCGCATTTGCTGTTGTTGTTGTTGTTGTTTTTGTTTTGCCTTTTGTTTTGCATAATAAAATAAATGGCAACGCCGACGGCTACGGCGACGGCGACGCCGATGCCGACGTCTGAAGTGCTCTCCAGAGTTGCCAGTCGCCAGTTGGCAGTTACCGTTACTCGACGCTCAACGCTCTTTGCCAGTGCCTTTCGCATTGTGCCTGCGCCTGTGTGTGTGTGTGTGTGGGTGTGCGTGTGTGTGTGTGCGCTGAGAAAAAAGTAGCTTTCGCGCCGCCATTTTTTGTGGCGCCTTTGTTGCTGCCACAGTTTTTTGTTTGCCGCCTTTTCTCTGCGCAATTTTTCATAATGAGCCATTTTTTTGCTGAATTCATTTTATTTCATTTAATTGAATGCCAGGGCAAACTTTTCAAGTGCAAAACTTTGTCATTTGTGTAAATGTGGCAAATGGTTTATTTATTTTTATTTTTTCACGAACTTGCCACACTGTTGCAGCACTTGCATTCAAACTTCACTAAAGTCTCTTGGACGCTGCTTTAAATGGTACGTATGGCTTTGCAGGCACTGTCAATTCCATCGAGTTTCGATTCGTTCCTTTTCTATTTCCTCGTTATCTTAAGCGAGTTACCTACATCTTGGGCTTCCCTATGACCCACTCTGCTCAAGCACTACAATGGTGAATGGCGTCTTTTTCGTGTGCCCTGCTCAAAAAATCGAAAACTCAACAAAAGCTGCAACTGACAGCAAATATTACACAGAACTGTCAATTGACATAATGGATTTGCCAAAATACAATAACAACAACAACAACAACAAAAAGGTGAAATGAAATGGGAACAAAAGCTCACGCCTTCCCACAAAATCTCAGCCCAGCAAAAAACTCAAGTTTGTTCTGGAGTGTATATTGTGTTTAAATTGTTGTTGTTGTTGTTGTTGTGCATCGATTTTCATATATTGGTTTCGGCCTGCTACTTGAACTTTGCCTGCAAAGCGTTTGCAGCCAGTTGCCTGATTAAGAAATGTCTTTAAAGTCTATGAATGCGAAAAAACATTCATATCGTTGGCAGCAACCCTTATTGCCTGGCTATAACAGCTGCCACTGAGGTAGATGTAATGCGCAGAATGATCTGAGGTCTCTCAAATTTTTATATCAATTAATATGATTTATGAAACAAATGAATTATGCAAATATCCAATTTAATAGGTAACGTTTGGGACTTGGCAACAATTAACGTGGTATTCTCTAGTCGATAACTGTTTTATTACAGCGCGCCCCATCTGCTGCCCCTCTTCGAGTGCAGCGAGTTTGGCTTTTGTTGTTGTTGTTGTCGCGCTCAACTGCACTGCAAGTGAGTCGCGTTTAATTTGCATTGTTTTTGCTTAAACAAAGGTAAAAAGAAAAAGTCATTTTACAAGTGCTTCTTCAGTGGCGGAAACTCGTTGGGCGAGGTGAAATAAGAGTGGAAGTGGAAGTGGAAGTGGAAGTGGAAGTGGAAGTGGAATTGGCAGCCCCCCGTCGAGTTTGATTAAAAAATTGCACAAAATGGCTGCCCCAAAAGCTCTGTGGCAGCAACATTCGCCTTCTTATCGACGAGGGAGGCCTCGTTGTTATCGCTGTTATGACAGCATTTTTGTGGGCCTGATTAGTGCAAGGAGCAGCCGCAGCCAACTGAAGACTCATGCAATATGCATGAGCTGGCCGAAAAGGTAGCTGCGTCGCCTGCCTGTTGCCCCATTGTTATGCTAAAGATTTCTGCTGTCACTTGCCACGTGCCTCACGGGTTGTCTGGCTGCGTGTGTGATTGAAATTGAATTTGATGCGAATTGAAAACCAAAACCTAGAGGCCCAGATAAGACTCGTTGTTTGTGAGTGGGATTAGCCCTTGCCGCCGCCCCACTAGAAATAAACTACTTAACTTTGCAACTAGTTAAGCGGCGAGACAATGCTGCAGGAGGCACAAGGCAAGCGGCGATGATTTGGCAGAGTCTCACTCGGTGGGTGGGTGTATAAGTGTGTGTGTGTGTGTGCGTGTGTGCGTTTGTGCGTGTGTGTGTAGGCAACCCTTCTCTGAATCGTATACGAGCATAATCAACAGCTTCCTTGGCTCGATCTGCTCTTCCTGCCATTGTTTGACAGCCGCTTGTCAGTTTTGACAGTTGCGTTGAGTGCGCGCAACGGACGAGTTTTTGGTTTGTCATTGTCATAAACCGAATTTGGAGTGGGTGGCAAGGGCAGGGACAGGGTATACCAGTAGGTATTACGTTGATTAGTTTAAGTTGCATAGCCAACAAAGAGAAAGAGGCGCAGAGTGAGGCAGGGGCAGCGCGTGAGTGGGCGCGAGAGATTGGCAGGTCGTGTGCCGCCTCTTAATTTAGTTTTGTGTGAGATTCTTTCATTGTCTTCAGATTACAGACATACTACTTGTGCTTATATAGAAAGCCACGGCTCTCACCCATTGTGGTTCATTAAAAAAATGTAGAGATTAAAGCGCACACAGTCTGAAAACAATTCGGATTCCAGCTGAGCTGTTTGCGTGCTCTTGAGCCATTTGATTCAACTTGCGGCACAGCTAATAACTGAGGCGGAGAGTTCTGACTAATACGTTTATAGAGCTTGTACAAATATAATCATATACCAAATAAATATGTGGCTGAACTTACCCAGCCGCTTGGATATCTCCGAATTGTGCATTTTGGGATTATCCTGAGCTATTTTGCGACGCTGCAAGCGTGACCAGACCATAAAAGCATTCATTGGACGTTTTATGTGCTCCTCGTTCTGGCGTTTCGTTGTGTTCTGTATCATCAGGCTGAAGAAGACATCGCTGCGAATAGATTGGGCTGAAGCTGTTAAATGAACGATCTTCAGGGACGACTGAGAGCACCTACCTGGCGCTGCTGCCGCTGTTCATCAGGCTGCCCATGTTCTGGTGCAGGTTGCTGATGGGCGACGCCTGCGAATTGTGATGCAGGTGGGCGGCGGCGGCGGCTGCCATTACGCTGTTTGACGTGCTGGACGTGGACGTGTAGTGTACCGGGGCGCTCGAGTTGGAGCTGCCCAGACTGTGACCCGTGCCCGCGGCCAGATGCTGGCCAATGCCGTTGCTGTGGGGCTGGTGCGACTGCGTCTGCGACTGGCTGTGTATGGAGCCCGCCCCGGAGCTGGCTGCCTGGCTATGATGCGAGGCTGTGGAATGGGGCTGCTGCTGCTGCGCCGCCGCGGCGGCAGTTGCTGCTGCTGCTTGGTGATGCTGATGCAGCTGCGAGTGCTGCGAGCTCAGGTGATGAGCGGCCGCTGCAGCTGCCGCCGAGTGATGCAGATGTGGGTGCAAGCTTAGAGCCGAGGACCCGTTGCCGTTGGGGGAGCCGCCGCTGCTGTTGCTGTTGCACTGATGGTGATGATGCTGCTGACCCAGCTGGCCCAGCGACAGTTGCTGGCTATGATGGTGGGCGTGACTGTGGGCGTGACTGTGTTCACTGGAATGTTGCTGCTGCTGTTGCTGCTGCTGTTGCTGCTGCTGCTGCTGCTGCTGCTGTTGCTGCTGGTGATGCTGTATCAATTGGCCCAGATGCGTGCCGCTGCTGGAGCTCACCGAGCTCAAATGACTCTGCAGTGGATGTGCGAGCGATAATCCAGAGAGCGACAAGTGCGTGGATAAGCGTTCCATCATTTTTCAGATGGAGCTGCAGTCGAATTGCTGCTGGCTCTTGGCCGGGACTCTATGCTAGCTGGTGTGGTGTCAGTGGTTAAGGTGCTTTGAAGAGTACAAGTCGAGCTGTTGATAGAGTTAAGTTTGCTTTAGTCACATGGAATCCCTTTCTATTCCGTACTCATTTAAGATTCTTGCAACAAATCAGAATTAGAAATTGATGCAGCTTTGCCTTCATGAGGCTCTTGGGCTTTTGTTATTCAATTAACTAATTGATTTGGGCTTTTAAAAGTGTGTCGCCTGTCGCCTGTCGCCCGTACCCCAAAACTTCGCTCCAGGCCGTATCCCCCCGCTCCAAAGCGAAAACAATGCCACTGGCTGGCATTGGTGGCGGTCGCCACCTCAACTCGAGATTCCGGCTGAATGAAACCTTTTCTCTCGAGCTCTTTGTATGCGCCCAAATGTCAACCCTTAGAAAGGACGGGTTGCACACGCCGGCGACGGCGTCCAGAAACATACTGGATACGTCCTGTTCATTATGCATCTGGGCACTTGAAAGCCATTTCTTTTCAATTTCATTTTCAGTATTCGTCGTCAGGTCGTTGCCGTTGATAGGTTTCGAATCTCAGTCTTTAACCATTCACATGTGCGTGCATTATAATCGGGATTTATGTGGTCCACTTGATGCCCAAATGTGTGTGGGTCGCTCGCATTAATGTGTTAAATACACACCACAAATACACACTCACACACACACACACATATGTTTTGTAGTGGCAAAAGGGTTCCCAGCTCATGGTCAAGAAGCAGCGTCCGGCTAAACGCTTTCAATTTGCTTAATGGTGCAGTGACGATGACGACGCTTCGATTCTGGACTACAATTGAGCTGGGCGTGCGGAAGACATTCGACTAAATGGAGCCACATAAGTCCGCATAGTCCGCATCATGGCAATGCTCTTTAGCGTGCATAATGCTCGACAAATGTGTCATACGCACTGCATATTTGCATAGACGAATTGTTCGTGCTTGGGCTGGGGGCTTTAGCTAAATGTTTGGCAAACAGAGTGTTTCCAAATTTAAAGTGTGCATAGGAAAGCCTCTTATATAAGCTTTCTTAAAGAGCGAGAGAAGAGTATTCATGTCAATACTTGCTTCTAAGCCTACTATTTAGTTAAGGTGTCTAAGTCAGCTGGACATTTAACTAACGGTATAATTAGTATCTCGTGTTCTTCTCCTCTACTTCCGATATCATATCTGATCCGTCTCTGAGCACGCAGCACTGCTCAACAGTTTGTATATATTAAATACTGTAATTATTTTTTTTCAATTTCGGCGATCTCCCACCGCTTGCCCGTGTCACCGTTATCCTTATCGTCTGCCGATTTCGAGTTCATAATTCTCTTGTATCCTACGACAACTGCGACATCTGCACTGCTTCCGGGCATTATCCACTTGGTGTTAAAGTAAAAATTGCCCAGGCATGCGTATTAAGCATGAAATTTATGAAATGCAAAAAGGGAAGGGTTTGGGGACTGGCAACCTGCTGCACGATAGAGGACGAGGGCGAGGGCAGGGGAAGCGCATATTTTTGTAATCCTTATGGAGTGCAAACAAATTTCTGTGTTGTCAACTTGGCATGGAATGCTGTGCAGTTATAGGGAGCGAAGCGTTGTGGCAGCAACTGCTTCTGCTTGGAGTTGGTGCTTGAGTGCACCACAGGCTACCGCCAGCACACCGGTTGCACCACCAGCTGTGCACAAATTGCACTCCAGATATTTTTATTTGCTGTGAATATCAACGGCAATGCTACCAGAGATAGCCCCAGCCCTTCGATCCCAAGCCCTAATGCTCCCACACATTAGTCGACTAACGGAAAACCATTTGGCTTACAAAAGTTGTCTAACAAATTATCAATCAATGTGGAGAGCGTGGGACGAGGTCGCGATCGAGGTCTTCTGAGCCGATAGACCCTCCAGCTGAATGAAGTGCTCTGTTTTTATCTCTTTTGCGCTAATCCAGTAACACCAGTAAAAGCGTTAATAGATATCGGCCAAGTTATTTATGGGCAGTGCAACGGCTGCCTTCGTCTACGCTTTTCTCTTTGTTATGCAAATCTCTGGCGGCGATTCCTCGGCGCAGTAGGAGTAAATTACCACGCCGATCACATAAGCAAATATTTATACCACGCAGTCGAGCGCTCAAGTGGGGTATGTTGCCTATCAAAGCAATCGGGCCGCAGCTGAGCTGCTTCACAGCTAAAAAGGAAATCTTTTCTCAGCTAACTCATCTTACATAATGATGTGAATTGCTTTTACAGGGTATCGCATAGTGGGGCAACTGTGCAAGTGTCAAGTATTACTACTTGTTTTCACAATGACCGGTATGGTTACCTGTGCTACCCGTTGTCGAGACTTGCAGACTGAATGACTGCGACTGGGCAGCCGGGCAGCCGGGCAGCTGGACAACTGGGCAGCCGGCCAGTCAGGCCGTCAGACAGTTTGGGGTCCCTGTCTTGCTTCTCGTTCATTTGTTCATCCGTTTGTTGCTGTGTCAAACAAGAATTATGATCGGCTTAGCCACATGCTGAGCCTGCGCAGAGGCCCAGAGGCAGCTTCAGCTCTCTGAAGTGGCAGTTAGGCTCAAGAATCAAGAATCAAGAATTGAGAATCGAAAATCGAGAATCAAGAATCTCAATTCAATACAGGTAGAACTTTAAGTGTCTCCACTTTGTGTTGAAATGTATCGTTCCGCTTCTACTTATGCTGAGAGTCGTCTCTGTTGTTCCAATCCCTTATTCATCCATTCCAATTCCCATTCCCATTCCCATTCCCATTCCCCATTGAAAAGTGTCTCTTGGGCACACGCTGTGATTGTGATCCGTAGCCCTAAGCCGCTGGGGCCCCCTAATGTTTGTAATTAAGAACTTTCACACTCGCAACAATCGCATCGTAAATGTATCTCTTGGTTTAGTGTCAAGTTCTTCGTGGCCAGGGCAAGCCCCAAACTCAGCAGAACAGAACCTATGTGAATGCGAATATGGTTATTAATTAGAATGCCAAGCTGTTAGGCCTTGTTTTTGTTACGAGATGCGCGAATATCACTAGTTGGCCTTATGCACACATACACCTCTATTTGGCTTCATATGTACACACATTTGGATTCCAATTGTTTTCCAAGACGCAAAACATACGACTAACAAAAACCCTATTTGCACAATTGTATTTGGTCTACGGATCTGAATTTCACAGTTGTGCTTGCCTTCATGCCCACGGGTAAGTAGTTCAGCTTAGTGTAGCAGTGGAAGTCACGTCACTAAATCGTTAATTTGTTCATTATAATCTAGAGTACTTAGTACATTGCGTCATTTCTAGTGCAAATGCAAATGATCTCTCTCAGGGACTGCGAACTTGCCTCGGCTAGTTCGAATGACTCCAATGCCATCAATACTTTTGAACTGGAAAAGGTTATTAGGTTCAGTTTGAGGAAGTAGTAGAGCAGGCATATTCTCTTTTCAAAGCTAATGATCAAGGTATATTATCTATTTGGTATATTGTCGGAGTCTTGCAAAAACAAGGAAAGTTAAGTAAATATTTGGTTAACTTGCGCTGCCATCTTAAGCTTAATCCATTCTTTTTCAATTGGTCTCCGCTAATATCGTTTATTCCCACATTCCACAGCTTCTTAACGCAGATAAAAAACAATAAAAGAACCGATCCATGAAGGATGTGAATGTTGAGAGCGAAAAAGCTGAAAGCAAGAGTTCGAGACACGAGCGAAACGAACTCATAAAGATTCCGACAATAATGATTCGGCATAAACTGAATGATTAACCAAACATTCAAATACTTGCCCAAAAAAATAATCAAGTTTTGAATAGCCAAGAAATTGTAGCATTGAATTTGGTTTTTTTTTAATTTTTGATGGCTTTATTTACAGCTGGGGAAGGGACAAACTAAACGATCAACTCAAGAAACTACTTAGTATTAGAATGTAAGTCTGTAAGCTAAAATGGGGCTTTAAAGTTAATGACTTTGACTTTTAAAAAATAAACTATTTTTTGTAATAATTTGCATATTACATATAAATTTTTATAAAATAAAATATTTATAAAATAAACTATTTATTGTAATATTTTTGCATTATATGTAATATGTAATATTTTTATAAAATAAAGTATTTATAAAATAAACATTTTATTGTAATAATTTTGCATATTACATATAAATTATTATAAAATAAAGTATTTATTGTAATAATTTTGCATTATATGTAATATGTAATATTTTTATAAAATGAAGTATTTATAAAATAAACTATTTATTGCAATAATTTTGCATTATATGTAATATGTAATATTTTTATAAAATAAAGTATTTATAAAATAAACATTTTATTGTAATAATTTTGCATATTACATATAAATTATTATAAAATAAAGTATTTATTGTAATAATTTTGCATTATATGTAATATGTAATATTTTTATAAAATAAAGTATTTATAAAATAAACTATTTATTGCAATAATTTTGCATTTTCTTTTCCGACTTACCTTGAGTGTCGCTGCATTGCCTTGGTATTTAGTGTGCAGTGATCGGGTCAAATATAGTATAACTATGTATATTCTATATAATGCCTAAATACGCGTTGCTGTGAGCGTGCTTGTGGCTTAAACGCTATAGCATTTGGTTGGCTTAAAGTCCGTCCCGCTTGAGTTTTTGTCTAAATGCCGAACAATTTATGCGAGACTTTTACGAGCTAAGCCAAAACGGAGCTCAAGTTGAGGCTTTGTAGCTGATTTGTATTTATGTTTGCTTTGCACATTACATGTTAAATATATCACTAGTTTATGTTTATTTAACTTTGTTTATTTGTTAATGCGGGCAACTCCATTCATTTGTTTATTCATTCAGTTTCGGAATGAAGCGACTTTGACGCTGTTTGCTGTTGTTGTTGCTGTTGCTTTTATTGTTTAACATCGAAATAAGTAGCTTATGCTTAGGATTTCACGATTTCATGAGCTATATAAACGAGTGTTCCAGTGTTCCTGTTGTGTTTGTATTGTTGAGCACTTTTTTTTTTTGGAAAACAGGGACGTTGTCGAAACATTTGGTATTTT